CTTTAATGCATTACCCCCGGTAGTGGTTTCAGGTGAACCGAACATGACACCGATTTTCATACGAATCTGGTTAATGAAAATAACCATAGTGTTCGACTGTTTGATAATGCCGGTCATTTTTCGTAATGCCTGACTCATCAGACGTGCCTGCAAGCCCACATGCGAATCGCCCATATCACCTTCGATTTCAGCTTTAGGTGTGAGCGCGGCAACGGAGTCAATGATGATGACATCAAGGGCTGAGGAACGTACCAGCATGTCACAGATTTCCAGCGCCTGTTCGCCGGTGTCAGGCTGAGAAACCAGCAGGTTGTCCGTGTCGACGCCGAGATTCTGTGCATAGATTGGATCCAGCGCATGCTCTGCATCGATAAACGCACAGGTGCCGCCCGCTTTCTGCGCTTCCGCTATGACCTGTAGCGTCAGCGTGGTTTTACCCGACGATTCAGGCCCGTAAATTTCCACGACCCGGCCTCTTGGCAGACCACCGATACCTAAAGCGACATCAAGCCCAAGTGAACCTGTGGATATAGAGGGGATGATGACCTGCTCTTCATCACCCAGACGCATGAGTGATCCTTTACCAAACTGACGCTCGATTTGTGCAAGCGCCGCGGATAATGCGCGGTCCTTCTCGGGGTTTGCAGGACGCCCGCCGGTAGATGAGGCGTCTGCATTAGCCGTTTTTTTTGCGGAATTCGATTTTGAAGAAGCATCTTGAGCCATGATTTATCCCTTAATTTGAGGCACACCCTTTAATTTAAGACACACCCTATGTGATTTCTTGTGTGCGGCTACCCAGTGGCGAGCACTGTATATCCAAACAGTAAGACAAATCAAGCCTGTTTCCTAATGGGGGGTTAAAAACTTACTTCAACCGGCGCCATCTGCCGCTGATTCCAAAACGTCAGACCTCCAGCCAAGCAAATAACCCACTTTGCTTGACGGCACTTTGAAGCCTGTAGTTCACTGCATCAAATTCTAATAAAAACGCATCCATGACAACCGGTGGTTCAAACGCCAGCAGCCCTGCGCAAACACCCCCTGCACATACGCCAATGATGCAGCAGTACCTGCAGATCAAATCTGAGTATCCAGATGAGCTGTTGTTTTATCGCATGGGCGATTTTTATGAAATGTTCTTCGACGATGCAAAAGTTGCTTCCGAACTGCTGGACATCACCCTTACAGCCAGAGGCCAGAGCAACGGCCAGCCTATCCCGATGTGCGGAGTCCCTTTTCATGCTGCCGACGGTTACCTTGCCCGCCTTGTCAAACAAGGGCGTTCTGTGGCGATCTGTGAACAGATCGGTGACCCGGCTACCAGCAAAGGACCGGTAGCGCGAGCGGTACAACGTATCGTCACCCCTGGCACGTTGACCGATGATGCGCTCCTGGACAGCCACTCCATGAGTGTCTTGAGCGCTGTCTATCAACAAGGTAAAACGTTTGGCATTGCCCACCTCAACCTGTCCAGCGGTACGCTGGAGGTAACTGAAGCAGCCAGCGCACATACCGTTGTCGACCTTCTCCATCAGGCCCAGCCCACCGAGTTACTGGTGCCGCAGTCACTGGCAGAGCAGTCACTCTATGCAGTGAGTACACGCTCCCTCAACGAGCAGCAGTTCGATGTGGTGTCCGCTACCGTGCGGCTGAATAAGCACTTTGCAACCGATGTCTGTGCCCTGACCGGACTCGCTGCAGACAGCCCTGCCCTGGCCGCCGCCGGCGCTGCACTGACTTATGCAAAACAGACCCAGTGTCAGGACCTGCCTTTTGTTCAGCAACTGAGCCACGTACACCATGAGCAGGTCATCGCTCTGGACGCACAAACACGACGCAATCTGGAAATTGATCTGCGCGTCAATGGCGCCACAGACCACACGCTCCTGGCTCTGATGGACACCACGGCTACCGCCATGGGCAGCAGACTGCTGAAAAAATGGCTGAACGAACCCAGTCGCAATATTGACATCGTGCAGAATCGGCAGCTTTGGATTACCTGTGTGCTTGAACAGCGCCGCGTAGCAGCCATAAGCGAGACGCTCAAAGGTATTGCTGACCTCGAACGGATTCTGACGCGCATTGCGCTGGGCTCTGCCAGTCCCAGAGATCTCGAGCGGCTGCGACACGCATTGCAGCGCCTACCCCAGATCGAAACGGCCTGCGCTGACCTGGGCGCACCTCTACAGGATCAATTGACTGCGCAGATTGCAGACTTCACAGCGTTGGCTAACTTGTTGGAGCGGGCCATTCTAGACGCCCCGCCGGCGACCATTCGCGATGGAGGGTTTATCGCCGCAGGTTTCAGCGACGAGTTGGACGCCTTACACAAGCTGACCACCCACTCAGCAGAATGGCTGGCGGAACTGGAACGGCGGGAAAAAGAACGTACCCAGATCAGCACCCTCAAAGTCGGCTACAACCGTGTCCACGGATACTATATTGAAACCAGTAAAGCCCAGGCAGATAGCATGCCACCTGAATACATCAGGAGGCAGACGCTGAAAAACGCAGAACGTTTCATTACCCCCGAACTCAAAACCTTCGAAGAAGAAGCGCTGAGCAGCCAGAGTAAAGCGTTGCAGATGGAAAAAGCGCTGTTTGAGCAATTGCTGACTGAGGTTAACCAGCAGCAGATTGCACTGCGACACATGGCTGAGGCACTGGCACAGCTGGATGTTCTCTGCGCATTTGCCGAACGCGCTGAAACACTTGGTTTCTGTGCGCCAAGCTTCACCCGGACAGAACAGATCAACATCACCGGCGGCTGGCATCCTGTGGTCAAGGCTGCCAGCCAGGCGCCCTTCATCAGCAACGATCTGACACTGAACGCTGACCAGCACATGCTGATACTCACCGGCCCAAACATGGGCGGCAAATCAACGTTCATGCGCCAGACTGCACTCATCTGTCTGTTGGCTTATTGTGGCAGCTATGTGCCTGCTGCTAGCGCAGAAATTGGACCCCTGGATCAGATTTTCACCCGGATTGGCGCATCTGATGACCTTGCCGGAGGACGTTCAACATTTATGGTGGAGATGACGGAAACCGCCACCATCCTGCACAATGCAACAGCCTCAAGTCTGGTGTTACTGGATGAGATTGGCCGCGGCACAAGTACGTATGACGGCTTAGCGCTGGCCTTTGCAGTTGCAGAACACCTGGCCAGTAAAAGCCGCGCGCTCACCTTATTCGCAACTCACTATTTTGAGTTAACCAGCCTGCCGGCCAATCTGCCCGGCATCGGCAATGTACACCTCAGTGCAACAGAGCACGAAGGAGACATCATTTTTCTGTATCGGGTAGAACACGGGCCTGCCAGTCAGAGTTACGGCATCGCCGTAGCCAAGCTGGCTGGTGTCCCGCGCAGCGTCCTGCAGCGGGCACGGGAAAAACTGTTCAGCCTGGAACAAGGTGACAGCAATCCTCTGCAGCCTGATTTATTTGCGGCATCAAACGCGCCTGCGGTGCCAATGGCCGCGCAGCCCGGCACGGAAATTCTGGATCAGCTGGATCAGTTGGATGTAGATAGCCTGAGTCCGCGTGACGCCCTGGCGCTTTTGTACGAGCTCAAAAGTGAATTGAACAGTCTCTCGTAATTGCTTAAGCAAGAGGGGCTCGACAGCGCCCGAACATCCGCTAGAATACTGCCCCTTTCAACGCACCCTAGAAGGCACCATGACATTTGTAGTCGGAGAGAACTGTATTAAGTGTAAACACACCGATTGTGTCGAAGTGTGTCCCGTAGACTGTTTTTATGAAGGTCCCAACATGTTGGTGATCCATCCAGACGAATGTATCGACTGCGCTCTGTGTGAGCCGGAATGTCCAGCAGAAGCGATTTTTTCTGAAGATGAACTCCCAGAAGATCAGCAGAATTTCCTCGAACTGAACACTGAGCTGGCTGAAATCTGGCCTAACATCACCGAGAAGAAAGACGCCTTGGAAGACGCTGAGGAATGGGACGGCAAGCCTGGAAAACTAGCACTCCTGGAGCGCTAGTTTTCAGCTGCAGTCGTATTACTCCTGCCTACTGACTGAATATCTGATCCACATTGAGCCCATGGTCTTCCAGGGCTCTTCGCAGACGCTGCAACCCTTCCATCTGAATCTGTCGCACCCTTTCGCGGGTCAAGCCCACTTCAGCACCCACCTCTTCCAGCGTTGCAGAAGCATGCCCACGCAGACCAAAGCGTCGCGCAATCACTTCCTGATGTTTAGAAGAGAGATCATTCAGCAGCAGATCCAGTTTATTAAAAAGATCTGAGCGTTGAATCTGAGCTGCAGGGTCCGGGGAGTTTTCGTCCGCCACCATTTCCAGCCGGCTGCGATCATGACTGTCACGCACCGCATCTATGGAATCCACTCTTTCACTGAGTTTCAGCATCCGCCGCACATCATCTACCGGCTTGTCGATTAACGCGGAAATCTCTTCCGCGGTGGGTTCATGATCCAGCTTCTGGGACAACTCCCGTGCGGCGCGCAGGTAATAATTCATTTCCTTCACCACATGCACCGGCAGACGAATGGTGCGGGTCTGATTCATGATCGCCCTTTCAATCGCCTGGCGAATCCACCAAGTTGCGTAGGTGGAGAACCGAAAGCCCCGCTCCGGATCAAATTTTTCTACCGCGTGGATAAGCCCAAGGTTGCCTTCTTCGATCAGGTCCAGCAGAGACAAGCCTCTATTGAGATAACGACGGGTAATTTTGACAACCAGACGCAAATTGCTCTCAATCATGCGTTTACGCCCTGCGGGATCTCCCGCTTGCGCCAAGCGGCCATAGTGCTGTTCCTCAGCGGCGCTCAGCAGCGGTGTATAACCAATTTCCTGAAGGTATAGCTGCGTTGCGTCCGGTGAGCCAACATGGCTGTTTTCAGCCGTCAGTTCGGCCGCGGCTGTTTTTGCTGCTGGTGTGTCTTGTGCTTCCATGCGTTGATCTCCACGTCCTTGTAAATACCCTGTCGCCGCCCGCGACAGAGCCAACCAGGGGGAGCTAACGCAGAAATTGCCTTGGATTTATGGGTTGCCCATCCTTGCGCAACTCAAAATGTAATGACTGCTTACTCCGACCTCTGTTCTTTATGTCGGCCAATTCCCTGCCAGCTTTAATATTTTGCTTCTCATCCACCCGCAGGGTGCCGTCGAAGCTATAAGCACTGAGCAGGCTGGCACTGTGTTTGACGATGACCAGACGTTCAAAGCCGCCGATGCCATTGCCCGCGTAGACCACTTCACCGGCATTGGTTGAGCGCACCGTCATCCTGCGACGCAGGTCGTCACCCAGGCGGTAATCCAGGCCTTTGTTGTTGCCACCGAATTCTGCATAGGGCTTGATCTCAAGCGGCCACGACCACGTTCTGGCAAGCTCAACTGTTGCCGCGGCATCGGGCTGTCTCGTCGCAGGTGGTTTGCGGGTGCTGGGTTTCGGCTTAGTGGCTGCAGCAGCAGGAGGTGGGGCTACCGGGGTGCGTACGCGTGCAGAAGGCGCAAGCTGGGTCACCAGCGATAATTTCTGACCGGGCACAATACGATACGGAGCACGCACACCATTAGCGCGGGCAAGGCCTTTGTAATCAAGCTCAAAACGCCAGGCGATGGAATAGAGCGTATCGCCTTTCTGTACAACATAAGATTTCTGCAGCGAATCCCCACTGCCGTAGGGGCCAGAGGTATAAGCCGGCGAGCGCTCGGCGATCAGCGGTTTGCCTGGCGACAGACAACCGCTGAGTATCAATCCCATACTCACCGCCAGGAGCAGCTTCAGAGCCTTCAGCGCGTTCACGAATGGTTTGTATATTTATCAAGCTGCCCAATGGCAACAGCACCACAGGCAAACGCGACAGCGGTGATCAGCACGTAGGATGATGTACCGTGCGCTATGGTATATTCGGCTGGCGAAAGCCACTTATCTGCTGTTACCTGCGCCACCTGCTGCCAGGGCCATAAATTAGCAATCGAACCCAGCATGAAACCGGTTAACAAAGCCAGTAACGGTTCCTGATGATGGCGTAACAACCAGGCTAGAGATTTGCTGAAAAGCAGCAGTCCAACCGCACAACCACTTATCAGTATCGTTAACACAAGTAAGTCAAGCTCGGCAACGGCGCCAATAATTGTTGTATAAAGGCCCATGGCCAACAACATATAGCTGCCAGAGACCGCAGGTAACAACCAGGCACAAACCGAAACAATGCCACCGACAAAAATCATCCACAGTGCAGGCTCCGTATTTGTAGTTGGCAGCCACAGCAGCGCGATACCGCAAACCAGACCCACAACGCCGTAGCTCAGCAGTGTCACCGGCGCACGTGCACGTCCGATAATGACCACGGACATGGCGATCACCCCGCTGAAGAAACCCCACACAACCGGCTGAAAGTGTGCAAGCAGAAAGCTCATCAGTTGTGCAAAGAGCAGAACACCGACCAGCATACCGCCAGCTAGAGCACACAGAAAGCGCAGGTTATGCTGTTGAGCAAACGCCAGCGGCTGGGTTAAGAGACGCAGGGAACTCGGACCGAAACTTGCCAGAGATCGAACAAGCTCGTGGTAAATACCGGTGATAAAGGCCATTGTGCCACCAGACACACCCGGGACCACCTCGGCCAGGCCCATCAGCAAACCGCGCCAGACAATGCTGAACAGTGAAAGTGGCGTTTTAGCTTGTTCCTCAGGTGGCACGGCAAATAAACCTAAACTGCGGTAATGCCGCTGAGCAACGGCACAAACCTTACCCTGTCGAGCACACGTTCGGTGATCACACCGTCGCGCTTATCTATCACTCGCAGTTCCTGTCCCGCATCGCCGCCAACCGGTAACACCATGCGACCACCGTCAGCCAACTGCGCAAGCAGTTCCGGCGGCACTTCTGATGGCGCCGCGGTGACAATGATGCCATCAAAGGGACCGTGGGCATCCCAGCCTTTATAGCCATCGCCGAATTTAGCCACCACATTACGTATCCCGAGGCGCTGCAACCTCTGTTTTGCACGGGGTACCAGGGCTTCGATGCGTTCAATGGTAAAAACCTGGCGACACAACTGCGCAAGGATGGCGGTCTGGTAGCCACAGCCGGTGCCTACTTCAAGCACTTTATGGGGGCCAACCTCGAGCAACACCTGGGTCATTAAAGCAACCACAAACGGCTGCGAGATGGTCTGCCCATGCCCTATCGGCAGCGCAGTATCTTCATAGGCACGATGGGATAACGCCTCATCCACAAACAGATGTCGCGGCACTGCTGCTATCTGCGCAAGGACGCGCTCATTGACTATGCCTTTCTCGCGCAGACGGGCGACCAGGCGGTCGCGGGTGCGCTGCGAGGTCATACCGATACCTTTAAGGTCTGAATTACTCATGGCGAGCGCTGGCATCGTGGACGTTGAAATGGTTTGCCAGCAGCGTTGTCGCATACACTCCGGGGGGCAGCGTGAACTTCAGGACCCACACATCGTCAGCTGCCTGTGACACTTCCAAGCCTTTAGCCTGTGCCGCCAACACACGACGGTCCATGGATACGCCCGCATACTCCAACGCTTCACAGGTATGCGCAAATGGTGCTAGCGCGCTGGTCTCGATTTCTGCAGCCAACCCACTCACCTGGGAGCGACCGCGGCCCCAAAGTGGTCCGGAAGGCAGCTCGTGTATTGCAACATCACCGTCGATCAACGTGGCGTAGTTGCCCACAGCCACACGCTGATCCAGTACGGCATTAAATAACAGACTCCGCAGAACAGACAGATGCCAGCCGCGACGACCACTTTTGTGCTTCTGTTGTCGACGACGCGCACCGCGAGGTTGATCCCGGGATGCACGCCCCCACCCCCCACTGCGCAGCCAGTCCTGTGCCTGTTGTATGTTGCCGGCAGACAGCCTCTGGGTGCCAAAGTAGTTGGGGAAACACTCTGATAACGAACTCATCGAAGACCCGCACCAGTGTTTCACCTCGGTCAGCGTCAGCTCAAAGGTGTTGGCGCTGTGCTCACCGCGCCGGAGTTTCTTTTCGCTGCGCCGAGATAGAAGAACTTTTACCCCTGGATTCTCAGGCTCCCAGTGATCTTCCGGCGTTGGAACGCTGAACCACTGTCGTGTCATGGCATGTTTGTCTTTGCGTCCGGCATAACCAATGGCCTGAGGTGCCAGTTGGAAGTGAGCTGCCAGCATAGCGACAATATCTGCCGTATTCAGAGCGGTCTTTTCAACATAAAAATAGGCGTGCTCACCCTGCCCTGAAAACGGCAGTTCTAACACCTCATCGACCCGAAAGTGTTCGGGTAATGCTTTGATTTGCGCCTGCGGTATCGGCGCCTGCGTGTTAGAGATCGACATCCGGGATCAGATAAAATACTTCACCGGTCTTTACCATGCCAAGATCCCGTCGTGCTCGCGCTTCCAGGACACTGCGATCACCTTTCATCGCGACTACCTCTGCCAGCAGTATCTGATTGCGCTGCTGCAGCACTTCGACACGCTGTTGCTGTTGCGTCAATTGTTCCTGCATACGCTCCCGGGCAAAGTACCCGGATTGACCAAACCACAACCCGTATTGCAGCCATAACAGAACAATCAACGCAGTTGCCACCAGAACTTTCATCTGCATACGCTAACCTGCCTTGATCGCAGAGCGGCCGGGGTAACTGGCTTTGTCACCTAACTGTTCTTCAATCCGCAGCAGTTGGTTGTATTTAGCAACCCGGTCACTGCGACACAAGGATCCAGTCTTTATCTGGCCGGCACCCGTGCCAACCGCAAGGTCAGCGATGGTTGTATCTTCAGTTTCGCCAGAGCGATGCGAGATAACGCTGGTATAACCCGCAGCGTTGGCCATGGCAATGGCTTCTAACGTTTCACTCAAGGTGCCAATCTGATTGAATTTAATGAGGATGGAATTGGCGACGTTTTCAGCAATGCCACGACCCAGAATTTCGGTATTGGTAACAAACAGATCATCTCCGACCAACTGCACCCGCGAGCCGATTTTCTGTGTCAGTTCGGTCCAGCCTGCCCAGTCACTTTCGTCCATACCATCTTCAATGGACAAAATCGGGTATTTGTCGCTCAGTGCCGCCAGATAGTCTGCAAACCCGGGCGCATCATAGCTGACACCTTCACCGCTGAGGTTATATTGACCGTTTTCATAAAACTCCGATGCAGCACAATCTAACGCTAACGTAATATCGCTGCCGAGCTTATAACCGGCTTTTTCAATAGCCTCAGCAATCACATCCAGCGCCTGCCTGTTTGATGTGAGATCAGGCGCAAAGCCACCCTCGTCACCCACAGCAGTTGACAATCCCATACCGGACAACACAGCTTTCAGATGATGGAAGATTTCTGTACCGGCACGCAACGCTTCGCGAAAAGAGCTCATGCCTACCGGCTGCACCATAAATTCCTGGATATCGACGTTATTGTCCGCGTGTTCGCCACCATTGATGATGTTCATCATGGGTACCGGCATACACATCGGCGGCGCACCCGCCAGCTGGTTAATGTGCTGATACAGTGGCACCTGCTGGCTCAACGCGGCGGCTTTGGCCGCTGCCAGTGAAACAGCGAGCATCGCATTAGCGCCTAACTTCGATTTGTTAGGCGTTCCATCCAGCGCCAGCAGCGCCTGATCAAGCGCCTGCTGATCTGTACAGTCCATACCCTGCAGAGCGCCGGCAATCGAGGAATTAACGTGCCCTACGGCTTGGCTCACACCCTTGCCCATGTATCGGGAGGCATCGCCATCACGCAGTTCCAGAGCTTCACGAGTACCCGTTGAAGCACCGGAAGGCGCAACTGCCCGGCCGATGATGCCGGAACTTAAGTGTACGTCTGCTTCAACGGTTGGGTTACCGCGGGAGTCGAGAATCTCTCTGGCGTGAATGGCGCTTATACTTGTCATGTTGGTGTGGTTCTCTTTCGTGTTTTATTGTGCCGTCAGCTGATCTTCTATGAGAGGCTGACTTTTAACCAGATCATCAATATCTTTGAGTTGTTGAAGCAGCACTTTCATCATGCCCATAGGCCATGAATTAGGGCCATCCGATTGAGCTTCTTCGGGCCGCGGATGGGATTCCATGAAAACACCGGAAACGCCAGCAGCAACAGCTGCTCGAGCCAGAACCGGCACCATTTCCCGATTACCGCCGGACACCGTGCCCAGGCCACCCGGCATTTGCACCGAGTGGGTTGCATCATAAACGACAGGGCAGCCTGTTTGTCGCATCCAGGACAATGAGCGCATGTCAGAAACGAGGTTGTTGTAACCGAAACTGGCTCCGCGCTCACAGACTGTGATTGCAGGATTGCCGGTTGAAAGGGCTTTTTTTGCCACCTGCAACATGTCCAGAGGCGCCAGGAATTGCCCTTTCTTTATGTTCACAGGCTTGCCCTGGGAACAGGCTTTGATAATAAAATTGGTCTGTCGGCACAAAAATGCCGGCGTCTGCAGAACATCGACAACCGCCGCAACTTCATCCAGCGGCGTGTCTTCGTGAACGTCTGTTAATACTGGTACCGCAAAAGTTGTGCGTACTTTTTCGAGAATACGCAGCCCCTCCTCCAGACCTGGTCCACGGAAGCTATCCATGGACGAACGATTAGCTTTGTCGAAAGAAGACTTATAGATAAATGGCACGCCAACATCGTCAGCAATTTCTTTCAACGTCTCAGCGGTTTCCATCGCCAGTTGTTCTGACTCGATGACACAGGGCCCGGCAATAAGAAACAAAGGTTCTCGCCCGCCAATATCGAATCCGCAATATTTCATCTGTCTGTATCCTTTGGATGTTGCCGACCGCTGTATCAGTCGTCGGTGCCATTTTTAAGTTGCACCTGCTCCGCATGAGCCAGGCCCGCCTTGATAAACCCGGTGAACAAAGGATGTCCTTTACGCGGCGACGAGGTGAACTCAGGATGGAATTGACAGGCCAGGAACCAGGGATGGTCTACCAGTTCAATCATCTCAACCAACTCACCATTTTCAGAACGTCCAGCGACGACCATACCGCAGGCCTCAAGGTCCTTGAGATAGTGGTTGTTGACTTCAAAACGATGCCGATGCCGCTCGTAGACCACGTTCGTATCGTACACACGCTGAGCCAGCGTGCCCTGATTCAGGACACAGGCCTGCTCACCCAGACGCATGGTGCCGCCGAGGTCGCTGTTACTGTCGCGTTTCTGTGCCTGACCGTCTGCGCTGACCCATTCGGTCACCAGTCCAATGACCGGGTGTTTAGCCGCGCCGTCAATTTCGGTGCTGTGCGCACCTTCCAGGTGGGCACAATGCCTGGCCAGATCGATCACCGCCGCATGCAGCCCGTAACAGATACCCAGATAGGGGATTTTATGTTCACGCGCGTAGGCTGCGGCCAGAATTTTGCCCTCAAACCCACGACGACCAAAGCCACCGGGAACTAAGATGGCGTCTGCATCTGCCAGCACATCGGTGCCGTCTCTTTCGAGGTCTTCAGCATCTATATAGTTAATCTGGATGTCACTACGGGTCTGAATGCCGGCGTGGGTAATCGCTTCAATCAGTGATTTATAAGCTTCCAGCAGATCCAGATACTTCCCCACAAAAGCCAGCTTCAGAGTGTGCTCTGGATTCTGTTGAGCCTGCACCACGTCACGCCACTCGGACAGGTCTACCGGGATTGTCTCTAAACCCAGGCGTTCAACGACGTAGTCGTCCAGACCTTCATCATGGAGCATCAGTGGCGCCTGATAGATCGTGTCCACATCCCAGCTGGAAATGACCGCGCGTTCTTCCACATTCGTAAACAATGCAATCTTGCTTCGTGCAGAGCGCGGTAACGGGTTTTCAGACCGGCACACCAGAATATCTGGCTGCAGACCAATAGAACGAAATTCTTTCACCGAGTGCTGCGTGGGTTTGGTTTTAATTTCACCCGCTTTGCTTAAAAAAGGCACATAGGTGAGATGGATAAACAGCGTATGTACGCTGCCCACTTCAAGTCGCAGCTGACGAATGGCTTCGAGGAAGGGTTGGGATTCAATGTCACCTACGGTGCCGCCAATTTCGACAATCAGCACATCAAAGCCGTCTGCTACTTTGCGGATCCGGCGTTTGATCTCGTCCGTGACGTGGGGAATGACCTGCACGGTACCCCCGAGATAATCACCGCGCCTTTCCCGCCGGATAACTTCTGCGTAGATACTGCCCGTGGTGAAATTGTTATCGCGACACATGCGCACGTTTGAAAAGCGTTCGTAGTGACCCAGATCAAGGTCGGTCTCGGCACCATCAACGGTGACAAAAACTTCACCGTGTTGAATCGGGCTCATGGTGCCTGGATCCACGTTAATATAGGGATCCATCTTCAACACGTTGACTTTAAGCGCGCGAGCTTCCAGCTGGGCAGCCAGAGAGGCAGTGATAATGCCCTTGCCCAAAGACGACACAACCCCACCCGTTACAAAAATATATCTCGTCATGAATACCCATCAAAAGGTGCACAAACCAACGAACTCGACCAGTGTTCTGGACGGCTTTTGCTAAAGTGCTAATTGCGTTAAAAGACAGCCGACAATGGCTCGCTCAAGATGGGATTGCAAGATAGCAAAACGCCTGCCTAAGCTCAATGTTGGTGATCATTTTTTACTGTGTGCCGTACCCGCAGCAAGGTGCGGTTCGAAATGCGCCTGCCAGTATGAATTGCCATCTGCTGGCGCTTCTGAAGCACTTTGTGCAACCGCAATATCAGGCACACAGACCAGGGCATCACCTGAAAAAATTAACGGATAACTGTCTCTGCGCCAGGGCGGCACCCGGGCATCGTTTAACAGTTGTTTAAGGGTTTTCGTGAAAGCCCTGTCTGCAGTGTTTCCCGGCGTCACTGCTTGCAGCGTTTCGCCGCCACTGCGGAACGCCAGCCTCAACGGTTGCGCTGCGTTGAAGGCAAACTCTTCTTCCCGCGGTACCTGCCGCAGATGTAACTTCCCGTAAGGCAAATCCACGACACCAGGACCTTCAAGCAGCACAGCAGCCATTGCCTGTGGCGGCTTAGCTTCAAAATAGAACGTGCTGTCATAGATATAAATGTTTGCTTCACCCACCTGCAGATGTGCAGAACCTGCAGAGGCCTGCTGCGCAATGAATTCATCCAAACCTCTGTCACTGACAGTAAATACCTCCCTGCTGGCCAGGTACGCACGCAACCACGCGCGCCGACGTTCGGGGTCCGTTGGCAGCGTTTGCACAGGCACTTCATCAGGCAGCCAGGACAGTGTGTCCACCAACGCGCCTACTGTTTGCTGGTGGTGGTGTGCGACACGGGCCAGAGCTGTATCAACATTGCCCCAGCGGGTTTTCAACCGGGGCAGTATGTCTGCGCGCAGGAAATTTCTGTGCAGATCGGTATCTGCATTGGTCGGGTCTTCAATCCAGCTCAAATCATGACCCTGAACATAGTCACCCAGTTCAGAGCGCGACAGATTGAGCAACGGACGCAAGAAGTGCCCGCTGCCGAGGCGACCCTGGGGCCGTATGGTCAACATACCCCGCCCCTGCAGCAAGCGATAAAGAATGGTCTCACTCTGATCCTGCTGGTGATGACCAAGCAATAACACACCTGCAGGGGGTAGGTGCTGCGCATAAGCGACGTAACGGACCCGGCGTGCATTGGCTTCCAGGTTACCGAGCGTTGGAACGTGCACAGTCGCCTGAGTAAGTGGCACATCGAGCGCAACACAGACTTCGGCGCAGTGCTTTGCCCAGGCGCTGCTGTGTGCGTGTAAATTGTGGTTCACATGTATAGCGTTGATCTGCAGATCTGCTAACCGGGATTGCTGCACCTGCCTTGCTGCGAGCAGAAGCGCGGTGGAATCAAGGCCGCCGCTGAAACCCACCCAGACCTGCGCACCTGGATACGCCGCCAGGGATTGCTCAAGGGCTGCCTCAACCCGCTGTGATGATGCCGTTCGCCGCGTCACTTGAACTAACCGCTGCCCGCGTAATCCAGCCGTACGCAGCCATCAAATTCTTCATTCAAACTGCGTACAAGGTCGTCGCTGGCCTGCACGCGCCAGTCCTGGCCCAGACAGATACGCGCTTGAGCTTCAGCTGCTGCGTACCAGATTGCAATCGGGCAACCGTCATCCATGGTCCGGTGCGGACCAAGTACCTGCTTCAACCGGGAACCAAAGTCTGGCGGCAACGGCGCCTGTCGAAAGTCGATCACAAATCCTTCACTGAAGCGTTGGCGTGCTTCCGCAATGGTATAGACTTTCTCTGCACGTAAACTTAACCCGCCTGAAAATTCATCAGCACCCACCTCACCTTCTATGATGAGCAGCTCATCTTTGGCCACCTTGGCACCAAATTGTTCGTAGCAATCGGGGAACAATGAAACTTCCAAACGCGCGCTGCGGTCGTCAAGGACCAGAAAACACATGGGCGCGCCACGTCGGCTTTTCATAATCCGTGTGCTGACCACCATGCCGCTGACCCACTGGGTTTTCTTTTCTGCCCGCAGCCTGGCAATTTTACGTTTGCAGAAATGTTTCAGCTCCTGCTCATACTCTTCAATAGGATGGCCCGTCAGGTACAGCCCAAGGGCTTCTTTCTCACCCTGAAGTCGCTCGCGACCGGTTAACGCTTTGATGTCTGCCATAGCCCTGGTTGGCGTGATGACATTGGTATCAACGCCACCAAACATATCGACAATACCTGCCTCAGCGTTGCGCAGCTGCTGTTCTGCACTCTGCAACGCCTGGGGTAACTGGTGACGAAGCCGCGCGCGGGTCATATCCAGAAGCTCTCCCGGCAAGGCGAACTCATCCATGGCGCCGGAGGCAATTAATGCTTCGTGCACACGCTTGTTAACTTTTTTGGTATCCAGACGCTGACAGAAGTCCTGCAGGTCAGTGAAAGCGCCATCCGCACGGGCTTCAACAATAGCCGCCACCGGCCCTTCACCAACCCCGCGAACAGCGCCCAGCCCGTAGATGATACTGTCATTCTGCACCGAAAACCGATGCTGACTGAGGTTAACACTTGGGGGTAACAGGGGAATCTGCATGCGCCGCACTTCGTCAATTAAAACGACAATGCGATCGATATTCTGCATTTCGGCCGACAGGTTTGCGGCCATAAACTCAGCTGGGTAATGTGCTTTTAACCAGGCGGTCTGAAAACTGATGACCGCATAGGTGGCTGAGTGAGATTTGTTAAATGCATAGCCGGCGAACTTTTCCATCAGATCGAAGATTTCGTTGGCCAGGGTCTGATCCACATCGTTAGCGGCGGTGCCAATCAGAAACTCTTTACGCACCCGGGCCATTTCTTCGGGCTTTTTCTTACCCATGGCACGCCGCAGCAGATCCGCCTGGCCGAGGGTGAAGCCAGCCAGCTCCTGGGCCACCTGCATAACCTGCTCTTGATACAGAACCACACCATAGGTGCCACCCAGCACTGTTTCCAGGCTCGGATGTGGATAGACAACAGGTTCATATTTGTGTTTACGATTAATGTAATCAGCATCGGCGCCGGATTGCAGAGGCCCCGGTCGAAACAGAGCAACCAACGCAATAATATCGTCGATGCTGTCTGGCTTGAGTTTGCCGATCAGCTCTTTCATGCCGCGGGATTCCAACTGAAACACCCCGGTTGTGTCAGCCGCACGTAACAGATCAAAAGCACCCGGATCGTCCAGTGGCAGTGCTTCGATCTCCAATGGTGGTTCACCTTCGGCCTTGCCGGCGTTGATACTCTGCACTGTCCAGTCAATGATGGTCAGCGTTTTAAGGCCGAGGAAGTCGAACTTAACCAGACCCGCACGCTCTACGTCATCTTTGTCGTATTGGCTGACCAGACTGCCGCCAAGCTCTTCCGTGTAGAGCGGCACAAATTCAGTAAGCAGTCTGGGGGCAATCACCACGCCACCCGCATGACGCCCGACGTTGCGTACAATGCCCTCGAGCTTGAACCCCATCTCCATGATCTCGGCAACTTCTTCGCTGCTTTCGACAAACTCCCGCAGGTCAGCAGCCTCCTCCATCGCCTTGGTCAGCGTCATACCGACTTCAAAGGGAATAAGTTTCGAAAGCTTGTCCGCCAGTCCATAAGGTTTGCCCTGCACCCGCGCCACATCCCGCACCACAGCTTTTGCCGCCATCGTGCCAAATGTAATGATCTGGCTGACCGCTTCATGGCCGTACAGCTCACTGACATGGTTGATAACGCGATCACGGCCTTCCATACAGAAATCGACATCGAAATCCGGCATCGATACCCGTTCAGGATTCAGAAAACGTTCGAATAACAGATCGTATTCGAGGGGGTCTAAATCAGTGATTCCAAGCACATAAGCAACCAGCGAACCGGCGCCGGAGCCTCGTCCCGGCCCAACGGGTATGGAGTTGGCTTTAGCCCAGGCAATAAATTCCATAACAATCAGGAAATAACCGGCAAAGCCCATCTCATTAATGACGTTGAGTTCGAACTCGAGCCGGGCGACGTAGTCATCTCTGGTGGCGTCCGGGGCACGCAAGCCGCGGGTCTCGATGCGCTCATCCAACCCCTGCATGGCGGTCAGCTGCAGGAAGCTGGCGGCTGTGTGTTCTTCAGGGATAGGATAATCCGGCAGTTTGTATTCACCCAACTGCACTTCAACCGAACAGCGTTTGGCAATTTCCACCGAGTTCTGCAGCGCAACGGGTATATCTGCAAACAGCGCCGCCATTTCCGCATCGCTGCGCAGATATTGCTGTTCGCTGTATTTACGCTGTCGACGAGGGTCATCCAGGGTCATGCCTTCATGGATGGCAACCCGTGTTTCATGGGCCTCAAAATCTTCTGGCACAGCAAAACAGACGTCGTTGGTTGCCACCACGGCCACACCGAGCTGAGTCGCCATGGTCACCAAACTGGCATTAGCAGCATCTTCCCCCGTTCGTCCAGTACGGGTGAGTTCTAGATAGTAACGGTCACCAAATTCAGCCTGCCAGCGTTGAATGCGTGGCGCTAACAGCGCCTGATCGCCATCTACGGCATGCTGCCAAAGATGCCCACCTACCCCACCAGACAGGGCAATCAACCCTTCCGAATGCTGAAAAACCAGCGCTTCTGTGACTAATCCCCGGGTCGTGACTGTGGTGTAGCTGGCGGACACCAGCAGTATCAGGTTGTTGTAACCCTGCTTGTTCATCGCCAGCAGCACCACGCGCGCAGGCTGCTCCTCGGCGTCTTCACTTGTCTGCACTTGAAGCTCTACCCCGAGAATCGGCTTGATCCCGCGCCCAAGCGCGGCTTCATAAAACTTCACCAGAGCAAACAGGTTACCAATGTCGGTAAGCGCCACCGCAGGCGCACCCTGCCCTGCCAGATTTGCAATCAGCGGCTTCACCTTTAGCAATCCGTCAGCGAGAGAAAACTCGCTGTGCACATGCAGATGCACAAAACCCGGGTCGACTAAGGTACCTGGTTCGTTTGGACTTGCAGTGTTTTCACTCACGCGGTCCGGGACTCCTCAGCAAGCACATTGCGCACAGGTGCAAAACTCCTTCGATGATATTGTGTGGCACCTAATGCCAGGAGCGCAGCCAGGTGCGCCTTTGTGGGATAACCTTTGTGCTGAGCAAAACCATAACCTGGATATTGGCAGGCTAAAGCACTCATGTATTTATCCCGGGCAACCTTAGCGATGATTGATGCGGCGCTGATTTGCGGCACATGTTTATCACCCTGCACAACAGCAACCGCTGGCACACCAAATTCTGGCACCTTATTACCATCCACCCAGATGTGCACGGGTACAGCACGCAGTTGCTCACAGGCACGTTGCATAGCCACATGGCTGGCGCGCAGGATGTTCAGTTCATCAATTTCATCCACCCAGGCCCAACCCAGTGCCCAACACAGACTATTCTGCCGAATCTCAAGATCCAGAATTTCGCGTTTTTTCGGCGTAAGCTTTTTTGAATCGGCGAGCGCTTCAATCGGGTTAGCAGGGTCAAGGATGACTGCCGCTGCTACCACCGGGCCAGCCAATGGACCGATGCCCACCTCATCAACGCCGGCGTGGAGCGGTTGATCCCAGGCTTTATGCGCGCCATCAGGGCTTGCCTGATGTAGTAGAGAAGCTTGAACGGGCACTGTTTGAGCTGGCACTGTAGAGGCAGACTGCACGCTTAGGAACCTGTGGTATTTTCTGCCAGCAAGCGTAACACGCTGGCTGCTGACTTAGCATCAGCACCCTGTCGTAATTGTTGATGAAGCTGTTCGAATGCGCTGGTATTTTCGGCTCCCTGCGCTGCTGCATGCAGTTCCTGCTGCAGTGCTTGAGCAAGCGCCTGAGCCGTGCCATCGTGCTGCAACAACTCCGGTACCAGCGGGCGTCCGGCCAGAATGTTGGGAAGCGCCACATAGGGTGTACGCAAAACCCGTTTTGCCAGCTGGTAGGTCCACCATCCCAACCTGTAACTGACCACCATCGGACGATGCAACAACATCGCTTCCAGGGTGCTGGTGCCGGACTTCACCAGAGCAACATCACAAGCCACCAGAGCCTGGCGGGCGTTACCCTCGTAGAGTTTGACCACCAGCTGCGGATAAGCCTGCAGTGCTGTTTCAACCCGTTCTCTAATTGTCGTTCGTAGGCAGGGAATCACTGTTACAGTGTCTGGTGTTTGCTCTGCGAACAACGCAGCAGCGCCGAGAAAGTGTTCAATCATCAGTTCTACTTCGCTGTTGCGACTGCCAGGCAGCATCGCCAGAACAGTTGCATCTGACCCGACACCCAACGCCTGTCGTGCGGTCAATCGCGCGGGATCAGCGCCCGCCGACATATCAATCTCGTCAGCCAGCGGGTGACCGACAAACTCAGCATGCACAGAGGTCTGCGCGTAAAATGCAGGCTCAAACGGATACAGACACAGCAACAGGTCTGCGCTTCTGGCGACGCGTTTGGTACGTCCGGCTCGCCAGGCATAGACTGAGGGACTCACGTAATGAGCAGTTTTTATTCCGCGCTTGCGCAGTGCTGCTTCGAGAATAAAATTGAAGACATTGAAATCTATCCCCACAAACACATCGATCTGCGCTTGCTCAAAAGTTCTGATCAGACGTCGTAATAAAGAGATCAACTCAGGCAGCTTCAGAATAGGGTCACGAAAGCCGTTTACCGCCAGCGCGTCCAGAGGTGCCAATGCAGACAGTCCGGCTGCGACCATTGCCTCACCGCCAACACCAATGAACTTCAGGGTTTGTTTGGATTGGGCCTGCATGGCCGTCATCAGGCCAGCGCCAAGATTATCCCCTGATGCCTCGCCGGCAAGAATTCCAACGGTAATCGTTGCTGGTTCCGGCTCGGTTGCTCTCATTCGCAACTACGATTTGTTACGCCCGCGAATGATGCCCCATTGCGAGCCTTCAACCGATTGTGCAAACAGGTCAACTTCCGCAAATTCGGTTCGCATAGGCGCTAACTCCGCCAACGCTTCTTTTACGGTCAAACCGTTGCGATAGACAATACGGTGTGCCTGGCGCAGGGCTGCGCTTGTTGCTTTGGAATAGCCACGTCGCTTCATGCCTTCGGTATTCAATCCCACTGCAACAGCTGGGTTGCCACTGACTGTCATGTAAGCAGGTACATCTTTAAGCACCAGACTCATGGCTGCGATATGGGTATAGGCGCCGATATGACGGAACTGAGGAATACCCGAATAGCCGCCGAAATTAGCATAATCGCCAACCACGACATGGCCTGCCAGAGAAGCGTTGTTTGCCATCACCACGTGATCGCCAACAATGCAGTCGTGACCGATATGAACATAGGCCATAAGCAGACAGTTTTTGCCCACCTCAGTGCGACTGATGCCGCCTTTTGTCATGCCCCGGTGAATGGTCACACCTTCCCGTATGACGGTATTTTCACCAATGGTCAGATGGGTTTCTTCACCTGCAAAGGCAAATGCCGGCGTATCTTCACCGACCGTTGAGAATTGAAATATTTTTACCCCGGCGCCAATTTTCGTTGGGCCTTTTACCACTACATGGGAGGCGATCTGAACGTTATCACCCAGCTCAACGTCAGCACCGACAATTGACCAGGGACCCACTGATACATTTTCGCCCAGTACCGCACTGGGATCTATGATGGCGCGGCCATCAATCATGTACGCTGCTCAACAACCGATAAAACAGCTGAACAGGCCAGCGCTTCATCGACATAAGCGGAACACTCAAATTTCATCATGCGGCTGCGATCGGCGATTATCTTGCTGACCATATCAAGGCGATCACCTGGAATAACCGGACGTCGGAAGCGCGCCTTTTCAACACCGCCAAACAGATAGTTCACACCATCCGCCGGACGCTTGTCTTTGGTTTCAAATGCCAGCACGCCGGACAGCTGCGCCATGGCCTCAAGAATCAGAACGCCGGGAAAAATAGGCTGACCGGGAAAATGACCGTTAAAAAGCTCTTCGTTGACAGTGATATTTTTGTAACCGCGAATCGATTCGCCCACTTCAAGCTCTACCACGCGATCGATCAGGAGAAAGGGATATCTATGCGGCAGATACGAAAACAGTTCGTTTATGTTTTTTTGGCCGCTCATCAAGTTCCCCACCTATCCCTGTAAAAATCTATTTATTCTGGTCCGCTATGCCATTTCGCTCGAGCTTCCTGACACGCTTAAACAAATCATCCAACGCAAAAAAACGTAACGCGTTACGACGCCACTTACCGTGGTCGTGAAACACTATGCTACCCGAATATGTGCCGGGTACGCTGACAGATTGTGAAATTGTTGTGCAAGCGGTTACGCGCACACCATCACACAAGGTTACCGGTTTATCACCGCCAACCCCACTGCCTCCTGCTAGTACACAGTGTTTGCCGATAACCGAGCTGCCTGCGATACCTACACAACCACAGATCACCGTATGTGCGCCGACATGGCTGTTATGGCCTATCTGCACCTGGTTATCGATTTTCACTCCCTCTTCAATAACCGTGGCATCAATCGCCCCGCAGTCAATGGTAGAACCCGCCCCAACACTGACGTTGGCACCGATAACAACGCCACCAATCTGAGCAATTTCATGCAGATGCCCCATGGCATCTGGCGCAAACCCGAACCCGGGGGCTCCAATCACCGCTGCACTGTGTATCTGAGTATTTTCGCCCAGTTGAACATCGCTGTAGAGGGTTGAATTGGCATGCAGCATGACGCCGGACGCGAGATGACAACGCGCCCCGACACTCACACCTGCGTGAATTTTAACCCCCGCACCAACAACCGTTTCCGCGCCAATCACAACATGAGGGCCGATGCTGGCAGTTGCATCAATCTGACAGTTTTCGCCGATTTCAGCACTGGCATGAATGCCCGCAGCCATCTGCACAGGTTGTACAAAACACATGGACGCTTTGGCAAAGGCCAGATAGGGGTTATCGACAATCAGAGCAGTAGTCGGGCAATCCGCAGCATCTTCCGGACGCAGGATAACGGCGCTGGCCTCGGTTGTGGCCAGCATATGCCGATAATTCGAACTGGAAAGGTGGCTCAGCTGACCGGCGCTGGCACTGCCCAGACTACCCAGACCATGCAGCTCGACAGCACTATCACCGGCTACCGTTGCGTCAATCGTTTGCGCAATATCTGCAACGGTAATCATGTGAATAAAAGCCAGTGAATGATCTGCAAACGATCAGTCGCGCTCTTCGTTCAACTTTTCTGTGACGCGACGAGTGATGTCGTGTTTTGAGTTGGCATACTGCAGCGCATTGGGCGCCATAATCAGATCGATCTGATCAACAGAAATAATGTCTTTTAAGACTTTGTCGAACTTTGGCGCCAGTTCCTGGAGGATTTCCTGACGTCTGTCCTGAACTTCTTTCTGCAGCTTCTGACCGCGGAATTGCAGATCTATCTGTTTATCTTCGATATCCTTCTGCACCTTGCGCGATTCCGTTGCTGACATGACTTCTCCGTCTGTCTGCAGCTTCGTGTTCAATGCCTGCATTTCCTCGGCGAGGGCCCGCAGTTCATTCTGTTCAGCTTCCATTTCTTTGTTCGCGGCATCAGCCAGAATTTTGGCTTCATCACTCTCCAGAATGGCACGCACTGAATCCAGTACTACTATTTTCATTTCAGCCTGAGCTGCCACAGTGGCGAACATCATGGCTACCATCGCCATTTGGGCAAACTTCTTAATCATTACCTACTCCTACTTAAGCAAAGTACCCGCGCAAAAAGTCACGGGTGTTGTACGGCGCGCATTCTACCTCAGAATGTGCGGCCAAGTTCAAATTGAAATCGTTCCTCTTCGTCAAACGGCTGGGTTTGAAAAGGTTTTGCGATACTGAACGTCATGGGACCGAGGCCGGTCAACCAGGTCATACCAAACCCGACGGAATAACGCAGTTCGTCCAGATCAAAATCGAAACAGTTCTGCGCAACTTCAGGGCATTGGGTATTGAAGGCGTTGCCGACATCAACAAAAAAAGCGGGGCGGAACTGCCGGTTATCATCAACAAACGGGAATGGGAAGATCAGTTCTGCAGAGCCTTCCACTAACAGGTTGCCGCCCAGCGGGTCACCACGTCGGTCGCCAATGAAAATAGGATTGCCATTGGCATCAACCGGTGGCGTGCTGCGTGGACCCAGCGTTGAATTCTCAAACCCGCGTACAGAACCAAAACCGCCGGCAAAGAAGTTCTGATAGAACGGCAGTTGTGTTGTCGAGCCATAACCATCACCGAAGCCAAGTTCGGAGCGCAACCTGAGTGTCCAGGTCTGCGTAATCGGGAAATAACGTTCTGCGGTGTAGTTGATTTTGTAGAACTGCAGGTCGCTGCCTGGTACGGAGACCTCAAACGCCAACGATTGAGACGCACCGCGGTCGGCAAACAGACCACGGTTTAGAGTTGACTTGCTCCAGGAAAAATTCAGCTTGAAGTTCAGCGACTCTTCGCCGTTTTTCTCAATAAAGTCGGAAATTTCCTGGGCAGCAAAAGCACCCTCGGTAATGTCCGTCCACTCAGCCAGCAGGCCGAAATTGATGCGCTGCACTTCACCGATCGGAAAACCGAAATTAACACCCGCCCCTGCTGAATCTGTGGCATAACGCGCAATGTTGCGCTCATCAAAATCCAACCGGCGCACAAAAACATTAAACCCACGGCTGATACCATCCAGGGTGTAATACGGGTCGAAATAGTTAAAACTTGCTGATTCCTGAAAACTTGAAGCACTCAGACCCACACCCAGACTGTTACCTGAACCCAACACATTCGATTGCTGATAATTTGCGCCAAGAATCAGTCCGGTACCCTGGGCGTAACCAAGGGTGGCAGAAATACTGCCTGAAGGCTGTTCCTCAACAGAAAAATTCACATCTATCTGATCGTCAGTACCAGGCACCGGTGGCGTTTCAACGTCGACCCCTTTGAAATAACCTAAGCGTTCAAGTCGAACTTTTGACAGATCAATTTGTGAAGAGGATGCCCAGCCACCTTCCATCTGGCGCAATTCACGCCGCATCACTTCGTCCTGGGTAACCCGATTGCCGGTAAACGAAACGCGACGTACATACGCCCGCTTGCCGGAGTTAACAAAGAACTCAACGTCTACAGTGCCGTCATCGTTCAATTTTGGCACCCCACTGGCAGAGGCGAAGGTAAAACCCGAGTTACCCAGCGCACCGGTTAAACGCTCTTCGGTGGCCGTAATGCGAGCCTGATTAAAGGTCTGGCCTTCGGAAACCACAAACAGACGGCGTAAATCTTCTGGTCGAACATCACCGAGTTCGCCAACCAGATTAACTTCATTGATGGTGTAGATATCACCTTCTTTAATACCGATGGTGATGTAAACCTGTTGCCGATCAGGCGTGATACTTACCTGGGTAGAGTAAATGTCGAAGTCGGCATAACCTCGGTCTTTGTAAAAAGATTCCAGAGTTTCCAGGTCGCCGGATAATTTCTCCCGCGAGTACTTATCGTCATTACGATAAAACGACAGCAGGCTGGGGTGTTTCAGTTCCAGCACGTCGAGCAATTCTGCATCACTGAACGCCTGCGCACCGACGATATTGAGGTGGCGAATACCTGAGTTTTTGCCTTCCTCAATGACAATTTTGACATTGACCCGATTGCGTTGCAGCTCTTCAATCTCCGTCTCAATACTGGCGCCATAGCGACCCTGGGCGACATACTGACGTTCCAGTTCAAGACCGACGCGCTCCAGCGTTGCCTGCTTGAAAATCTCCCCTTCACGCAAACCCTGCTGGCCTAATCCGTCCAGTAAGGCTTCTGTTTGAATCGCTTTGTTACCTTCAATGGTGATCGATTCGATCGCCGGGCGCTCAACCACGGTGACAATCAACACGCCATCGTCGCGACCAATACGGATGTCTTTGAAATATCCGGAAGCAAACAATTCACGCAGGGTCGCGCGCACCGCCAGCTGATCCAGCTGGTCGCCCACCCCAACTGGAATAAGGTTGAAAACAGTACCCGCAGAAACCCGCTGTAACCCCTGCAGGCGCACATCTGTGATGCGAAAACTTGGATCCTCAGCAGCCAGTGCGGTAACGGGGAGCAGGTTAGCTGTGAGCAGGAGCAGGCCTGTCAGCAGAGCTTTAGCCGGTGACGGGTAGCGTGCTGCACATCGGCACCACACAGAAAAGCGCAAAGCCAGATAGCGCATGAAAACGGTATTCCTCAAACGGAGCATTAAAATAGACGAAGCAGATCGTTGTAGGTGGCAAATATCACCATAGTGCCTACTAAAAACAACCCTACCTGCACACCCAGCACCTGTATATTTTCAGGTACGGGCTTGCCGGTGACCAGTTCCGCAGTGTGCATAACCACGTGGCCGCCATCAAGGATAGGAATGGGTAACAGGTTAAAAACACCCAGCGAAACACTGAGAAACGCCAGGATACCAACAAAAGAACGCCAGCTGTACTTTGCAGAATCTCCGGCCACCTGGGCGATACTGATAGGTCCAGACAGATTTTTAACGGACACCTTACCGGTAATCATTTTTTTGACGACGGATAGAATCATCACCGTTTTATCCCAGGTCTCGGTGACACCTACACCGACGGCACCCAGCACCCCATGGGACACTTCTATCTGCGGTTGATAAACTCCGATTGAACCGACTTCGGTGCCGTCGCTCAACATCCGGCTGCCGGGCGTAGCACTGATCTGCAGTTGGCGTCCCTCGCGGTAGAGCTCTATGCTGATACGCTGGTTTGGATGTTGCTCGATCTGCCCGGCCCAATCTGCCCAGGACAGGACAGGCTCGCCGTTTACAGCGGTGACAAAGTCGCCCGGCTGCAGACCAGCCTGCACAGCGGGTGAGTCTTCAACCAGTTCACCGACAACGCTGAGCACCACAGGTTGCAGACCCAGAGAACCAATAACGTCAGGTTCACCAACACCTTCGTGCCAATCCATAATGGGTACGTCGACGGTAAACGAGCGGTTGGTCTGCAGATCGCGCACGCCCAGCGCGATAACCCCACTTTCACCCAATCGATCAGTGAGCCCGAGGCCGATATCCTGCCAGCCATTGGCTACCCGCCCGTCAACGCTGAGAATCTGGACCGGTTGATCAAGGCCAGCCAGCGCTGCAGGACTGTCAGCAGCAGCAGACGCAACCATCGGCGTGATATTGAAGCTGCCCGCTACAGCCAGTGCCCAATAAACCACAATGGCAAGAATGAAATTAGCCACGGGACCGCCTAATGAAATGGCGATCCGCCAGGCAGGATGCAGATCCATGAAAGACACGGTACCTGGCGGTACGCCTATCTCAGCGTCATCCTCAGAAAGCATGTCGCGCTCGTCGTACATACGTACGTAGCCACCCAGCGGTATCATGGCAAGGGTGAACTGCGTGCCGTGTTTGTCAGTCCGTGACAGCAGCGGACGCCCAAAACCAACAGAAAAACGCAGAATACCCACGCCAGACCAGCGAGCAACAATGTAATGCCCAAACTCATGGAAGGTCACCAGGACCCCGAGAACGGCAATAAACGCTAATGGGTAATGCAATAAATCCACAGTGTGCTCTTTCTATACCAGCTTGATACACATTTTAGTCTGAACCTTGTCTGAATTGGATGCCTGCATCGGACAATGGTTCCTAAACCCATACCAGCGCAAATAGCGGCAGTACAGCGAGCAGCGAATCTATACGATCCAGCACACCACCATGACCGGGCAGCAGTGTGCCAGAATCTTTAACGCCGCTGGACCTTTTCATGACGCTTTCAAACAAATCGCCAAAGACCGACAGAACAATCAAACCCGCTGTCAACGGCAGCCAGAATCTCAGGTCGGCCTGCAGCAGCGCCGCACCCACGCCACACAAAACAGCTGCCAGCACGAACCCGCCAATCGCCCCTTCCCAGCTTTTACCCGGGCTCACCGCAGGGGCGAGTTTTCGTTTGCCGAATGCACGACCGCTGAAATAAGCGCCGATGTCCGCACCCCAGACCAACACAAACAGCCACACCAACCAGAAACTACCCTGTGGCGCTGAACGAATAACCACCAGAGCTGACCAGGCCGCCACAAACAAAGCCCAGCCAAGCAGGCCCATCAACAGGCGCTGGCGATAAATCTCCGTGCCCTTGGGGAAAACCAACACTCCGATGACCGCAAACAACCAGACCAGAGCACCAAGCCATAAAGCCGCGGCGTAACTTGCCAGGCCTGAATAAAGCGCGCCTGCCAGCACACCATAGGCGGCCACATAGGCGAGCTTCTGCGCGGTTTTCTGCAGGTGCAGAAGATTGGCCCACTCAAAACAACCCAGCGCCGATACCGCCCAGAAAACCAGCGCAAACCATCCTGGTGGCAACCAGAACACCCCTGCCAGCGCCAGCGGAGCGAGAACAAGCGCAGTGATAATGCGGCTTAATAACATGGTGATAAGTAATGGCAGGCTTTAACGCCCGCCAAAACGCCTTGCGCGTTGTTCAAATTCCTGCACCGCCTGTTTTAATTGCTGGGCATCGAAGTCAGGCCAGAAACTCTCCGTAAAATAGAGTTCCGCGTAAGCAAGATCCCACAATAAAAAATTACTGATGCGATGGTCGCCACCGGTGCGGATAAGCAGATCAGGGTCTGGGATCTGTCCCAGCGCCATATGCCGGGCAAACTCTTCTTCAGTGATCAGTTCGGGATCAAGCTCTCCCCTCTGCACTTGTTTTGCCATGCTTTTAGCCGCTTCTACGATATCCCAGCGGCCGCCGAAGTTAACTGCGACACTTAAGTTGAGTTTTGTATTGGTCGCGGTTAACGCCTCACAGTCCGCCATTTTCGCCTGTATGTCCTGCGCAAACCGGGAGCGATCACCAATTACGCGCAGGCGCACCTCACGACGATTGAGCTCTGCCAGATCGTTTTCCATGACATGTCGCATGAGATCCATCAACAGGCTGACTTCACGTGTCGGCCGCTGCCAGTTCTCCGTGCTGAAAGCAAACAGGGTAAGATTTTCGACGCCGAGATCAGCACAGGCTTCAGCTATTTCACGCAGCCTTTTGGCACCAGCTCGATGTCCGGCAGCACCAGGCAAATGACGCTTCTTCGCCCAGCGATGATTACCATCCATGATGATTGCAATGTGCTTTGGCACACTGAGCTGAACATCTGTTGCGACGTTGTTTGACGCAGGCGAGGATCCTGGCTTAACGTTGTTGTTCATTTGGATAGAGTCGGAGCCCTGGAGCGCTGCCTTAAAATTCCATCAGGTCGGCTTCTTTGCTCGCCAGAGACTTATCCACCTGTGCCACGCGAGCGTCTGTGACGCTCTGGATCCGATCCTCTGCGCGATGCGCGTCGTCGTCAGTGGCCTCTTTCTCTTTCACCAGCTCACGTACGTCGTTAATGGCATCACGACGAATATTACGGATAGCAATGCGGCAGTTTTCCGCCTCGCTGCGCGCAACTTTGGCCAGATCTTTGCGGTTCTCCTCGGTCAACGGCGGCAATGGCACGCGGATGACATCTCCGGTCGACACTGGGGTGATACCAATGTCGCTTTTCAAAATGGCTTTTTCGATTTCTGGAATGAGCGGTTTTTCCCAGGGGGAAACCGTCAGGGTGCGACCGTCTTCGACTGATATGGAGGCCACCTGACTTAGTGGTGTGACCGACCCGTAGTACTCAATGGTAACGGTATCCAGGAGTGACGGATTAGCGCGCCCGGTTCTGATTTTTGCAAACGCCTGCTGGAGTGAATCCAATGATTTCCCCATACGTTCGTCTGCATCTTCAACAATCTCATCTATCATGGTGACAACTACCCCTCAAAAGCGTTGGTTTTCGGATAATTCAGCGGGTTATATCAGGCCACCACCCGGGTGCCTATTGATTTACCGGCCGCAATGTCCTGCAGAACGTTTTTTGCCATCATGTCGAACACCACAAGCGGCATCGCGTTCTCTTTGCAAAGAATGATCGCCGTCAGATCCATAACACCTAACTGGCGCTGTAAAACCTCATCGTAGCTGACCGTATCGAATTTACGGGCGTGTGCGTTACTTTTCGGATCTGCATCGTAAACGCCGTCGACATTGGTGGCTTTCAGCACGGCGTCGACGTTCAACTCCACACCACGCAGACAGGCTGCCGTGTCGGTGGTGAAAAAAGGATTCCCGGTGCCGCCACTTAAAATACAAACGACACCCTGCTGCAGCAGATCGCGGACCTCGTCGCGGTGATATCCCTGCGCGACACCAGGAATATCCATACTGGAAAACAGCTTGTTGGCAACGCCAGCCTGGGACAGGAAATCGCCCATGGCCAAGCCATTCATTACTGTGGCCAGCATGCCCATTCTGTCGCCAACCACACGGTCCATACCAGATTCCGCCAGTTTCTGACCGCGGAACACGTTGCCGCCGCCCAACACTAACGCCAGCGACACACCCTGCTTGGTGAGCACTTTGATGTCTGCAGCCAGCTGCTGTAACACAGCGGGCTCCAGACCAAAGCCGGCTTCACCGCCGAGGGCTTCGCCACTCAGCTTTAGCAGAAAAGTAGGCAACGTTAGTCGCTGCCGCCCAGTTGAGCCGCCACTTCTGCAGCAAAATCAGTTTCGTCTTTTTCAATGCCCTCACCCACCTCAAAGCGGACAAAGCGCAAAACCTCAACGCCAGCTGCTTTCGCCAGCGCACCGACTTTCTGCTTATCGTCTTTGACAAAAGGCTGATCGACCAGGCTGACTTCGGCCAGAAATTTCTTCACCCTGCCATCTACCATCTTCTCGACGATTTCCGCAGGCTTGCCACTATCGTTGGCTTGCGTGGTGTAAATTTCCCGCTCTTTCGCAAGAAGCTCCGCGGGCACATCAGTGCTGTTAACCACTAAAGGGTTCAAAGCAGTGACATGCATAGCCACATCCCGTCCCAATTCTTCAGCAGGGCCGGACAGTTCCACTAAAGCGCCTTTGCGGGAATCACCGTGCAGGTAGCTGGTAATGCCACCGGTCTGGGAATTAATGACTTCGGCCCGGCGGATGGTGATATTTTCACCAATTTCCTGAACCAGAGTTTCACGCTCAGCCTCAAGGCCTGCATCTAACAGCGCCTGCAAATCATTGTTGCCTGCAGCAAAGATCTGATTGAGCACCTTGTCTACAAAGGCAATAAATTTCTCGTTTTTAGCCGCAAAGTCAGTTTCGATATTGACCTCTACAACTGCTCCGCGGCTGCCATCATCAGCCACTTTAATGCCCAACAGGCCATCCGCCGTTGTGCGGCCGGATTTCTTGGCTGCTTTTAATGCACTCGACTTACGCAGTTCTTCAATTGCCTGCTCCAGATCGCCACCGGTTGCTTCAAGCGCACGTTTACAGTCCATCATGCCCAGACCGGTCCGTTCACGCAGTTCTTTAACCATTGCTGCGGTAATCGCCATATCAGCTTACTCCTTGCCTGCGGCTGGTTTTTCAGCAGCTTCAGGTGCATCTGCCGTGGTGCTCGCTGCAGTTTCGTCCTGCTCTGCAAAGGCTTCTTCAACGGATGCCGACACACCGGCAGAAATGTTAGCCACCGGCGCTGCAGCGCTTGCGGCATCGTCGCTGACTTCGACAAACTCGTCTGGATCAACCTTCAAGGAAGCCTGGTTCTGGCCAGCAGCGATGGCATCAGCCACAGCCGTGACATACAGACGAATCGCACGAATGGCGTCATCGTTACCGGGAATCACGACATCGACGCCATCCGGATCACTGTTACTGTCAACAATGCCAAACACAGGAATGCCAAGTTTATTGGCTTCACTGATGGCAATGTGTTCGTGCTGCACGTCAATAACAAACAATGCATCAGGTAGACCGCCCATGTCTTTAATACCACCAAGACTGGCGAATAACTTATCCATAACCCGGGTTTTCTGCAGCGCTTCGCGCTTTGGCAGCATTTCAAAAGTGCCATCTTCGGATTGTTTTTCAAGGTCCTGCAGGCGACGAATAGACTGACGGATGGTCTTATAGTTGGTCAGCATCCCGCCCAGCCAGCGCTGGTCGACAAATGGCATACCCACGCGTGAGGCCTGCTCGTTCACCACTTTCGCAGCTGCTCTTTTGGTACCCACAAACAGGATTTTATTGCCTTTACGTGCGAGTGCCTGAATCTGGCTCAGCGCATCGTTGAAGGCAGGCAGGGTCTGCTCGAGGTTGATGATGTGAATTTTGTTTCGAGCGCCAAACAGGTAAGGCGCCATCTTGGGGTTCCAGAATCTGGTCTGATGGCCAAAATGCACGCCAGCAGCCAGCATATCTCGCATAGATACACTCATAGTCTTCTCCGGGTTGTTTGTCTCGGCATACTCCCCATCACCCAACCGCTTCAAGGCGGCACCCGTGGGGATGCGACGGAATATGCTGTATTTGTGCTAACTGACTCCAAAGTGAAATTGAATTTCGCTTCAGAACAGCCGCGGTTAATGGCGCAGCGGCAATTGTCATAATTAAAGACAATCGTCCTTGCCGCGCGACGGGGCGCTTTATACCATAGTTGATTACCCTTCGAAACGAGTTTTATCACCATGGTAGCCACTGTTACCGACGACACAGACCTCAATGGAATGCGCGCCGCAGGGCGTGCTGCAGCCAGCGTGTTAGAAATGATTGGCCCACATGTTGTACCCGGCGTGACCACCGACGCGCTCAACACCCTGTGCCATGACTATATTGTCGACCAGTTGGGCTGTATCCCTGCGCCGTTGAACTATGGGGGTGGCGGCGGACAGATGCCCTTCCCCAAGTCGATCTGTACCTCTGTGAACCACGTGGTCTGCCATGGCATTCCCACCGAGAGCAAGATATTAAAGAACGGCGATGCGCTGAACATAGATATCACCGTGATCAAAGACGGCTACCACGGTGATACCAGCAAGATGTTCTGTATCGGCGAACCGTCAGTGCTGGCCAAGCGGCTGATCAAAGTCACCCAGGAGTGCCTTTATAAGGGTATCGAAGCTGTAAAAGCGGGCGCGCATCTGGGTGACATCGGCCACGCCATCCAGCAACATGCCGAACGCAATCGATTCAGCGTTGTACGTGAGTTCTGTGGCCACGGGATCGGCAAGGTATTTCATGATGCGCCCCAGGTACTCCACTACGGACGTCCCGGGTCTGGTATGCGCCTGGAAGAAGGAATGACGTTTACCATCGAACCCATGATCAACGCGGGCAAGCGTCACATTAAAATCTTACCCGATCAATGGACCGCAGTGACCAAAGACCACAAACTCTCAGCCCAGTGGGAACATACCCTCATGGTGACACAACAAGGTTGTGAAATTTTCACGTTACGCGCTGAAGAAAGCGCAAGCCAACCGGTGCAAAGCGCATCGCTACGTTAACTAAGGCGCTCGAGAGCCGACAACAACTCAATGCGCTGCAGGATGGTCTTGCGGCGAGATTCTGGCAAAACGAACCCATAGAAACGTTGCTGCTCGAAATGAGCAACGGCATCGACGACATCCTGCGAGACCTGTTTGCAACGCATCTGGGCGACACTAAACAGGTTGCCTTGTACGCGGTGGGTGGCTACGGGCGCCAGGAGGTCCATCCCGGTTCTGACATCGACATTCTTGTGCTTGCCAGCAAACCACAGAAGTACCAGCGAAAGATCGAGCTGTTCCTGCAGTCTGTATTCGACCTCAATGTCGAAGTTGGCCACAGTGTGCGCGACATCAAATCCTGCAAGGTGCAGGCCAAGCAGGATATTACCGTCGCCACCGCGTTGTTTGAACGACGTTTCATTACCGGTGACACTTCACTCACCAGCGGCCTGGACAAGGCACTGAACAACCCTCGCCTGTGGCCTGCAGACAAATTTTTCCAGGCCAAGTACGAAGAACAGAAACAACGCCACAAAGATTACGATAATGTCGAGTACAACCTCGAACCCAACATCAAAACCTCGCCCGGCGGTTTGCGCGACATTCACACCGCGCTATGGATCTGCAAGCGAAAGTTCAACACCACCGATCCCGAAAAGCTGGTAGAACTCGGCGTGCTCATGCCGACGGAGAAAAAATGGCTGGTTGAGGGTAGACGTTTTATCTGGTGGGTGCGTTTTGGTTTGCACCTGATTGCCCAGCGCAAAGAAGACCGATTGCAATTCGCCCACCAGCGCGAACTTGCCCAACGATTGGGTTTCGTTGACACCGAAACCCAGCGCGGGGTGGAACGCTTCATGTACCACTACTATCGGCATGTACTGGCTCTGACAGAAGTGAATGACATTCTGATACAGTATTTTCAGGAATCCACTATTCCCCCGCGCAAGGTTCGCGAAGAACCCATAAACGAAAGATTTCAGCTGACTAACAGCTATATTGAAGCGCGCAGTGACGATACATTTCAGCAGACGCCTTCCGCCATCCTCGAGATGTTTGTGATCATGGCCAATCGTCGTGATATTGCTGGCGTCCGCGCCCGCACCATTCGCCAGATCCGGGAAAACCTGCATCTCATCGACGACGATTTTCGCGACAACCGTGCACATCAGAAACTGTTTCTCGATCTGTTAAAGGCACCCTACACACTGGTTTCTCAGCTGACCCGAATGCGCAGATACGGTGTGTTGGGGCGTTACATACCTGAATTTGGTCGCGTTATCGGGCAGATGCAGCACGATCTTTTTCACATCTATACCGTCGATGCGCACACCATGATGGTCATTCGTAACATGCGCCGATTCCGCTACCGGGCCAGCAAACAGGCTTTTCCGGTGGCTTATCATGCGGTCCACACGCTGCCTAAGCTCGAACTTCTCTATATCGCAGGTATTTTCCATGATATCGGCAAAGGCAGAGGCGGCGACCATTCCACGCTCGGGGCTGCTGATGCGGAAATTTTCTGCCGGCGCCACGACTTAAGTGTGACTGATACACAACTGGTCTGCTGGCTTGTGGAGAAACACCTGTTCATGTCTTCTGTTGCACAACGGGAAGATATTTACGATCCGGATGTGGTGTACAAATTCTCCCTGGAAGTTAAATCCGAAATGCGGCTGGATTACTTGTATGCATTGACTGTTGCCGACATCAACGCCACCAACCCGACCTTATGGAACAGTTGGCGCGCCACGCTCCTGCGCCACCTCTACAACGAAACCCGCAAACTCCTGCGTCGCGGCGTGGAAGCCTCAGCCGATCGTGAGGATGCGGTGGCCGCGTATCAGGAACGTGCACTTGAGCGACTGATCGAAGCCCACCCTGATTTAGATAAAGCGGAGGTCAGGAACGTCTGGGAAGACATCGGTGAGGACTTTTTCCTGCGTCACACACCGCCGCAGATTGCAACGCTGACCGAAGCGCTTGTACAACATGATCTGGCAGATGGCGCTTTTGTTACCCTTCGCGACACCCACGGAGATTCGCCTGGCGAAGGTGCTACCCGGGTGTATATTTACTGCAGGGATCAGCGAGGTCTATTTGCGACCTCTGTGCTGGCACTGAGTCACTTCGACCTGAACATCGTGGACGCAACCGTTTCCACCGCAGAAACTGGCAACTGCTTTGATACCTACACAATATTGACCAGTGACGGCGAGAGCCTGCCACGTGAGGGCCAGCTGCGCGAAAAGATCGCCTCACGTCTGGTGCAGGCGATTAACGACGACGCCAAGGGGCTGGATCTACCCCGTCGTCGCCTGTCACGGCGATTGCGGGAATTGCCCCACCCCACAAGTGTCAGCATTGTGCCCAACGCCACCGGAGACGCATCAATCATGACCGTCATCGCCAGTGACCGCCCTGGATTACTGGCGACAATAGGTTTGTTACTGGTAGAACTGAACATAGAACTTCTCTCAGCAAAAATCGCCACGTTGGGTGAACGCGTGGAGGACACTTTTGTGATTCAGAACAGCGACTTCCAGCCTATCGGCAAAGGTGAGCCAACCTATATGCTGGAAAATGCGATTCGCCAACAACTTGACCAGGAATTGGGATTGAATCAACTGGGACAGGCTTAACCATGACGTACAACCCGCACCTGAAAGACCTGCAACCTTATCCGTTTGAGCGTTTACGCCAACTCACTCACGACATTGAAGGTAATCCATCTTTCAGCCTCATCCCGTTGACCCTGGGTGAACCAAAACATGCCCCGCCGGAATTTGTGGTGAAGGCTTTAACCGACCCGGAGAACATGCGCCAGGCGTTAGGGACCTATCCGCTGACCAAAGGCTCCATTGAGCTTCGCACAGCGATAGCCAGCTGGCTGCAAAAAAGATTTACCGTAAACGTTGATCCGGAAATTGAAATTCTACCGGTGAACGGCACCCGCGAAGGCTTATTCGCTTTTGCTCAAGCGATGTTAAGCGGTAAACCAGACAGCCTGGTTATGATGCCTAATCCGTTTTATCAGATTTACGAAGGCGCATCTCTGCTGGCTGGCGCCACCCCACTGCTTATCGACAACCAGCCCTCATTGGACTTCCAACAGGATTTCGAACACATCACAGAGGCCCAGTGGCAACAGACCGAACTTGTATATCTTTGCTCTCCCGGCAACCCGACCGGACAGATCATGCCGCAGGCACAGCAACAGGCTTTGATCGAACGCGCACACAAGTACAACTTTGTGATCGCAGCTGACGAGTGTTATTCCGAGCTTTACTTTGATGAATCGCTGCCACCGGGCAGTTTACTCAGTGCCAGCAAGGCTATGGGCAACCCGGACTTCAGCCGCTGCGTGGTGTTCCACAGTTTGTCTAAACGTTCCAACCTGCCGGGCTTGCGCAGTGGCTTTGTGGCCGGAGACAAAGCCCTGATGTCAGCCTTTCTCGCCTATCGTACGTACCACGGTTGCGCAATGAGTGCACATCATCAGGCGGCGTCGACCCTGGCCTGGCAGGATGAAGATCATGTTATTGCTAATCGGCGGCTATACCAGGACAAATTTGCTGCGGTCAGCAACATTCTTGCCCCCCACTACACAATGAATAAACCGGATGGCGCTTTTTACCACTGGCTTGCCACGCCAACCGACGACGGCGCGTTTACACGCGCGCTGCTGGAGAAATTCAACGTCCTCGTCATGCCGGGACAGTTCCTCGCGAGATCAAATAATGGCCACAATCCCGGCAGCGGCTTTGTCCGCGTGGCCTGGGTAGCCCCATTTGAACAGTGTGTTGAAGCTGCAGAGCGGTTAGCGCGTTTTGCCCAATCTGGCTAATCTGTGTAGGCGTTGTCAGCGCTGATCTGTAGAATACCGCGTCTTTTTACAGGACCGCGGAATTGACATGGCGAACGTATTTGCCTTTGGTATAGGGCTAGCAACAACCAACAGTGCAGGAGACGTCCTCGACTGCCTGTTTCCTAACCCAGTGATGCACCCGGATGCCGCACTCACTGATGTGTTGGCGGAATTCAAGGCAGGCACGAGTAGCCTCACACCAGAGCAGGCTCACACGGCCAACAGCCGCTGTGATGAGAAGCTGTTTCCACCTTCGATGCTGGCATCCGACCAGCCGTTAACCGCTGTTTGCCTGGCCGATGACTCACCTATTAACAGCACCGCAGAGGCCTATCTGAAACTGCATTTGCTGTCTCATCGGCTGACCCGTCCGAACACACTCAACCTTGACAATATTTTTGCGCACCTGCCTAACCTGGCCTGGACCAGTGAAGGTCCAATTGAAGTCAATGGGCTGCAGGCGGCTTTGCTGGACGCCCGCCTTCATGGCAGGCACCTGGAAGTAATGAGTGTCGACAAGTTCCCAAAAATGGTGAACTACGTTATGCCGTCAGGCGTAAGGATCGCAGATGCCAGTCGTATCAGACTCGGCGCCTACCTCGGTGAAGGCACCACTGTGATGCACGAAGGTTTTGTAAATTTTAATGCCGGCGCCATCGGACCTAACATGGTTGAAGGTCGCATCTCTCAGGGTGTGATTATTGACGAAGGCACTGACCTGGGTGGCAGCGCCAGCACCATGGGTACGCTGTCCGGCGGTGGTGAAATCACCATCAGCCTCGGCAAGAACTGCTTAATCGGCGCAAACGCCGGAACCGGCATACCCTTAGGCGATCGCTGCACCATCGAAGCAGGTTTATACATCACCGCAGGCAGCGTGATCAGTGTGGTAGATGAACATGGTGAGGCAGTACGCAAGGTTAAAGCCCGTGAACTTGCCGGCGGATCGGATCTGCTGTTTATCCGCAATTCTCAGACCGGCCAGGTGATCTGCCGCACCAACCGCCAGGCCATTGCGTTGAACGATGCACTACATGCGCACAACTAGCACCTTGCAGGACGGCAGAGACAACTTATGGCAGTAACATCACAATCTGCCGAGGCGTCAGCTGCGGCTGTTTTGGATCTGACCTGCGAACTGATTGCAAAACAATCGGTAACGCCCGCAGATGACGGTTGCCAGGACATCATCGGCGCGCGGCTTGGCGCCCTTGGCTTCAATCTGGAGCAGATAGATGCAAACGGCGTACGCAACCTGTGGGCCGTGCGAGGCAATGGCTCTCCGCACCTGCTGTTTGCCGGCCATACGGATGTGGTGCCGCCCGGGCCGTTGGATCAGTGGCACACGCCACCTTTCACACCAACCGTGATCGACAACGTCTTATACGGTCGCGGCGCTGCTGATATGAAAGCCAGTCTTGCCGCGATGGTGGTGGCGACGGAGAACATCCTGCAACAGCACCCGGATATGCCCGGCACCATCAGCTTCCTGATCACCAGTGACGAAGAGGGGGACGCGACTTATGGCACAACCTACGCCATACAGGCACTTAAAGCGCGAGGTATTACACCCGACTACTGTGTGGTTGGTGAGCCCAGTTCCAGCTTACAGACAGGTGATGTGGTGCGGTGTGGCCGCAGAGGGTCCCTGAACGGCAAATTGCTTGTGCGTGGTATTCAAGGCCATGTTGCCTACCCTGCCGATGCAGACAACCCGATTCATAAGGCACTTGGTGCACTTGCAGAACTGACCGATATTGTCTGGGACAACGGCAACGACTTTTATCCGCCTACCAGCTTTGCTATCTCGAACATCAATGCAGGCACGGGCGCGACAAACGTCATTCCCGGCAATCTGAGCGTGCTGTTTAACTTCCGCTTCAACACAACGCAAACAAGTCATGGCCTGCAACAGGCGGTAGAGGCGCTGCTCGACAAGTACCACTTAGACTATCAGTTAGACTGGGCTTTATCTGGTGAGCCCTTCCTTACCCAGCCCGGCGCTCTGACAGGCGCAGTCACCGAAGCCGTGCAGGCGGAAATGGGGTTTGCACCAGAGCTGTCAACTTCCGGCGGCACATCGGACGGTCGTTTTATCTCACCCTGGGGCTCACCTGGCAGCCACAGCGTCGAAGTGGTTGAACTCGGCCCCTGCAATGCGACCATCCATAAGCTGAATGAATGCATCGAGATTAAAGAAATGCTGCCACTGACAAACATGTACCAGCGCATCATCAAGACCCTGTTAACAGTATGATCAAGTATGTTCTGGCAGGTCTACTGGTGTTTGTGCTTGCGGCGATAGCCGCAGCTCCAGCAGGCATTGTCGATCGCCTTGTCAGCCAATCAGATACAGCTGAGTTAACCCATAGCCGCGGCTCGCTGTGGCGAGGTCAGGGCGACCTGCTTGTCGAGGATAATCACCTCGGTCAGGTGAACTGGGACTTTCATGTTGGCTCGTTGTTCAGATTACAGCCGACCTATCAATGGACACTGACCCAAACCAACTGGCAATTGGCAGGACTGGCTGGGGCGAGCTTCAGTGACGCTGAGATCAATATTTCTGGTGATGTCGATGCTCAAGCTGTAAATCAATGGCTGGCGCCTTACGACATCACTACCAGTGGGACCTTCAGTATCTTGCCCACCCGGATTCTGCTGCCGCACAACACCCCTCTACCCAGCGCATTTGCAGGACAGATAAACTGGACCGGTGGATTGGTCCGCTACACACTGTCGGGACAGCTCAGCGAGGCAACGCTGCCACCTCTGGTCGCCTATCTGGATATGAACGGGAATAATGAACCCCAGGCCACGGTTTTTGCCGAAAATGATCAGACGCCTTTGATGATCGCTACCCTCGGCGCCAATGGATTCGCTAAAGTAGGTATCAGCAAACGCTTGACCCAGTTACTGAACAACCCATGGCCAGGAACTGATCCGGATCATCACATTGTTGTTCAGGTGGAAGAAAAAGTATTTTAATTCAATAAGCTATAGAACATTTTTAAAATAAAAGGACGGTTTTAGCCGCTGCCCTGCTCCGCGCCAAGGAAGGGGACGAATCAGCGAAATCGTGTTAGCGTAGCACTTCACAGCTTTGACCTGTGAACACGCTCATAATACCTGTCATATCATCGTCTTGATTACGCTCTACGGGATCGAAAAGAGGGACAAATTGTTCGAGACCATCGTCAATAAAGGTGCTGAGCCGGCCAAGTGGCTGCTGATCATAGGTATCGCTTATACCCTGGCGACACTTGCCTGGTCGTTTTTTGATACACCTATCGCCCCCGTGACCGTTGCAGACTCAGACCTCGGCAAAAGTACAAGTGTACGTCCCGCAGCAAACGTCAACTGGATCCTGGGCAAACATCTGTTTGGTGAAGCCGGCGCTGCACCGGTGGTGACCAGTCGTGATGCACCCGTCCAGCAAACGCGCCTCCCCCTCGAGCTACAGGGTGTATTCATGGCTGACGAAAATCAGGCTTCCGCAGCCATTGTTGCGCAAAGAGGTAAGCCCGGAAAACGCTACGTGGTTGGGGACACGCTGCCGGGCAATGCAAAACTCGACGAAGTGTTCACCAATCGTATTATTCTTGTCCGTGCCGGCGTGCGCGAGACGTTACCCTTTCCGAAAACAAAAACTGAATTCATCGCCGAAGATTACCCCGACGAGAGCATTGATGGCTCGGCCTCAAGTAACAGCCCAGCAGACCTGATCGACACGGCAAACGTTGCGACTGAACAGGAAGAGTCTGCACCTGAAGAAATTGTCGAGCAGTATCGGGAACGCCTTGCAGCAGACCCCGCTGCCGCGTTAAATGACCTCGGTGTGGAGACCGTCGATGGCGGCGGATATCGAATTGGCAACCTGGCACAGAATCCCCTGCTGAAAAACACGGGCCTGCAGGCCGGTGATGTCATACTGTCGGTAAACGGACAACCCGTTGGCGACATTTCCCAGGACCAGCTGGAACTGGACAACATCATGGCGCAGGGCTCCGCACGAATAGAAGTCCAACGCGGTGAGCGCCGTTTTTTCATCACGGCATCGCTGCCTTAGCGCTGCTTTAAAACTGAACGCCTAGAAGTCACGTATGAATCGCATAATGAACAAAAATATTTTTCTAGCTTTAACGGCTTTCTGCGTGCTTTTCACAGGCACTGCGGTGCTGGCACAAGAACAGACCTGGCGTATCACGACAAAAAACTCGGATATGCATGAATTTGTCGCGCAAGTGGCTGAAATCACAGGCAAAACCTTTGTTCTGGACCCACGTCTGAAAGGCTCTGTAACGGTTATCTCAGACGCGCCTATGGATAAAGACGGCGTCTATGCGCTGTTTCTTAGTGTTCTTCGCTTACACAATTTTACCGCGGTACCTTCCGGCGACGTGATCCGAATTCAACAGAACGCAACCGGCAAACAGGGCCCTGGCGTGCCGGGTGACCTGGGTTCGATCGCACCGGAAGAACTGGTCACTCGAGTGGTTGCGGCGCAGAACGTTGATTCCGCGGAACTGGTGAAAATTTTACGCCCATTGATTCCCCAGTACGGCCACATTGCCTCGGTCGCCCAGCCCAATGTTGTCATCATCAGTGACCATGCGGATAACATCGTTCGGTTGAAACGTCTGATTCAGCAAATCGACGTATCCGATGAAGAAGAGGTTGTCATGGTACCGCTGAAAGATGCCTGGGTAGGCACCGTGGTGGCCATTCTGGAAAAGGTTGCACCCGAGCAGATCGGGCGCAACGCCAAAGGACCACAACGTATTCAGATCATCGCTAACGAACGCAACAATTCCCTGGTTTTACGCGGTAAACCCCGACCCATTGCTGAGGTTCTGAAACTCGTCGAAAAGCTTGATCAGCCCACAACCACGACCGATGCAACCCAGGTCATTATGTTGCGTCATGCAGACGCGGTGAACGTGGCTAACATTCTCGGCGGGGTCATCAGCAGTCGCGCAAGCAAAGGCGAAGAAGGTGCAACCCAGGAAACCACCATACAGGCTGATGAAACCCTCAATGCCATTGTTGTCAGCGCAGACCCCGGGGCTATGAACGAGTTGTTAGAGATCGTCGAAAAGCTCGATATCAGACGTTCCCAGGTACTGATTGAAGCGGCCATTGTTGAGATAACACTTGATGACAGCCTGGACTACGGCGTAGAAATGGCCGCTGCAGATGGATCCGGCGAGACAGTACCCCTGATAACCACCAGCCTGCAGGGCGTGATTTCCAGCCTGTTCAGCGAATTGGTTGGCGAGGATGGCAATGTCGATGCGCTACAAGCCCTGGCGAATATCACCAGCCCTACCCTTGCTGCAGCCAAGATCGATGTTGGCGCCATTTCCTTTGGTGCGGTGATCACCGCGCTGGCTACCAACTCGAGAGCCAATTTACTGTCGACGCCCAGCATCCTGACCCTGGACAATCAGGAAGCGCACATCCTGGTAGGTCGGGAAGTACCCTTTCGCACAGGCTCATTTACCACCACTGGAGACGGCACCTCCAACCCGTTTACCACCGTCCAGCGCGAAGACGTTGGCGTTGAACTTACTGTGACACCCTACGTACACGACGATTCCGCTGTACGTTTGGATGTCATCCAGCAGATCACCAACGTGCTGGCAACGCCGGTCGGTGGTGAGGCGTTTGCTGACGTTGTTACCTCTAAACGCACCATTGAAACAACAATATTGGCGGAAGATCGTCAGACCATTGTGCTCGGCGGTTTGATACAGGACGACATCACTGAATCAGAATCCAGGGTACCGGTGCTGGGCAGTATTCCGGTGCTGGGCAACTTGTTCAGGTCACGCGGCAAAACCAACGCAAAAACCAATCTACTGGTATTTCTGCGCCCTACGATCATCCGCAGTAAAGAAGAGGCAATCAGTGTTACCCAGGATAAATACAAATCTGTCTGGGAAGTAGAAATCAATTCCGTTGATCGCACGTTGGACGGCTTGTTCGATGGCAGACGCCCAGAGGTCTCCACACCTAACTAGACACCAGTGCGCCGCACATGAAAGCATTCATTTATCGTTTTTGCCGCGCCATTCTCAAATGGATCGCGCGTCCTACACTGACAGGCGCAGACAACATTCCAGGCGAAGGCGCTGAGATCGTTTACGTCCTGCATCATCGCGCCATAACTGACCTGGCAATGCTCGATATTGCCTGCGTGCAGGCAGGCTTTGTTTCACCATTCACCAGCATGGTTCTGGCAGGCGAATCCGGCGAAGAAGACTTCACCGAGCGTCATCGGTTTTTTGCATTATATCGCTCCAAAGGCGGACGTATGACCGCCCCATCCAACCCGGATCGTCTGCTCCGGCTGCTTGAATCCCCACCTGAACTACGCGACAAAATTATGTTTGTACCGGTATCTGTCTTCTGGGGCCGCGCTATGTCCGGGGAAGGCACGTTTTTCAAAAATATCACCAGCGAAGGCTGGGCCGTAACCGGGCGCATAAAGCGTCTGTTAAATCTTGTGATTAACCGCCGCAATATTTTTGTGCATACAGGTCGCCCCATTCCAGCGCTATCTATCTGTGACGAAGATGAAGTGACGGAAATACTTGCGCGCAGGGTCAGCCGCTTATTGCGAGTGCGCCTTCGTCAACAGAAACAAACCGCTCTGGGCCCAGACTTTTCCCATCGCAGGACTCTGCTGCATCAGGTGGTCACATCGACAAATGTTAAACAGGCGATAACCGCAGAGGTGGCTAACGGCGTTAAACAGGGTAAAGCCGAACGCCTTGCGCGTAAATATGCACGGACCATTGCGTCAGATATGTCACATCCGACCATTCGCGTGTTAGCTCGCCTGTTGCGATGGTTCTGGAACCAGATTTACAACGGCATCGAGGTGGCTGGCATTGAGTCTTTGGAAGAAGTCAGCGCCAGCCACACGCTGGTCTACGTACCCTCGCATCGCAGTCACCTGGACTACCTACTGCTGAGTTACCTGCTCTACTTCCGCGGCTTCATGATCCCGCACATCGCCGCAGGGGATAATCTGAACCTACCTCTGATAGGGCCGATCCTGCGCCGGGGCGGCGCTTTTTTCATGCGCAGAAGCTTTCGCGACAACCCTTTGTATGCAGCTGTTTTCAACGAATATCTATACGAGGTATATCGTCACGGCCACTGTGTCGAATTTTTCCCCGAGGGTGGGCGCACACGCACAGGACGCTTGTTACCGGCCCGTATGGGTTTACTGAAGATGACCGTTGACCACCAGTTGCGTGGCTTACCTAAACCGTTAGCGCTAGTGCCTGTCTATTTCGGCTACGAAAAAGTAGTGGAGGGTTCCAGCTATCTTTCTGAGCTACGCGGCGCAGATAAACAATCGGAGTCGGTGACGGACGTCTTTCGCAATCTCAAGTTAATCAAACAGAACTTTGGCAGCGTGCAGGTCAACATTGGCGAGGCGATCAAGCTGGACGAGTGGCTTGTCGCGCACTCCCCTTGCGGCGCGGAAGAGCAGCCAAATCTCGAACAGCTCGGTCGTGACGTGATGATTGGCATCAATCAGCAGGCCAACCTGAACCCGGTTAATCTGGTAGCGCTGGTTACCCTGGCTACGCCGAAGATAGCCATCGAAGAACACAGACTGCTGGCGCAGATTGCCTGCTATCAGAAACTTCTGAGTACTCTAAACCCGGGGCGCGAGGTGGTTACCGGCCTTGCCCCAGATGAGGTGGTTGAACATGTTGAAGAACTGGGCCTGTTAAGCCGCGATGAAGAACCTTTTGGCCCGGTGCTCACGCACGGGCCATTCAACGCCGTTATGATGACCTGGTATCGTAACAATGTGGTACACACACTGGCATTACCGTCTCTGATTGCCTGCCTGCTGGTCAAAAGGCGCCGAGGTGTGAGTGCCAGCCAAATCAAATCCATGGTGGAACTGATCTTCCCTTATCTTGCCAATGAACTCTCTACGCAAGCCGAAATCCAGAAAGTGCAATCGTGCCTGGATGCCATGTCGGAACTGGGTTTGCTGGAACGCAGCTCTGCACCCACCGCAGCAGGTTCAAAAAGCCGAACCATCTGCCTGTACAGCGCACCGCCACCAGCTCATCCGGAGCACCTGCAGCTGACGTTGCTGTCCAATCTGGTAAGTCAGACCCTTGAGCGTATGTTCATCGTGATACAACAGCTGGCGCAAGGGGACATGGATCGTGACACTCTGCGCACCCGCAGCCAGGGTGTGGCGCAACGTATTTCCAGATTGTACGGGATCAACGCGCCGGAGTTTTCAGATCAACGTCTGTTCGAACAATTTATTGATGCGCTAATACGCCATGGCATGGTGCAGGTCGCTGAAGATGGCGGACTGACCTACGATCCTGCTGTTGAACGGGTGTTGCGCGCGGCTGAATTTGTTATCGACCCGCAGATCCGGCACGGTGTTCTGGCTGCAGGCACCTATAGATAAACGTCAAAACGGACAGATTGTCCCTTCACCTGGAAGGATGGTGTACCCGTCACCGGATCTCTGGCACGCCGTTTCAACACAACGCGCCCCCTGGCGGCACGTTGTGCCAGGACCAGCAGCGCCTCGAGATCAGGCACGGGCGAATGATCCTGGGTCAACGCCTGCAGGTGCTGCAAACCCCGATTCGGTAATGCCCGCTTGTTGCGCTGAGGGAACATCGGGTCCAGGTAAATCACGTCCCATTGCCTGCCGGATTGGTGCGATTGGTGCGGGTCATGGATTTCATGCATAAGTTGCATGCCGTCTCCATGTAAGGTCTGTAATGCCAATCCCTGGCGCGCAACGACATCCTGGAGCAGTAGCCAAACAACCCTTTCACGCTCTACTGCGGTGACTGAAAACCCCGCCTGAGCAAGGCAAATGGCATCCAGTCCATACCCCGCAAACGGATCCAGCAGGCTTTGAGCAGGCTCACCAGGGCCGCACGCCTTGGCCAGCAAACCCCGGCCTTTCTGCCGCTCAGCAACCGCATCATCTGTAATAAAAAAACTACCGTTGAAGCCTGGCATTAACAGACCCAACCCCTGATGACGGCCTGTGTCGTCCAGCCACAGTGCTGGCTCGTTGACCTGGGGCGCCGTCTGCGCGAGGCATAAACTACACCATTGTCTGTACTGCTCGGCCCTGCTGGCCAGGTGTTGCCGGTAGTAGAGAACCAGCGGCACTAGACGTATTCGTCTATCTGACTGGGCTGAGCTGGCGGAGGCAGCGTGGCATTGCGGCCATAGGCAAACAAAGCGGCTTCTTCCGGAAAACGACTGATCCGCACAGGGCGTGAAGAGAATGCAGGTCCCGCGGTGCTCAAACTCTCTTTGACAGCACCAGCTGCGCGCTTTGTTGGAGACAGATCTGACCCGCTCCGCGACGAAGCTGATGGCTGAGGTGCTGCAGGCAGGTTATGAGCGTTAATTTTCATAGTCTTCATCGGCAGTATAGCCAAAACGGGTAAATCCGCGCGTTGCTATCTGCGACCTGGCACTAGCCTGTTGCTCTACCTTGAGCATGAGACTTTCGCCAGGGTGAATCTCCTGCAAAATATCGCGGCAAACCCAACTCAGGTGAAAGACTTGCCCCGGCCAGATGTTCAGCCTGGGCTGCAGGGATCATAACTGCAGCCTGGGGATACAGCAGATCCAGGGCATGCGCCTGCAGGGGCTCAGGCAGCCAGGCGGGTAGTTTGCCAACCACAACAAACTGACCAGTTGCGCCTGGTTCATCCGCCTTTGACAGGAGCCAGACTGGCGGCTGATCAACCAGTTCGTCAGCATGACTCTGCCGATAGCTGGGCGCACCAGTGCTTGCATCGGTTTCGCAACGATACGCGGACAGATAAAAAGCCTGACCACGACTGGGAATACAGCAGACAACCTGTTCCAGCGCCGGGTGTTCGACGAACGCACTTGCTGCAAGTATCCAGGCACTCGACAGAGGAACTACTTTTGCATTGCTGGCTGTCGCAATTGCCTGCGCTGCCGCAGCCGCAATTCGAACACCGGTGAAGCTACCAGGACCACAGCCAAAACTGACCAGCTCCAGCTGCATCGGCTTAATGCCCGCTTCGTTGAATAACTCATCCAGCAGCGGCAACAGGTATTGATTGTGACTGCGCTGCAGTAATTCATCGCGACAATAAATGTGTCCGTCAACGGCTAGAGCCAGGCTACAATGAGGGCCACTGGTTTCGATACAAAGCGTGTTTATCATTGTCACAGAATAGCCAACCCTTAGATCTGACGGAAGCTTTGGCGCAGCTGTTTCGCACCCTTAGACCCGTACAGGATACCCAGACTGTTGCCCTGGCTGACGCCGTTGGCCGCATTGTTGCGGCCGAGGTTGTGGCCCCTGTCAGCCTGCCCCCTTTTCGCGCATCAGCAATGGACGGATATGCGCTGCGTAAAGATGATCTGGCTCAGCATCCTGATGGGTCTTTTCGTGTAGTGGGTGATTCCCTCGCCGGTCATCCCTTTGCCGGGCATGTGGATAGCATGGAATGTGTGCGGGTCTTCACTGGCGCCCTGGTGCCAGATGACTGCGATCAGGTCTTTTTACAGGAGCAGACAGAAGTACTGAAAGACTCTGTTCGTTTTAATGGCCCCATACCCGGACAGAGCTATATACGTGGTATCGGCCACGACATTGTTGCAGGCACCTGTTTGTCTGAACCCGGCCATCAACTTAATGCGTTTGATACCGGCCATCTGGCCGCAGCGGGCATTACCGATGTGCTTGTGTACCGCAAAATCCGCGTTGGTGTTTTCTCTACTGGCGATGAACTGGTAGAACCCGGCACCGCACCAGAGTTACTCAAGGCAGGCCAGATATACGATTCAAATCGTTTTACGGTTGTGAGTTTGTTAGCTTCAGCGCCGTGCGACGTGACTAATTATGGCGCCCTGGCGGACAGTCCAGCCGCCGTTGAAGACGCTCTGAAACAGGCCAGCCAGGCGTGTGATGTGTTGATAACCAGTGGCGGTGTGTCGGTTGGCGACGCCGACTTTGTAACCAGCGCCATCGCATCTTTGGGCTCGCTGGGCTTCTGGCGATTGAATCTGAAACCTGGCAAACCGTTGGCTTTTGGACAGATTGATAACTGCTACCTGTTCGGCTTACCCGGCAACCCCGTCTCAACCATTGTCACGCTGCTGATGGTTGCCTTGCCAGCCATCACCTTTATGGCTGGCCATCCTCCGGCTGCTCCTCTGGCGGTTAATGCCACGCTCACAAGCGCCATCAGCCATGAGCCTGGACGCATGGAGTTTCAGCGCGGCATTTACACAAGCCACGCAGCTGGACTCGAAGTCACTGTGACAGGCGATCAGAGTTCCAACCGCCTGAGCACGTTCAGTGGTGCAAATTGTTTTATCGAAGTGCCTAAAACCAGCGGCAACCTGGCCGTTGGCAGCACCGTCAGAGTGCTGCCGTTCAACGGCTTGCTGGGCTAAGCGCAGACTCAGTTCTGGGTGCTGTCCAGTGCCGCTGCTATCGAGGCCTGGATCAGGGCGACTTCACCTTGTCCGTCGACGGAAATGTAGCGCAGGCCCTGAGCTTCCATCGCATGGTAAAACTCAACCAGGGGTTCGGTCTGCTCTTTGTACACCGATAAACGCTGTCTCACGGTTTCTTCAGTGTCGTCTTCACGCTGTACCAGCGCTTCACCGGTATCGTCGTCCAGGCCATCAACCTTTGGCGGATTGTAGATCACATGGTAAACCCGACCTGAGCCAGGATGCACCCGCCGGCCTGTAATTCGCCGCACAAGCTCTTCATCAGGCACCTGAATTTCGACCACCGCATCAATTTCTACACCCGCAGATGTCATAGCCTGAGCCTGGGGAATGGTGCGCGGGAAGCCGTCGAACAGGAAGCCGTTGGCGCAATCGTCGTGCGTAATACGGTCTTTTACCAGATCGATGATGATTTCGTCTGATACCAGCGCACCAGAATCCATCACTGCTTTGACCCGTTCTCCCAGGGCACTGCCTGATGAAACTGCTGCACGCAGCATATCGCCAGTGGATATCTGTGGAATACCCAGGCGCTCTTTAATAAATTGTGCCTGGGTGCCCTTTCCTGCTCCCGGTGGACCCAAGAGAATTATTCTCATGCTCTACTCCAATAGACCGCAGCGCTAGATGGCTTCTTTGCGGATTTCCGTTACGCCTTCTATGAGGCTTAAATAACTCACAAACTCAACGCTCTGCTGCCAGGATGACAAACTCACGTCAACGCTAATGATAGCCTGGGATGAGGCATTACTCACCCGTCCAGTTGTACCTGTTAATGCCATACCCATATCACCGATAACCTGAGTGATATCGTGCAACAAGCCATCTCGATTATCTGCGCTGAGGCGAAACCTGGCATCGTAAGGATAGGATTCGGTTGGGATACCCGGCAGATCTCGCTGGCTGTGAATGGACGCCTCGTCGGCTAACGCCACAATAACATGTATTGCTGATAATTCGCCGGAGCCCACCGCCTGCCAAAGCTCGGCAACCTGCCTAAACCCGTTCCGTTCCGCCAAGGCCTGCAGCTGTGGCGGAGACAGGTCTGCCAGACCAAGCGCTGCCAGCTTTGTACTCACCGACTGCTTTCCTACCCTCTGCTGTTCCGCCGCCGGCAGGTGGCGAAAGTAAGCAACCAGCTTTGCTCTGGCCCGGTCAGAATTGACGAAACTTAAACTCTCCTCAAGCCAGTCTCGTTGCGGTTTTGCGTTCTCCGAGGTGATAACCTCAACCTGCTGGCCAGTTTCCAGCTGTCGACTTAAGGGAGCGAGCACACCATTGACGCGCCCCCCTGTACACGTATGCCCGATATCCGTATGCACCCTGTAAGCAAAGTCCAGAATTGTTGCGTCCGGCGGTAGCTCTAAAACATGACCTTTGGGGGTTGAGACAAAAATTCGACTCTGACTGATACGATGCTGCAATAGTGTGCTGATAGATTCTGTGCCCGCCAGATCCTCATGCCACTCCATGACCTGACGCAACCAATCCATTTTAGCGGCATAACTTCCGTCTTCAGGACGGCCATCCTTGTAAGACCAGTGTGCACAGACGCCAAGTTCAGCATCTTCATGCATTGCTGCTGTGCGTATCTGGATTTCCAGGACGCGGCCATCTGATGCCGTGACTGCCGTATGAATACTCTGGTAACCATTCTCTTTCGGGTTAGCGATATAATCATCAAATTCACTTGGCAGATGTCGCCAGGTTGTATGTATGACGCCTAGCGCGGCGTAACACTCAGCAAGGGTATTCACCACTATGCGGACAGCACGCACGTCGTAAACCTGGTCAAAGCTTACGTTTTTACTCTGTATTTTGCGCCAGATGCTGTAGATGTGTTTGGCACGCCCATAAACCACGGCGTCAATGCCATGGCCGCGCAATAATCCACGAACCTGGTCAATCATGTGTTCAACCTGCACTTCCCGCTCAGCACGTTTGCCTTTCAGCTGCCGGGCGATGTCCAGGTAGACGTCTTCCTGGGTGTAGCGTAGCGACAGGTCTTCCAGCTCCCATTTCAGCTGCCAGATACCCAACCGGCCTGCCAGCGGAGCAAATACTCGACTTGCTTCCTGCGCTACCCGCTGTCGTCTTTCTGGTTCATAGGTTTTTGCCCGGCGCAGTGCTGCCACCCGTTCCGCCAGTTTCACTACGGCTACACGGGCGTCATCAATAAGGGAGACAAGCATCCGTTTAATGTTTTCGACCTGATCCTGCTGCTCTTTTTCCTGCAATGGCGAATTGGACATTTCCAACAGGCTGGTGGTCGCCATCTGGGCAACCGCTACGGCGATACGGCAGGCTTCCGCACCACACAGAGACTCTGCCTGCTGTTCAGATATCCGTCCTTCGCGTATCGAGCGGTAAACAAGGCCCGCTTGTACCGACGGCTGGTCCATATTTAACTGCGCCACCAGTTCCGCCAATTCAAGCGCCATAACCAGTTGGTCAGGTTGATGTCGAGCCAACCACGTGACGGTCTCTTCAATTGCATCGAAAGAGAGCTGTTCGTGGGCATCACACAATTGATCAACCCATAAAGGTATATTTACCTCTCCCTGCGGCGTACGCGGCAGCGACTTTCGAACTTTAACCATCTGCAGACTCCCCTGTACCTGCCCGTTGAAAACAGCCGATGGTTTCTACATGTGTTGTGTTCGGAAACATGTCAAAAACACCTACCGTTTGCAGCTCGAAGCCCGCTGCCTGCAGATGCACAGCATCAGCCGCAAATGTCTTGGGGTTGCAGGAGACATAAACGACCTTGTCACCTTGAAAATCTGCCAGCCAGCGAGGCAGATTTGGCCCCGCGCCGCTGCGCGGCGGATCCAGGACTAACGCATCAACCTTCACGGGCAGCGCCGCGGCCTCAGTATCTGTATACAAATCCAGGGCGGCAAAATTTACCTGCTCAGCAAGCCCATTACGCTGTGCGTTTGCCTGAGCCATAAACACTGCATCCGCGGCCACTTCATAACCCCAGACCTGCGCGCCCTGACGGGCCAGCGGCAGGGTAAAGTTACCTACCCCACAGAATAAATCTGCAACCTTCCGACCTTTAAGATCACCTAACAGGGCCAGCACATAACGTATCAGCACCTGATTCATTTCAAGATTCACCTGAGTGAACTGTTGCGGCATGAACTGCATATGCAGGCCCCAGTTGGGCAGTTGATAGCCCAGACGTTCCGGGGGCTGCCCATCAAGTGTCTGTAAAGTTTCGTAACCGCCGCCTTGCAATAGAACAGTCACGGCATGCTGTTGCTCAAAATTCCGCCATAGTAATAAGTCTTCGACGGACAGCGGCACTAGATGTCGGACCATCAGCACGGCCGGGCCATCACCTTGCGCAAATTCAATCTGCGGAATTTTTGTTGCTACGCTGAGTTGCGCAATCAGGCTGCGTAACGGCGTAATCAATGCGGACAACTGGGTTGTCAGCACCGGGCAGTTATCTAAACGCGCTACCCGATTACTGAAAGATTCGCGGAAGCCCACAAAAACGTGTTCACCCACACAACGTACGCCAAGACGAGCTTTGCGCCGATAGCCTACGCGATTTATACGCACCGGTTTCTGCCAGCGCTCAGGTTTAATATTGTGTTCTGCCAGGGCCTGCTGCAATTGCGATTGTTTCAGCTGCAGGGCATCTTGCTCCTGCATATGGTGCAGGCTGCAACCACCACATCTTGGAAAATGTTCACAGGCAGACTTGCTGCGCATAGGACTGGCTGGCTCGCCAGCAGTGGCTGACTCCGCGTACCAGATACCCTTGCGGCGCTTCAGCACCCGTACGGTTACAGTTTCGCCAGGCAGAGCGTTACGCATCAGCACGGTTCTGGGCGGCGCACCTTCATTGTTAGGAATAACCGTCTCACCAAGGCCCTCTAAGGTAAGACGCCCAACCTTGAGAGTCAGTTCGGCTGGTTTCTTAGACATTACGCAATGTTCCCACTGGCGTTGCGCGAACCATCTCGCGACTGATCAATGGCGCGGAGCCCAGCATAGGTGCCAAGGCTTTCTGATAAAGGTGTTTTGCGCCACGCAGCGTTTCCGGCCGGCTGTAATCCTGCTTGCTGAGCGCGTGCAGGACCCAACCCGGCAAATCATCAACGGCGCCTATTGCGTGTGTTTCAATGCGCTGAAAACCCTGTCCTGCCACCCAACGGTAACGTCCATCCGCAACAATCGCCCGACCTTCACCCGCTTCATGCATATAGTCGATGCCGTAGCCCAGTTCACTGAGCAGCACAGCCTCAAACCTGCGCAATGTCGGCGCCAAAGCAGCTGCGGACTGCAGAGCGTCTAAAACGGTAGTCGCTGCAGCAAACAGTTCAGGCTCTGCTTGGCGCTCAGAAAGGCATCGGGTGAGCAGCTCTAAAACATAGAAACCGGCGCTGAGATTATCCCCGTGCAGGTCATAACGTCCCACCGCGTCGTATTGTGTAATAGTCACCAGATTCGAACGGCCAACGTAGGATAAACGTCCGTAAGTAAAAGGTTGAATGGATACTGGATTGCGGCCGCGCCGCATACCTTTCTTGACACCCACCAGCCGGCCTTGCTCGCGGGTAAAAAACTGCACCATACCGCTGGTTTCCTGATAAGGCCTGACATGCAGTACCAGCGCTGCTAAATCACTCTCGCGCAAGGCTACTGGTACCCTAGTCGGTTCATCAGTTTGTTATTGTTAGTCCAGCCCTTTTTAACTTTTACAAAGAGATGCAGCATGACTTTGCTGTCCAGCATGCGCTCGATGTCCTTGCGCGCTTCCTGACCAATCAACTTCAAACGTGCACCCTGTTTGCCAATCACTATGGCCTTCTGGCCATCACGCTCAACATAAATGTCTGCATGAATTTCGGTGATCTTCTCCGTACTGACAAAACGCTCCACCACAACCGCTGCACTGTGAGGTATTTCGTCACCCAACTGGCGCATCAGTTTTTCCCGGACTATTTCTTCCACCAGACGTCTTTCGGTCTGGTCGGTAATTTCATCAGCAGAAAATAAATGTGGGCCGGGGGGAAGGCGTGAAAAAACCTGCTCTCTGAAATGCTCAACGCCTTCATTGCGTAGCGCACTGAGCGGAATAATTTCGCTGAATACTCCAAAGGCATTGATCCGCTCAATTTCCGGCAGAAGCAGGTTTTTATTGTCGAGCAGATCAACTTTACTGATCACAGCAATATTGACAGCATCTGCATGGCGCAGCATTTCCAGCACATGCGCATCTTCGTCTGTCCACTTACCCGCCTCGATCAGCATGACACGCAGATCAACATCACGCAGTGCCGCCGTTGCGTTGGCAACCATATACCGATTAAGGGCCTTTTCCGTGTTTCGATGGATACCTGGCGTATCCATGTAAATCGCCTGATACCTGCCTTGAGTATCGACACCCAGCATGTTCTGTCGAGTGGTCTGAGGTTTGCGCGAGGTGATGCTGATCTTCTGATGCAACAGATGATTCAACAACGTGGATTTGCCAACGTTAGGACGCCCCAGTAACGCTACATAACCACAGAAAGTCTCTTCCAATTCGCTCAATTCATTTTCCACTTAACGCTGGGTGATCGATCAACTTAGTCAGCATAACAGCCGCCGCGGACTGTTCTGCGCGACGACGGGATGATGCTGTTGCATCACATTGGATACTCAAAACACTTATTTCACAAGTCACCGTATACTGACGTTGATGATCCGCCCCTTCGACCTGAGTAACCTGATAGTCAGGCAAATCCAACCCTGCGGCCTGCAGAAGTTCCTGCAATCTTGTTTTAGCGTCTTTGAGATTTTCAGGATCCAGACCCGCAATTCGAGCATTAAACAGGTGCTCTACTACTTCTCGACAAGCGCCTATACCACCGCCTTCATTATCACGACCTGCATCTTCATGAATTGCACCAATAACCGCTTCCAGTGCATCTGCAAGAATAGAGTTTCGTTGTCGTCCGCCGCTCTTGCGCTCGCCGGTACCCAGACGCAAACAGGCAGCAATATTGATCTGTTTGGCGATCTCCGCAAGGGACGATCCTCTGACCAGATTTGCCCGCATCAACGACAGCGAATCTTCCGCATAGACTTTCTCTAACCCGTAGAGACGATGACCGATGAGATAACCCAGGACCGCATCACCAAGGAACTCCAGTCGCTCGTTATTCTGCTTGGAAAAACTCTTATGCGTTAGTGCCTGCTGCAGCAATGCTATATTTTTGAACTGATATCCGAGCTGCCGCTGCAGACGATCCAGCTCTGCTGCGGCGCCAGGTGGATTAGTTGTAGGTACGCTGCTCACTAAACACTAGGACAACGTCAATGTTAAAAAACAGATGCTCACGCACTTCATAATTGATGTCCACAACAGTCTGCTCACGGTTTCGCTCAACGGTCATCATATCTTTTAACGGGATGCGAAAGCCCTCTATCCGAAACTGCTTTTTATAGTGTTCCAGTATTTTTGCACGGGACATTTCTTTGTGCACTTCGTTGACTGGCAAACGATCACTGACAGATTGCACAATACGGAAGTCGATGTAGTGTGGACCCAGGCGCAGCACAGCAGTAATAACGGTACCCATCACAATGGCGACAAACAGCCATCCCCACATAGACATGCCCAGCTGCTTCGCCGGGCTTTTTAAACTGCTTCGGGACATCCTAGCCTCCTTTATCGAACCACTGATTGCGGTCAAATGTTGGCAACGTAAAGCCCGGCTCTTTATGTAGCCAGATAGCAACTGCTTTGCCAACAATACTGTCTTCTTTGGCCAAACCCCAGAAACGGGAATCCTGGCTCATATCACGGTTATCACCGAACATGAGGTATCGATCAGGTGGAATTTGCCACTCCTGAGGTTCTTCATAACCGCCATTCTTGAAAATTCGATGACCGCGTCCGTCAATGGTCTCGATAAATTCACGGACTATTGTAGCGTAGTTTCTGTCCTGCACTTCGCCAACCAGTTCGTATCCCAAACGCTCGCCGTTCACATACAGCACTTTATTGTCGTACCTGACCACGTCTCCTGGTAAGCCGATGACTCTTTTTATGAAATAGCGTGAGTCATGGGGTGGCACAAACACCATGATATCGCCTCTTTGAGGATCACCCACATCAAGAATCTTGGTACCAAACACCGGCAAACGCAGGCCATAGGCATATTTGTTGACTAAAATGAAGTCGCCTACCTCCAATGTAGGCACCATGGACTCTGAGGGGATCTGATATGGCTCCCCCAGGAAACTACGCAGCACCAGAACCAGCAGAAGTACCGGGAAAAAAGCTTTGGCGTACTCTACCAGCGTTGGGTCGGTAGCTTCAGCATCGCCGGCCAGACGTTTACGACGAAAAAACAGACTATCCACCAGCCAGACCGCGCCACAGGCCAATACCACCCAGAACAGAATATAGGGTAGATCAATGTCCATCGATCAGCGATCAACCCGCAGTGCCGCCAGAAAAGCCTCCTGTGGGATTTCCACACGACCAATCTGCTTCATGCGCTTCTTGCCTTCTTTCTGCTTCTCCAGCAATTTCTTCTTGCGCGTAATATCACCACCGTAACACTTGGCTGTGACGTTTTTACGTAAAGCTTTAACTGTCTGCCGTGCCACGATCTGTCCTCCAATAGCCGCCTGGACAGCCACATCAAACATTTGCCGGGGAATCAGTTCTTTCATTTTTTCAGCCAGTGCGCGACCACGAGCCTGGGATTGATCACGATGCACAATACTGGCTAACGCATCAACTTTGTCGCCATTAATGAGAATATCCAACTTAACAAGATTGGCTGTCTCGAACCGCAGGAAGCCGTAATCTAACGATGCAAATCCACGGCTGACCGATTTCAAGCGATCGAAAAAATCCATGACCACTTCGTTCATCGGCATTTCCCAATGCATAGCCACCTGGCCTTGGGAAAAATTCATATTTTTCTGCACGCCGCGCCGTTCTACGCAAAGTGTCATGACATTGCCAACATACTCCTGGGGCACCAGAATATTCACGTCAGCTATGGGCTCACGCATTTCTTTGAAATTTGGCGGTATCCGCGAAGGGTTGTCGATCTGCACAACTGTGCCATCCCCCTTTTCAACTTCGTACACGACAGTCGGTGCAGATGTGATCAAATCGAGATTGTATTCTCGTTCAAGCCGTTCCTGCACAATTTCCATGTGCAGCATGCCAAGAAAACCACAGCGGAAACCAAAACCAAGGGCGTCAGATGATTCAGGTTCATAAAACAGTGACGCATCATTAAGCACCAGCTTTTCCAGCGCTTCGCGAAACGACTCAAAATCTTCAGAATTAACCGGAAACAAGCCGGCAAACACCTGGGGTTTAACCCGGGTAAAGCCCGGCAGCTGCGGTACATCGGGTGCTTTTGCCGACACCAGAGTATCACCTACGGGCGCGCCCTGAATTTCCTTTATACCTGCGACCACGTAGCCGACTTCGCCTGCAGAAAGAGACTTATCCGGGGTACGTTTCGGAGTGAAGCGACCGACGTCATCAACCACGTGGGTTTTGCCGGTGGATTTCACAATAATCCGCGAGCCTTTGTCCAATCGACCCTGCTTTACCCTGACAAGAGACACCACACCAAGATAGTTATCGAACCAGGAATCAATGATCAATGCCTGCAGATCAGCTTCCGGGTCACCTTCTGGTGGCGGAATATTATCTACCAGGTAACGCAGCAACTCATCAACACCTGCGCCGGTCTTAGCACTGACGGTCTGGATGTCGCTGACATCCAGACCAATGATATCTTCGATTTCGGCAGCCACCCGCTCAGGCTCAGCTTGAGGCAGATCAATTTTGTTTAACACCGGCAACACTTCAAGCCCCTGTTCAATCGCCGTATAACAGTTGGCAACGGATTGCGCTTCGACACCCTGAGCGGCATCCACCACCAACAGCGCGCCTTCACAGGCAGACAGTGAACGGGACACCTCATAGCTGAAATCAACATGGCCGGGAGTATCAATGAAGTTAAGCTGGTAGTGCCCGCCATCCGGGTGTTCATACCGCAGGGTGACGCACTGAGACTTAATGGTGATACCACGCTCACGTTCGATATCCATGGAGTCGAGTACCTGCTCAGCCATTTCTCGTTCGGCCAGGCCGCCACAGGTTTGAATAAAACGATCGGCCAGGGTCGACTTCCCATGATCGATATGGGCGATGATCGAAAAGTTACGAATATGCTCGATGTCCGGCACAAATGGTCCGTGGCTGGTATAAGGCGCGCGAGTTTAGCCTATCGCCTTCCTGCGTTGAAGGTAAAACTACGCGCGCACTGGCCTTGGAAAGTCAGCGTCTCTTAACCCGCCTCTATTCAGGCACTTTCAGTGCAAGAAAAGTCGGGTTTGAATTCCGCAGAACCAGAACGGGTACCGTCCGACCCGCGGTCAATGACTCTGCAATTCTTTCCAGCTGACTCGGGCTGCTGATTGCCTGATGATTGAGCCTGGCTACGATATCGCCCGGGCGAATACCTGCATCTGCTGATGCACCAGACACTTCGACGACACGGACGCCGTCTCTGACATCAAGGCGCTCCATTTCCTCATCGGTCAGCCCGGCAACAACAAGACCTAAGCGTCCACCACCCGACTGGCCAACCACCGGTCGGCTGCCATCTTCCCCAAGATCGGCCAATTCTCCGACCTTCAGCTCCAACGACATTTTTTTGCCGTCTCGGACCAGTTCCACATCAGCCATGGCGCCGGCGCGGACGCGGCCGACAAAGTGTGGCAACTCGGCGGAACGTTCAATCGAACGGCCGTTGAATTTTGTAATGATGTCACCGGCGCGCAAGCCACCGGCAGCTGCGGGGGTATCATCGAACACCTTTGATATCAATGCGCCATGCGGGCGATCCAGACCAAAGCTTTCAGCCAGGTCACGACTAACTTCCTGAATCATTACCCCGAGCCAGCCGCGCGAGACTCGACCATCTTCTTTCAACTGGTCCGCCACATCCATGGCTATATCGATGGGGATCGCAAACGACACACCCATGAAGCCACCGGAGTTTGAATAGATCTGGGAGTTAATGCCGATCACATCGCCATCCAGATTAAACAGCGGTCCGCCTGAATTACCCGGATTGATGGCCACATCCGTTTGAATATATGGCACATAGTTTTCGTTCTGAGCAGTAGGCAGGCTGCGCCCTTTTGCACTGACAATGCCGGCGGTGACTGAATAATCAAAACCAAATGGAGAACCGATGGCCAGCACCCACTCACCCACTTTGAGTTTTTCAGACTCACCCAGCTTAACCACCGGGAGATCTTCATCTGTGGTGACCTTAAGTACCGCTAAATCTGCTCGCACATCTCCGCCGACCAGTTCCGCGACCAGCTCACGGCGGTCACTTAAGCGCACAATAATTTCTGAGGCCCCGTCGACAACGTGATTGTTGGTCAGAATATAGCCGTCTTTGCTGATGATAAAACCACTGCCCAAAGACGTTGAAGGACGCATATTAGGCACGCCAGGTCTTGAGCCTGGTGGCCCGAAAAAGCGGAAAAATTCTTCCAGCTCCTCACTGCGCGGTTGGCCGCGGCGTTGACTGCGCGGTTCCCCTACAGTGCTGATGTTGACCACTGCCGGCGCATTGCGTTCTACCAATTCCGTGAAATCTGGCAGTTCCTTTGCGTGCACAGCCCAAACGGGTGAGAGCAGCATAAAAAACGCAACGATCAATTTAAGCTTCATACTTCTATTCCTAATTAAGTGTCAGGATATTTCTTTTTCTGCGCCGGAGCTGGCATAAACTTTGACCCGCAGCAGCGGAATAAGTTTTGCACCGTGCCTGATCAACACGGCGCCAGTCAGCAATAGCACAATGACTAAAGCGGCAAGGCTGAAAAGCGGTGTCGCAGCCATGCCAAAGGTTTGAAAAGCTGACCCCAGGCCCAGTAAAAGCAACAACGGCAGACCAAAAAGCACCACAACAACCCTGTTCAGGCCCCTGGCAGATATAGCCACCTCCGCATTCGTCAGAATCTGTCCCGGACCGCCCGTCGCCGCAGCGCGCGGTGCAAACCATCTACCCGCGCAACTCTGCTGACAACCAGAACAGCCCTGCTCAACCGCTTCAAACGTTTGCGTACCTGCTTGTTCCGAGATTTTAATTCTCTTACTAATCAATGCCTTAACTTTTCTTTTGATGAACAGTTGTGACGATGTTTCGAGCTGTTTCAACCGGTATTTCACCCACCAGTGTGACTAGGAAATACTGGCCCTGCTCCTTGATCTGATGGGTAACAGCAACGGTTGCGCCGTTCTGCGAGACCATACTGGCCGCGCCGTCTTTAGGCATCGGCTCTACGTATATTGAAAATGCCGCCAGACCGTCGCTGTACATCAGGCTGCTGACCTGACTGCCAGAGGCCGGTTTGTGACGCATGTGGGAATCGGTCATGGCAAAACCCACAGGTAACCAGTGGGTACTCCACGCTGAAGGCATGGGATCAGCACTGCCCGTGGCCGCTGGTGGCTGCCAGGGTTCATCCGCAGCCTGCAGGGTCAGGTGACTGACCATACCGCCACTGACACCTTCAGGCTCCAGCGCGGCATCTTTCACATCGTCACCCACCAGGAGCTGGTTAAACATGAAAATTTCAAGTTTCTGCCCGTGATGATCGATCAGCTCCGAACGCAACAACAGTGAGGTTTCTTTGTCGATCCAGATCCGATATCCATAGCGATCCTGATCTTTAGGGCTGATTGCGACCCGCACCGCGGTACGGCCAGCCGCCCGACCTTCGCCAAAAGTGCCGACGCTGTAGGTGTCAGAGATCTGGTCAAATTGCCGCACAAACGCACGTGCAAACGGTCCAGCCGGAATGCTTTTTTCCAGCGCAATCAGATCATCACCCGGCATCACAATGCAGGACACCACTTCACCTTTGCGGATAATTTCTCGCGGCGCCCCGTTCAGATGGACAAGACGCTCACGCTGCACGCCATCTACCTGTTTGTGTACTACCCGCAGACTGGCCAGCTCACCACCGGTGTAATAGCTGAATACGCCATCGTAACTGTGATTAGTAAACGCAGCGTTCATGTCCTGCAGCATCTGCGCAACACTTTGCGCAGCCGCAATGCCCGGCGCCAGAAAAACAAAAACAGCCAGCAGCAGAACACGGGAGACGTTCATCATTGCTGGGAGGGGCTCAGACCGTTGTTGGTTTCCGCCGATACCTGAGGCGGCGTGCTGCGGAATGTAGCCACTTTCACGAACGACGCAAGACTGGCCTGATTCATGGCGCGTTGCTGTATGTGATGCAACATCAGCGCCTGTTGTCGCTGCTGATCTACCGGTGTGGCCTGCTGGTACATAACCGGCGCCAGATCACCGCTACTCAGAGCCGGTTGAACGCCCGCATAGTCGGCTGCGACGGGTTCAATTTCGCTGTCAAAAACGCCGCCGTTAATCATCACCAGAACGGCAACCACTGCGGCAACTGCAGTACCCGTGAGCCGCCCTATCCAGGGTGAACGCTGATTTTTCTGCTTATCGACGGACACATCGCGCAGCGGTTGAGTAACATCTTCATTTTGATCTTCGGTTGCGTTCATCGCTTCCCAGATCGATTCACGCAGACCCGGCTGGTAATGCTGCATATCTTCGCGCATCACGTCGCGGACCAGCGCAAAGCGATACCATTGTTCGCGCAGACTCTCATCCTGCTTGGCTTCATCTAAAACACGGCGTAACTCAAAGGCATCTGCCTCGTTATCCATAGCCGCTGAAAGTGACTCTCGTAGTTGTTCCGTCATCACCAATACCTATTCCTACCGTCCTACCGTTTCCCCATTAGCGCTTGTACACGCGCTCCCCTATAGACCAGGCCTTTACTGATTAGTTCGATTCATCTGTGTTGTCCAGCAGTGGCCTGATGCGTTGATCAACAAATTCCCGCGCACGAAATATGCGACTGCGTACGGTCCCCACCGGACACTCAAGGATTTCCGCGATCTGTTCGTAACTGAGACCGTCAAATTCGCGCAAAGTTAACGCGCTGCGCAGATCATCCGGCAGCTGGGAAAGCGCGTCATGAATGGTTGATTGCAGCTGATCCCGGGCTAGCGCGGATTCCGGATCCTCGCTGTCACGCAACATATCCGCATCATCGCGATAATCAGCATCTTCAATATCAACATCACTGCTTGGCGGCCGACGGCTGCGAGATACCAGGTGATTTTTTGCGGTATTGATGGCTATACGATAGAGCCAGGTATAGAACTGACTGTCGCCACGAAACCTTGGAATGGCTCGATAGGCCTTGATAAAGGCTTCCTGGGCGACATCTCTGACTTCATCGGCGTCTCTGACATAACGGCCAATCAGATTAAGAATGCGCACCTGATAACGCGCAAACAGCATATCAAACGCTGCCTGGTCGCCTTTCTGGACCCGTTTCACGAGTTCCTGGTCTGTATCTTGCGCCAAGTGGATTCCGGTTTTAAGTAATCTGGCGAGCAGAAGACCTGCATCGCAAAGCCGCGATATTCTGCCGATGTCTGCCGCTATATACTAGGGCGCTTATTTAACGAATTTACCAGGTGGGTGCGTGTCACAGAGATTTTCCACAGATGTGCTGATTATCGGCGGCGGCGCGGCCGGTCTTTGTGCCGCCCTGCAACTGGCTGAACATGCTCGGGTCACCGTGCTGACCAAGGGCGGCATGGCCAGCGCCTCAACCCACTGGGCACAAGGTGGCATCGCTGCCGTGACCGCGGCAGAAGATACGTTTGGCGATCATGTGGAAGATACCCTGGTCGCCGGGGCTGGTCTTTGTGACGAAGGTATCGTCAACATGACAGTGTCATCAGCACCAGAGGTCATCAGCCGCCTGTCCAGTTGGGGCGTGAACTTCGACCAGGAAGGCAATGAATTCCATTTGACTCGCGAAGGTGGCCACAGCCAGCGCCGGATTCTGCATGTGGCGGATGCCACCGGGCGCGCCATTAACGAAACCCTGACCGCAAGGGTCCTCGACCACCCGAATATTGAACTGATGGATGACCGTCTTGCCATAGACCTGATCAACCTCTCGCGCCTGGGCCGCTACCCGAGTCGTTGCGCTGGTGCCTATGTGTTGAATCGCAGTACCGGTCACGTCGAAGTATTTCAGGCGCGATTTGTGATTCTGGCCACCGGTGGCGCGAGCAAGGTTTATCTGTATACCAGCAACCCTGACAGTTCTACCGGTGACGGTATCGCCATGGCATGGCGGGCCGGTTGTCGGGTCGCCAATATGGAATTTAATCAGTTCCACCCCACTTGCCTTTACCACCCGCACGCGGGTAGCTATCTCATCTCGGAAGCGGTGCGCGGCGAAGGGGGCGTCTTGCGGCTACCTGACGGCAGTCGCTTCATGCACAAGTTTGATAAGCGTGCAGAACTCGCGCCAAGAGATATTGTGGCGCGTGCCATCGACCATGAAATTAAACGTCTCGGTGCAGACTGCGTTTATCTGGACATCAGCCACCGATCAAAAGAGTTCATCTGGAGCCACTTCCCAAACATCGCCCAACGTTGCGAAGACCTGGGCATCGACATCAGCAAAGAGCCCATCCCGGTTGTACCTGCAGCACATTACACTTGCGGCGGCGTGGTCGTCGATCAACACGGCCGAACAGACTTACCCAATCTCTATGCCGCCGGCGAGGTCAGCTATACGGGTTTACATGGGGCTAATCGTCTGGCGAGCAATTCATTGCTGGAGTGTCTTGTGTTCGGCCACAACGCGGCTGAAAAAATCATCAGCCAACTGGACCGGCCGTTTGATATACCCATACTCCCGCACTGGGACGAATCCAAAGTAACCGATTCGGATGAGTCTGTGGTGATTGCACACAACTGGGATGAGCTGCGTCGGTTCATGTGGGATTACGTTGGTATCGTAAGGACTAACAAGCGCCTTGCGCGGGCCCAGCATCGGATTGACTTACTCAAACAGGAGGTCAACGAGTACTACACTAACTACCGTGTCAATGATGACCTGATTGAGTTGCGCAACCTGTTACACGTCGCGGAGCTGATTGTACGCTGCGCACTGAAACGCCACGAAAGCCGCGGCCTGCATTACAACCTGGATTATCCCGACACCGCGACCCGCGCTCAGGACACAATTATGTTCCCTGGCAGTATTGATCAGCTCGATATTCTCAAACCTACCGCTTGACGCGGCACATGCTCGAGAAGATACGCGCCTAAGGTGGCCCGCTGCCCCGCCAGGATTTCGCCAGGCAAGATCCAGTGGCTTGCGCTGTGGGTGTGAATACACAGCAAACCAGCCAGTTGCCAGACACCTTTGATGTCATCCGCTTGCAGATGTATTCGCCGAACCACCTTGGTGGATCTATAGAGTTGTCGGCGCAGCAAGCGCGTACTCAACACGCAGACCACACCGATACCGGCAAACCCCAGCCAGAAATACGCTACCCAACCCATATAGCCGACCCACACAAACGCAAGATATACGCGCCACGCAGACAGGCGCAACTCAAGGGTCAAAGACGGCCTTTGCTGGCGATAATTTTGTCGACGACTATCCGGGTGAGGTCATCTGCAGGCACTTCGCGCCCCTGCAGCCAGTCAAACAGCTGCCAGTCTTCTTCCTCGAGCATGTTTTCGTAGGTGGTTTGTTCGCTGGGTGGCAGAGCGTCATAGTGATCACGCAGAAACGGTACCAGTTTCAGCTCGAGCTCAAGCATGCCGCGGCGGCTGCGCCAGTAGATGTGTTTTAAATGTGTCGGTGAATCCATAAAATAAGTTCAGTTAGTTGCACAGTATCTATACTGTTCACACCATATCTTCAGTGGCTGGGAAAACCAGCAGTTTAACGCAACACAGCGTGTAAGCCACGATATGAGCCAGAAGGAGCAGAGTTGGACACAACACAACCCGATAGCGCAGACCGTTCCGATCTGCACGGTCAATGGCTGCAGGCAGGCGTCATCAGCCTCCTTGGTCCAACAGCTGCTGACTTTCTGCAAGGCTATGTCACCAGCGACACCAGTCGACTGCAACCGGACCAGGCACTGCCCATGGCCATCTGCAATCTCAAAGGGCGGGTAGTCGCCAGCGGCTGGTTATTAGGCAACACTGCTGGTGTCGACTTGCTGGTACACACAAGCCTGGTGGAACACGTGCGTACGTTCCTGAAACCCTACGTGACGTTCTCTAAATGCACATTTGCAACTGACCCGGGCAAAACCGTAGCGGTTAATTCTGCACAAGCCACGATCGTTCTGGCGCCGGGTCTGAAGGTGCAGGTTGATGGTTCGGCACAAGACCTTGAGGACTGCTCAGAGCCGGTTAATGCCTGTCTCATCGACATGGGTTTTGCATTTGTCAGCAAACCCGTCAGCGAACAATTTCTGCCACAGGTACTAAATCTGCATAACCAGGGTGCGGTGGATTTTGATAAAGGCTGTTACCTGGGCCAGGAAATTGTCGCCCGTGCGCAGTTTCGTGGTGCGGTGAAACGACACTTGATCAACTTCAACGACCCTGCCCTACCCCAGGTTGGAGACGCCTGGGGAGACAGCGGCACGGTCATCACCATCGACGCTACAGGTCACGGTCTGGCGAGCGTCAAAGCAGAATAAGTTGCAACACAGCCTTGTAGCTCCTCAGGGTTTGCTTTTGACAGCTTAGTCTAACAATACCTTTTCGCGCTCTTTTTCCCAACTCCAGGCCGGAAGTGGTTCGCTTCACAAGGTTTTCAGATCGAGGTGCTGTATAAATTAGTCTGGGTTGACCGCTTTAAAAAAGGAAAATCATTGTAATGACAAGTGCGTATTAGCAACCCGGCGATGCGAGGGGAACCCTTCTCGGGCATCCCAAAGGCCTGTTTGTTATGTTTTTTGCCGAAATGTAAGAGCGTTTCTCGTATTACGGCATGCGCGCGCTGCTGATTTTTTATCTTGTTCAACGTTGGATGTTTTCCGACAGTGAGGCCGGGATCATATACGGCGCTTATACCGCACTGGTTTACATCATGCCTGTCATTGGCGGTTATTTTGCGGATAGATATCTCGGCCAGCGCAAGGCTGTAGCATTTGGGGCATTGCTGCTGACTTTCGGTCATTTCCTGATGGCTTTTGAAAGGTGTATTTTACTTGGCTAAGCAGAGTTTTTACACAGCCTCGGCCGAAAGCAGACCTCTTTAGGCTACTTCACTGCTGTCGGCTTTTTGCCCTGAGGAGACGTTAGTCTTACTAACCAGAGACAGATTGCTTTTAGGCTATCTCAACTATTCACTTTGATATATACATCACCTACTATCCACGAGCATAGTCAACCTTAGGCGTGGATTCAGGTATGCATTGGGCTCGAACAACAATCCTTGTCTATCTGGCGATCATGTCTGGCACCGTGCTCGCAGATAGCCCTCTACCTACCGCTCCTCACGTCTACGTTCAAGGATCGGCGTCGGTAAATTTTGCACCCGATTGGCTTTCGCTATCCGTTAGCTACTTTCATACGAATATGGACGTTTCGATAGCAAAGGAATCTGTAGATAGCCGCTCCAGCCGGTTGCTAAATGTGTGCGACGAACTTGGTATTAAACGGGAGGATCTGCAATCTACAGGGCTTCAAATTAGTCCAGAAACCGAATACGAGAATGGGAAAACACAATTCATCGGCACGAAGGTCGCTCGCACGGTTACTGTTGTTCTGAATGATTTATCGCAATATTCCAACTTGATGTCGGGAGTGTTGTCCTCCGATCCAAATTCTATCGGCTCAACTAGCCTGTCATCAAAAAAGAGCAGCGACAAAATCAGGGAAGCCCAGGAACTGGCAATCGCAGACGCGAGAGAACGCGCTTCTGGTTTGGCTCGTGCCACGAACAGAGGGCTCGGGGAAGCCTATTCGATTTCAGAGTTCAATCTGCGACAAAAGGAAGCTTGGTCCCTAATTCCGTCCAGGCGAATAACACAACAAGACGGGGAAACCTCTGCCGGTTTTGCTAGGGGACTACCGATTCGAAGCGGGGAAATCTTTGAGCCCGGATTAATTACTGCTACCGCTGAGGTGTTTGTAGTCTACCTGCTCAAGTAAAAGCGGTTCCTGACCGGTTGCTTTGAGTGTAAGGCAGCATCGGAGCGGCTGCTTACGGGGAAATACCCTCTATATAGTGAGCTAAATCACGCTGATGGGCTAAACAGTCGCTGGTTCAGGTTGGAAAAGCCGCTGCTGGGTTCTCATAGCGGTCCCTTTTGATTCCAGCTAACCTTCTTCACTGAGCTACCTTTGGGAGAAACGTGTGCGTCTTGATGATGATGAGCTTGCTTACATCCGGAAATCTAGGCGAAACGTGGAGCTTCATAAACGATGGCGTTGGCTACCAATACCACTCGCGTTTATCTGGATGACGCTATCAGCGTTTGCTGGTTGGCCGAGGTTCGAAACTCCTGCTTGGATTTTCCTTATAGGATTAGGGTTTATGGTGTGGCGCCCTATGGTTTCGGATCGTGCTCTTGAGATAGCCGAAAAAGCAGCAACGCAGACGCATGCTGAGCCAAACTAGTCGGCTTAAACTAGATCATTTCGGACATCCAACAAGCTCTAGTTCCAGAGGCTATTTCTCCCGATCTTGCTTGGTGCGTAGTGATACCAGTCATTTTCAATCGGGCATTTTTGATTCTGAAACAATCGATGCTTTGCAATAGTTCGAGCTATTTCCAGATTGATTTCACGTAGCTCTGCATCCAACTCTGAAACATCATCTGACACGCCAGCTCTATCGCTTATCGAATCTCGTTCTTCTAAAGCGAAGCTCACGGCGTACTCAATATCGGTGATTGAGCCGTAGCGGGTAGTCGCTTCATACAGTAGTTGTTCGCAGGTCATCTCCGTTGCGACTTCGAGATTCTTTTCTACGGACGAGTGTGTACGACCAACCACTGACAGTAGCGTTATCATTGCGATCCAGGGCAATAGTTTCATATCATTCACTCCGAAACCGTGTAAGGATATCACTTTCCAGCCGATGCAAGATGGCCGTAGCTGGCCGAAAGTACGCATAGCGATGCAAAATTTGAACGGCGGCTTTCGGGGTACCTAAAGTGGTTTCTGATATATCCTGCCAGCATCGGCGTCATTGTGACCTTGTTCTACCTTGCGTCGCAGCTCCGCCGAAACTCTCGCGCTCTTGAGGCTGCAACGCACCAAGCGGTGGCTGATTCCACTCAGGAACGTCTCCTTGCACCGGCCCAGAATCCGGAGTTGGCAGCAGCATTCTCAAAGTCGAAAACTGGAGAAAGCCTTTCGCCAACAGAGGAAACTCAATTGGCCTTTTTTTTAGCCGCGCGACGTTTCGGGGCATTCAGGACGCTTACTATCAGCATCGTAAAGGACTTATGTCTGATGACGTGTGGCGCGACTATGAGCAGGTCTTGACTAACCAGAGTGGCGTGTCCCATATAAAGGGTTGATAGCGTATTGAGCGAAAAACATCCGATCGCGAGTTTGTAGATGTCTATGAAGCGCTGATCTCCGCAGTGTAAATCGACTGATCAGTTCCTAGCTAACCTCGTTAAAGCTATTCACCTTATTGCGGATTTTCGCAATGACAACGTTCAGTCCTGCACAAAAATAGCTTTAGGCATGTGCATGGTCACTAACATATTAGGTAAGTCTACGGTTTCCGCAATCAACAGGTCGCCAGCAATAGAGCACAGCAGATAAGCATCTTCTTCGCTCAGATCACGCTCGGCCATCAGATAATCAATCATGTACCGCGTAGCTTTCCTGGCCGCCTCATCCAGGGTCGGCGCAAAACCCGTGGTGGCATAATACTCCTCAGTTTCATATTGAGGCTCAAACATCTCGTGCCCATTACGTACCACACTGAGGCGCATGACAATACGCATTGGTGCCTCTAGTGCAGTACCAGATACTTCACCGAAACCCTGCACTGCATGTGTATCGCCAATAGAAAAAAGCGCTCCCTCAGCGAAGACCGGAAAGTAGACTGTTGTACCCTTCGTCAGCGCGGGGTTGTCCATGTTGCCCCCGTTTGCGCGTGGCGGAAATGTGTCTAAAGCCTCCGCGCCCGCGGGCGCAACGCCCATAATTCCGGCAAACGGCTTGAGCGGCACAACGATACCGTCGGCAAACTCAACGCTCTGGTTCACTTGATCAATTTCAAAAGTACGTAACGAAGTAGTCGCTATTTCATCTACTAACTGACCAAATGTCGGCAGCAACGCCATCCAACCCCAATCGGCAACCTCAAGCTCCAACAGTTCCACCGCAAGCACATCACCCGGGCGTGCCCCTTCAACATATATTGGCCCTGTGATCGTATGGACCTTGGTGAAGTCAATGGCCTGCAGGATTGCGTCGTCGGAGCCCAACTCAAACTGGCCTCCGGTGGCTTCGTGGGTAAAGACCTCAACAACACTTCCGGATGCCACCCTGGCAACTGGTTCAAGAGCACGGCTGAATTTAGTATGGGTGGCGGTATTGGGAATAGAAACCTGCGGCAGCGCCATCGCCCTACTCTGCTGCTGTACGGGAGCGCCCACCTGACAGGCGCCGACAACAAGCAGAAGCACAACACAAATAAAAGTCTTTCCAAAGACGCTGGCGACGATGCTTTTCATAGATGACCTTCTTAAAATTAGAACAACACTTTAACCCTGCAGGGATAGAGATTGAACAAGGTTGGCGCGGCAAACCAGGTAACCGTCAACGCAAAAAGACCTCAAACCCAACCTGACGCACAAAACGGGGCAACAACCCCGCTCTTTCCAGGCAGAGGCAACGATCCTGTCTATACTCAAAAAGTACTTACTCTCCGGGACACCACTACCCATGGCTGAACTTGCCAATTCCATCGCTGCGGACATTCAGACTGCATTAGACAAAGATCAACTCGAACTGCCTTCGTTGCCCGAAGTTGCTCTGCGCATTCGCGAAGAAGCCGAGTCTGAGTTTGTTTCTGCTGTTTCTCTTGCCAAAGAAGTGGGTGATGACCCGGGACTCGCCGCACAGCTGGTGCGCATTGCTAATTCACCCATGTTTCGCGCGACCCGCTCAATTGACGATTTGAGCCAGGCGATCAGTCGCCTGGGTGTTGATTATTCTGCAAATATGGTCACAGGCCTGGCGATGCAGAATATGTTTCAAGCCACCACGGAATTTGTCGACAATCGCCTGCGTGACGTATGGAAAAATTCAACAGAAGTAGCCGCCTGGAGCTCCATTCTGTGCAAACGATACACCCGTCTGCGTCCTGATCAGGCCACCCTGGCTGGTTTAACGCACTGTATCGGTATTCTGCCCATCCTCAGCTGGGTTGAGGAAAACGACAGCCTGGTGCGCGACAGCATGACCCTCGATCGGGTTATTGAAAGTATTCACCCCACCATTGGCGGTATGATCCTGCGCCACTGGAATTTTGCCGACGACATCATTGTTGTACCCGAGCACTACCAGGACCTTGATCACCAGGCTGACGCTGTGGATTACGTCGACATTGTGTGTGTCGCCAACTGGCTGGTCCACCGTGACCACGACAAATCCATCCGCGAGCACGACTGGTCTGGCGCCTCCAGCCTGCAACGCATCGGCTTCGACCCTGAAATGGACGAGCTGGAATTAGAAGGTCTGGTTGAACAGGTCAACGAAGTTAAAAACGCGTTTCACTAGTTTTCAGGCTTTATAGCCCACGCCCGCACTGGGAGCAGGCCTACCGTTGATGGTAACCTGCGCTTTCTTTCGTTGAACAAGCCATTTCCTGAAATGAGTGACAGCTGCTGCAGTAATCTTGATGTGAGCGCCCTCGCTGCACGCCAGCGCCGAGTGCTCATCACCGTACTGTGTATCAACGTTGTTGCTTTTGTAATTATGGTTGGCGGCGCCTGGTTAAGTGGTTCCGTATCGCTGTTATCCGGCACGCTGGACAATTTTGGTGATGCCGTCACCTACGCACTCAGCCTGGCCGTCGTCAGCGCCAGCTGCTCAGCCAAAGCAAAAGTAGCCTTTTTCAAGGGTCTGCTGATCCTGGCTGCCGCTGTTGCGGTGGCCGTGCAAATCGCTGTCCAGCTCACAGACCCGCAAACGCCGATATCCTCGACCATGGGACTTGCTGCGCTTTTGAACCTCGGTGCAAATGGTATCTGTTTATGGCTGTTAACGCCCTTTCGGCACGATGACATCAACATGTCGTCGGTGTGGGAATGCTCACGCAATGATGTCGCAGAAGGTTGCGCTGTGATCGGCGCTGCTGCTGCAGTCTGGGCGTTTAACTCACCCTGGCCGGATCTGCTGGTCGCGATAGCCCTGCTGGCAATGTTTTCACGATCAGCCTGGCGTGTCCTCGCGGGCGCATGGCGTGAGCTTAAACCCGCAGGCCAATCTGCTTGAAAACAACTGCGATCCGCAGTGATATCGTCACCACACTGGCGGCGGCTGGCAAAGATACACCCTACACTGCAGACGCTAACGAACCTGATCCCCGCTATCTGGGTTACGGCGTACGCGCGCCACAGATGAAAATTCTGCTCTCGCAGTGGCAACCGACGTTTCGACAGCTCGACAAATTGATGCGCAAACAACATGGCTGGAGCAAAATTGATGCCTATGCGGGCTCGTTTCTAAAATCCTTGCTGGGTGAGTATCCAGAGGACATGCTGGCATTGACCCGGCTCTGGAGCCGTGATCCTGAGCTTTGGCTACGTCGGGCCAGCGTTGTGCTGTTTACCCGGAACGTTGCCCGTTCAGGCACCTACATTGATCATGCGCTGCAACTTTGTGAGACACTTAAACACGATCCGGAAGATATGGTGCGTAAAGGCGTTGGCTGGTGCCTGAAAGATCACCTGGGTTTCGACAAACCCCGGCTTATCGACTACGTCACCCTGCTACGACAACAGAGTGTGTCCTCCACAGTGACCTTATACGCGTTGCGAGGCCTCAACCGAGATGAACGTCAAGCCATCTTCAATCGCGGCTAGCCTTTGAACCGTACATCATCTGTATGCTGGAAAAATCCAACCCACCGGCATCATGATTAGTACCGTGCAGCTGATAAAGGTTCTGCGCCAGCGCACCCATCGGAATGGCACTGCCCGACGCCTGGGCAGTCTCCAGAGCCAGCCCCAGATCTTTGCGCATCAGGTCTACCAGAAACCCTCCGCTGTAGTCCCGTGACGCCGGCACATTCTCCATCACACCTGGGTAAGGGTTGTACACATTCAAAGCCCAGTTACCGCCGGAAGACGCTTTCATAATGTCCGAGAGCACTTTTGGATCAAGCCCCTGATCTACGCCCAGCGCCAACGCTTCCGCCGTGCCCGCCATCAGGATAGACAGCAGCATGTTGTTGCATATCTTGGCAATCTGGCCTGCACCCGCGGCGCCTGCGTGAAAAATGTTTGAACCCATCGCCTCCAGCACAGGGGTTGCACGGGCCAAAACATCAGCATCACCGCCAACAATAAACGTCAGCGTACCGTTCTGCGCGCCACCGGTACCACCGGAAACAGGTGCATCCAGCATTGCAACGCCCCGCGCTGCTGCTGCGGCGGCGACGGCCTGGGCACTGGCCGGGTCAATTGTAGAACAGTCGATCACCAGCGTTGTAGCCGCCAGCGTATGCAACAATCCGGCTTGTTGTTCATCCCCCAGATAGAGCCCACGGACATGACGCCCTGCAGGTAACATACTGATCAACACATCGACATCGGCCGCCGCCTGCGCGGCTGACTCGCATGCCTCAACATCACCTGCCGCGGCAAGGGCTGCAGCTGAAAGATCAAACGCCTGTACTGCGTAGCCCTTTGCCAGCAGATTACCGGCCATCGGACCACCCATGTTACCTAAACCAATAAAACCTACTTTCTGCATGTTCTTACCTTGTTAATCCAATCCAGCCAGCGGATGGGGAGTTTCAAATGTTGAAAAATGCGACATGACGTGTTCCCTGGGCAGCGTCGCCATGTCCGGATACTGCCAGTTAGGTGAACCATCTTTCTCAATTAGAAGCGCGCGCACACCCTCGGCAAAGTCCAGATTAGTCGCACAATGACTGGCGATATCATATTCCATCCGAAACATGTCAGCTAACGACATATTTGAACTGCGGCGAAGCTGCTCCAGTACAATGCCTGCCGTCGTTGGACAGCCACCGTGCAGGTTCTTCAAACCCCGGTCAATCCACTTCGAACGCCCCTGCAGGCCATCGAGTATCTGCACCTGTTTAGCCAGATCTGACAAGCTGGTTTCAAACACAGGAAGTTGCGCTATTTCTCCCGCCGGCATTTCAACTCCGGGAAAGCTGTCCAGAGCCTCGCCGATCAGCTGTGTGTTGGATGCAGCATTAGCTGTGTACGACAAAGCTTTGAGGCTGGTTAAAAGTGTATCTCGTTGTGCGTGTGACACAACATGGGTAGCCAGACCTACCGCAAGCGCGTCGGTTGCATTCACATGGCTGCCGGTTAAGCCGAGAAACACCGCCTGATGGGTTGCCATCTGATTAAGGCTCCAGGTTGCTCCGGCATCGGGAAACAGGCCTATGGTGATTTCAGGCAGCGCCAGTTTCGAACGTTCCGTCACCACGCGAAAATTTGCCGCGCTGAACAATCCCATGCCACCACCCATCACCACACCATGACCTAAACAGATCACCGGTTTTGCATAAGTATGCAACTGATAGTCCAGCGCGTATTCCTGCGCAAAAAAGTCGAAAGGGTAGCGGTTGTTGATGACCTTTTGCTGATGATTGCTGACAATTGCATGGTAGAGGGCCTGTATATCCCCACCGGCACAGAAGGCTTTGTCGCCAGCACCCGTCAGCAAGACTGCAACCACCTCGGGGCGATTGGCCCAGCTGTCGAGAGCGCGGGTCAACCGTTGAATCATTTCAAGATTGAGGGCGTTCAGCGTTGATTCCACGTTTAACGTGGCTTCTGCCAACAGCAAATTCGCGCCTAATTTGTGTTCGGTCAGGACAACACTGGACTGTTCTAAATCTGTATTCATAACCCGCCAGCCTCAGCTGTTAGTCCAGGCTGGTGGGCGTTTTTCCAGGAAGGCGTTAACCCCTTCACGCTGGTCGTTGCTATCAAACAGATCAACAAAAGCGTTACGCTCGACAGCGTAAGCCGACGCAATGTCGCCAGAGCGGGCCTGCTGGATGAGGTCTTTACAGGCTGCAACCGCAATTGGGCTCTGACGTCCTACCGATTCAGCCAGCTCCAGCGCACGACCTTTTGCCTGACCGGCGTCTACAACCTCTTCCACCAGGCCTATTTTTTCTGCGGTGGACGCATCAATACGTTCGCCGCATAAAATCATACGTTTTGCCCAGCCCTCTCCGACCATCCAGGCAAGATTCTGGGTGCCGCCGCCACAGGGTAACAAGCCGACGGTAGCTTCCGGCAGGGCCAGTTGTGCCTGCTGTTCCGCGATACGGATATCACAAGCCAACGCACACTCGAGACCACCGCCCATGGCAAATCCGTTTATCGCTGCAATGGTTACGCCACGAAAGTTGGACAACGTTTCAAATGCGCGGCCAAAATGTTCAGCCATCGTTTGTGCCGTATCTTTGCTGCCATCAGCAAACAGTTTCAGATCTGCACCGGCAGAGAAAAACTTGTCACCCTCGCCAGTCAACACCATGGCGTAAATCGACTTGTCCTGTTCACAATCGTGTACCAGTTGAGTCAGACCTGAGAGGCTTTCCGGATCCCAGGTATTGGCGGACGGATTATCAATGGTTACAACCGCGGTATGACCGCGAATCTCCAAAACCAGTTTCTGCGTTGATGATGTCACCATAGCTTCCCCTCTCCTATCTGCTGATAAATTGTTCTAGAACGTGTTAGACGTAACCTGAAATTGTGCGCAACCTGTCAGTCGATTGCCAGCCAGTCTATCGGATCCTGATGATGAGCGGACAGATAGGCGTTGGCCTTGGAAAAGTGTTTGCAGCCGAAAAAACCACGGTGCGCGGACAGAGGCGACGGGTGTGGCGCTTGCAGCACACAGTGCTTAGTGGCGTCTACCATAGCGCCTTTTTTCTGCGCGTAGCTGCCCCACAGCAGAAATACCAGACCCTCACGCGCCTGACACAGCTCGCGGACCACCGCATCGGTAAACTGCTCCCAACCTTTGTTCTGATGTGAACCCGCCCTGCTCTGCTCAACACTCAGAACTGCGTTCAGTAACAGAACACCTTGCTGTGCCCAACTGGTTAAACAGCCTCGATCAGGCCTGATCTCCTGCTGCACGCCCAGATCTGACTGTATTTCTTTAAGAATGTTGCGTAAAGATGGCGGCAAAGGTGTGCCTGGCAGCACGGAAAAACACAGGCCGTGAGCCTGATTGGGCCCGTGATACGGATCTTGACCAATGATCACTACCTTCACTTTATTCACCGGCGTGAGATTCAAAGCAGCAAACATCTGCTTACCGGGAGGATAAATTTGCGCCCCGCGGGCTTTTTCTGCGCGCAGAAAACTGCTCAGCTGCTGCATATAAGGCTGTTCAAACTGCTCGCCCAACAATTCCTGCCAGGAGGCTTCCAACTGCACTGAGGCATTTGCCATGAGTTATCGCACAGCCTGCAGAGCGCCTATTGAGGCCGCATCAGCGGAAATAACAGCACGTCTCTGATAGAAGGTGAGTCCGTCAGCAGCATGACCAGCCGATCGATACCTATGCCTTCTCCAGCAGTGGGCGGCAGACCCACTTCCAATGCATCGATATAGTCCTGATCAAAGTGCATCGCTTCATCGTCACCAGTGCCTTTCAGAGCCGCTTGAGCGGCAAAGCGCTCAGCCTGATCAACAGGGTCATTTAATTCCGAAAAGCCGTTGGCGTACTCGCGCCCACCAATGAACAGCTCAAAGCGGTCTGTGACCGCATCGTTGTGATCACTGCGGCGCGCCAGCGGCGACACCTCTGCGGGATACTGAGTGATGAACGTAGGCTGTGCCAAGCGCTCTTCTACCTGAGCCTCAAACACTTCCAATTGCAGCTTGCCGACGCCCCAACTCGCATCCGCGGTCAGATTGAGGGTTTGCAAACGCGCACGCAGCGCATCTTCATCGTCGACTGACGATTCGTTCATACCGCCCAGCGCGACCAGAGATTCCGCCATCGTCATTTGTGCAGAGGGTTTGCTGAAATCCAGCTCCAAACCCTGGTAAGAAATTGTCGGCGAGCCCACTACATCCGCACACAGTACCGCCAGCAGCTCGTCCGTGAGTGCCATCAGATCTTTATAATCCGCATACGCCTGATAAAACTCCAGCATGGTGAACTCAGGGTTATGTCGAGTTGAAAGGCCTTCGTTACGAAAATTACGATTCACCTCATAGACGCGTTCATATCCCCCAACCACCAGTCGCTTGAGAAACAGCTCTGGCGCAACACGCAAATACAGCTCGAGATCGAGCGCGTTATGGTGTGTGACAAAAGGGCGTGCCGTTGCGCCACCGGGAATGCTGTGCATCATCGGCGTTTCCACTTCCAGGAAATCGCGCGTGTTGAAAAACTCACGCATGCGCGCAATCACCCTGGAGCGGGTTCTAAACACGTCACGCGACGAATCGTTCATGATCAGATCAAGATAACGCTGGCGATAACGGATTTCCTGGTCGGTGACACCGTGAAACTTCTCCGGCAGCGGACGCAGGGTTTTGTTCAACAGCTCCAGACTTTGCGCGTGCACGGTCAACTCACCTTTGTCAGTGCGCATCAGCACACCACGCACACCCACAATATCGCCGATATCTGTGAGATCCTTAAATTGATCATAAGCCTCGTCGCCCATGTCGTTTTTCCTGAGGAAACACTGGATCTGGCCGCTACTGTCCTGCAGCGTGACAAAACTGGCTTTACCCATGACCCGGCGCAGCATCAACCGACCACAAACCGCCACCGCGAACCGCGCCTCCTCGAGCTGAGGTTTGTCTGCATCGGCGTAAGTCGCGTGGAGAGTTGCGGCAAGGTCTGAGCGTCGAAAATCGTTCGGATAACCGCCACCTTGCGCCAGCCATCGCTGTCTTTTTGCTTGTCGATTTGCCAACAAGTCTCGTTCTTCACTCATCTTAGGGTCGCCTTATTTCTCTGCATCTTTCGCATCAGTCGCGTCTGTCGTTTAGCGGGCATACGTCCGTTCAAACGACAGTTATAAGCCTGCTTTCAAGCTGGCTTCTATGAATCCATCCAGGTCACCATCCAACACATTGTTGGGATCGGTGCGTTCAATGTGGGTGCGCAGGTCTTTGACCCGGCTCTGATCCAGTACATAACTGCGGATCTGACTACCCCAGCCAATATCAGCTTTGGCATCTTCCACAGCCTGCTGTTCTGAACGCCGTGCAAACATTTCCAGCTCATACAGTTTCGCACGCAGCTGTTTATACGCACGGTCTTTATTCTGATGTTGCGAACGTTCGCTCTGGCATTGCACCACGGTATTTGTGGGCAAGTGCGTCAGACGCACAGCGGAATCCGTTCGGTTCACGTGTTGTCCACCCGCGCCGCTGGCGCGATAGGTATCCGTGCGTACATCTGCGGGATTAATTTCAATCTCGATATCATCGTCAATTTCAGGGGAGACAAACACAGAGGCGAACGAAGTGTGACGCCTGCTGCCGGAATCATACGGCGATTTGCGTACCAGCCGATGCACGCCGGTTTCAGTGCGCAGCCAGCCGAACGCATAAGGTCCTTCGATCTGCACGGTTGCGCTTTTAATGCCAGCCACTTCACCAGGGCTCAACTCGGTCACTGAAGCTTTGAAACCTCTTTTTTCCGCCCAGCGCAGATACATGCGCAAAAGCATATCCGCCCAATCCTGAGCCTCTGTACCGCCGGAACCAGACTGAATGTCCACAAACGCGTTGGCAGTATCCATCTCGCCCTGGAACATACGCTGGAATTCCAGTTCGGCAAGCTTAGCTTCCACCCCTTCCAGCTCTGTGGCGATATCATCCAGCGCATCGCTATCGGATTCTTCATTGGCCAGCTCCGCGAGCTCAGCCAGGTCCGCCAGGCTTGACTGCATATCTCCCAGCCCACTCACCACCTGTTCCAATGCAGCGCGTTGCTGGCCCAGTTTCTGGGCGCGGTCAGGGTCGTCCCAGACCGCAGGCGCGGCTAACTCGCGTTCAACCTCTTCCAGCTGCTCACATTTGCCAGCGTAGTCAAAGATACCCCCGAAGCGCAGATTCGCGGTCGCCCAGATCTTTGAAAGTTTCGCGCAGAGCAGTTATCTCAGCCATGTTAATTCAGGTCTTTTGTTAGCGGTTTAAAAGCAGCGGTTCTGTACCCTGGCGCCTGCCAGTGGGCGGCTAGTGTAAGGATTTGCAGGTGATTTTTCGAGGGTTTGCCGCAAACATAAATCTGCGCTCGTCGCGATATTGATATCAAAGGGCTTGGAGGAAATCCACCATGAGTTGTGGCGTGGGAATCTGACCATAGTCGTTAATACTCAGCTTATAGACTACCCGCACCTGCTGGGTACTGGCCGGCACCGGCCCCTGCCGGAAAGCGATGGCATCAATGACCCGGGCGTCTTTTTTTAACACCATTTTCAGATGGTGTTCACCTACAACCCGCTGACTGACAAGTTCAAACTCACCACAAAATGAGGGTTCAGGAAAACCACTGCCCCAGGGACCCGCAGCCGCCAGGTGTTCCGCCATCTGCAGAGATAACTCGTGTGCATCCAGCTCCCCATCTGTGATCAAGCGTGCCTGCAACATCTCTGCGTGACTGAAGTGCTGTACAGCTTTGTCAAAAATAGCCGCAAAACGTGTCAGGTGGACGCGCTTGATACTCAACCCCGCCGCCATGGCATGGCCGCCAAACTTCAACAGCAACCCAGGATGGCTGGACGCAACCCGATCCAGCACATCACGGATGTGCAGATCGGTGATGCTGCGTGCAGAACCCTTGAGCTCGTCTGGTGCCGCATCTCCAGCATCCGCAAAGGCAATCACAGGTTTATGGAATTTTTCGCGCAGGCGTCCTGCAACAATGCCAACCACACCCTGATGAAACGATTCATGGTAGACGGTTAAACCTACTCGATCGGTATCCGCCTGATCCTGAGCAAGCAACAGCTCAGCATCACCCACCATATCCTGTTCCAGTTGGCGCCTGGCTTTGTTCAGCTGATCCAGCGCTGTGGCTAGACGTCGGGCTTCGGGCAGGCTGTCCGCCAGCAGACATTTAATGCCGATGCTCATATCTTCAAGACGCCCTGCTGCATTCAGCCGCGGGCCCAGAGCAAAACCCAGATCCTGGGCGGACAAGGTCGCCAGGGATCGTTTCGCAATTTCAGCCAGTGCCTTGATGCCCGGCAGACAACGACCCGCACGCATGCGGGCAACACCCTGATGCACCAGAATTCTATTGTTGGCGTCTAAAGGCACCACATCCGCCACGGTACCCAGAGCAACCAGATCCAGGTATTGCGCCAGGTTCGGTGCCGGACGGTGTTCGTTAAACCAGCCGCGATCACGTAATGTTGTGCGCACAACCCCCAGCACGTAATACGCCACGCCAACTCCAGCCATATTACGACTGGGAAACCCGGCGTCAGGCAGATTAGGATTAACAATGGCAAATGCGCGGGGGAGTTCTGCACCCGGCAGGTGATGATCCGTCACAATCACATCGATGTTCAGTTCACGGGCCCGTTCAACCCCAGCCACACTGGAGACACCATTATCGACAGTCACAATCAGATCAGGTTGCGATGAGTTAGCCAGATCTACAATTTCCGGTGACAGGCCATATCCGTACTCAAAACGATTGGGCACCAGAAATTCTACGCGCTCGGCGCCAAAATCTTTCAGGATCTTTACACACAGGCTCACCGCAGTAGCGCCATCAGCATCAAAGTCACCAACAATCATGATCTTCTGCTGCTGGGTGATGGCATCCGCCAGGCGTTCTGCGGCCAACTGCACGTCAGGCAACTTAACTGGAGAGGCTAACGCCTGCAGCGAGCGATCCAATTCCTGGCTGTTGCTGACACCACGACCGGCATAAATGCGCCGTAACAGCGGCGGTTGCAGATCAGCCAATACATCAGGATTAACTTCGCGCGTCAGGATTTCCATTTTTTGCCCAAAAAACTACTTTCCACAGACAGCTTTATCCATGCAGTTTTTTTCACAGCTGATTGCGTCAAAATTCTTCAATCAAAGCCTTCAACGCGAATCCGAACAATTTCACCTGCCACCTGGGGCAGCACTCTGACTTCGTCCAGCGCCGCTTCGATGTCCGCTTCACTGCTTATCTGCGTGAGCATGACAATAGCCACGGTCGTCTGGCCGGATTTTGGTTCTTTCTGAATCGCCGCTTCTATGCTGATGCCGTGTTGAGAAAGCGCCTGGGCAACCCGCGCAAATACGCCAGGCTCATCTTTGGTAGGTATACGCAGATAGTTGCCACTACGTACTTGAGCCATCTGCAGGATAGGCACAGTAGCAGTTTGTGCGCCGCCGGTCTGGATGCGCATATTTGAACCCCGGCGCTGCGCCAGGGATACCACATCACTGAGCACTGCTGAAGCTGTTGCACTACCCCCTGCGCCTGGACCGCTGTAAAGCGTATCACCAGCTGCATCACACTTAACCAGAACGGCATTCATCACACCGTCGACATGCGCCAGTAGTTGACTGTCAGGCACCAAGGTCGGGTGTACCCTGGCCTCAATGCCTTCTGCCACCTGTCGCGCAATACCCAGATGTTTGATCCGATAGCCCAGCTCATCAGCGTAACGAATATCATCTGCGGTGATCTGGGCAATACCTTCAACGTGCAAGTCCGCAAAATTGAACGGCTGATCGAACGCCAAAGCCAGCAAAATCGCGAGCTTGTGAGCGGCATCAATACCTTCCACGTCAAAGGTTGGGTCCGCTTCCGCGTACCCCAGCTCCTGGGCGCGTGCTAACGCGTCAGCGAAGCTTGCACCCTCTTCTTTCATCGCCGTCAGAATATAGTTGCAGGTACCGTTGATGATACCCATCACGTGCTCAAACTGATTGGCGATAAGACCGCGCTCAATGCTTGAAATAATCGGAATAGCACCGGCAACGGCAGCTTCAAAGGCAATGGTATTACGCAAATCCTGCAATTCGTTACCGTGCTTTGCAATGACTGCCTTGTTTGCTGTCACCACCAGTTTGTCAGCTCCGGTCGCGGCTTTGATGAGGTCCAGCGCAGCGCCTTCACCACCAATCAGCTCGACGACAATGTCGACATCATCGGCCAGCAAGCTGTCCAGCTCAGTGGAAAAGCTTGCGCCCAACAGGTCTATTTCGGGTTTAGCTGTACGGCTGGCAACGCGCGTGACAACCAGCTCAACGCCGCTACGTGCCGCAATCAGCTGCTGGCGCTGAGCAATAATCTCCAAAACGCCGCAAGCGACAGTGCCGAGGCCGGCGATGCCCAATCGAATCTGCTGCATTGTTGATTCGCCTAATTCAGACCAATGGCTTCTGCCAGGGCGGCAGCGGGCATGTATCCAGGCAGTAAACGACCGTCAGCGGTGACAATCGCCGGCGTGCCGGTCACCCCCACTTTGCGACCCAGCTCATACTGCTCAGCAATTGGGTTGTCACAATCTTTCATGTCGATATTCAGGCCGGACTTCAAAGCGGTCAGCGCTTCGGTGGGATCATCAGCACACCAGGCAGACACTATTTTTGCGTGGGTGGGTGTACCCAATCCACCTCGAGGATAACCCAGGTATCTGACTTCGATACCCAGGGCGTTAATTTCCGCAATTTCCTGATGCAGTTTGCGACAGTAGCCACAGTCAACATCCGTGAAAACACTGATAAAAGATTTTGTTTCACCTGCGGGGCTGAACACCACCATATTCTCCAGTGGTTCCGCAGCCAGCAACGCGCGCCGCTTGGTCATACGACGGGTTTCAGCAAGGTTTTCAACTTCCGAGGTCAGACGATACATGTCCCCAGAAAACAGATACTCGGCGTCAGCACTACCGTAGAGCGTCTGCCCACCTTCAAGTTCAACCGCATAGAAGCCCGCTTTGGGCGTAGCGACAACAGCCTCGATTGGCAGGTCAGGCAGTAACAGCGCAAGTTTCGCCATGAGTTTTTCGCTGCCTGCAGGGTACGGCTGCGCAGCAGAGCAAAAAGGCGCGGCAAACAGCAAACTCGCACCAAGGCTTGCTGCAATAACGAGGTTGAGGGCTTTACTGTTCACGTGTCATCAATTCCTTTCGGTTGTGGGGTTGATTCATCACCCTCGAGGATGATGGGTACGTACAAGGTTCTGCAGTCGCTGCTGGGCTATATGCGTGTAGATCTGGGTTGTTGATAAATCACTGTGGCCCAACATCATCTGTACCGCACGCAAATCGGCGCCATTATCCACTAGATGCGTTGCAAAAGCATGGCGTAATGTATGCGGCGATACTGTGCTGGGAATCCCCGCAATCAGCGCATAACGCTTAATTGCATGCCAGAAGGTTTGCCGGGTCATCTGCTGGCCTCGACGACTCGGGAACAGCACACTTCCGGCTTCTCCCAACAGTTCACTGCGCCCATCCTGCAGGTATCTGCCTAACCACTGCAGGCTTGTCTCTCCCATCGGCACAAGACGTTCTTTACCACCTTTGCCGGTGACTCGAACGACTCCCTGGCGCTGGTTAATGCTGGTGAGTTGCAGCGTAATTAATTCAGAGATCCGCAAACCGGTCGCATAGAGCACTTCGAGCATGGTTCTGTCCCGCAGGCCCAGGGCCGTGCCGACATCTGGCGCTGCCAGCAGCGCCTCCACCTGGGCTGCTGAAATCACCAGCGGTAAAGCCCGACCGGTTTTCGGATGCGCCAGCAGAGCGGTTGGATCCTCAGCCAGCGCCTCTTTTAAGAGCTGGTGACGATAAAAGCCTCTTAGAGCGCTTAAGTTGCGAGCCGCACTGCGACTGGCAATGCCTTCCGAAAAGCGATGCGCCATATACTCCATAAGATCAGAAGCGCGTGCAGTGAGCAGATCTCGCTCCCGCAGCAGCAGCCAGTTCTGAACATTCTGCAGGTCACGACGATATGCGGCCAGCGTGTGTTCGCTAAGCCCTCGCTCGAGCCACATGGCGTCTAAATAGGCGCTGATAATGCCATCTGCAACGGACAAGGCAGCTACTTCCAACCAAACCAGAACTGAGTCACGATTCTAGTCCGAAAGTGACCTAGATTGACACGTCATGCGAGCTTACTGACTTATCGCGGCGATCGAGTCATTTTTAACACGGAACCCATGGGGAACTCTAACCTATTGAAACTAAAAGACTTTTAAGAGGTATGCGTGGAGTCAGGAGGATTTTGGCGAAATCCTAAGAAGTTGGCACGGTGGCTGCATTACAGAAATCGAGCTTCAATGCAGTATGCCACCGTCCCCCGGTATATTGGAGCACCACAGCTGAACGGACGTCTCTCCCGTGATGCTGACCAGCTTGCTAAGCGATCTCTCTCCCCCTCTCTCCCAAGCTTAGCAAGCTGGCTCTATTTCTAAAGCCCCTCACTCTCTCCATCTTTCCCAATTTCATGAGTCCGATTTAAAGGGCAGAGAGATTGCCTAAAGCAAACTGTGTGCAGCTACCAGCAGCTGCTTAAGCTTTTTTGATCTTTTCTTTGATTCGCGCCGCTCGACCAGAAAGTTCGCGCAGGTAATACAACTTCGCCTGGCGCACATCACCACGTCGCTTGACTTCAATCCCGGCAATCAGCGGGCTGTGAGTTTGGAAGGTACGTTCTACACCAACGCCGTGGGAAATCTTCCGCACGACAAAAGCTGAGTTCAGACCACGGCTTTTAATGCCTATGACAACGCCTTCAAAAGCCTGCAAACGCTCACGGTCACCCTCTTTGACACGTACCTGGACGCTGATGGTGTCGCCAGGCGCAAATTCAGGGATATCCTGATTAAGCTGGGCGTTTTCAATCTCTTCAATGATTTTATTTCTACGCATATTAAGCCTCACTGCTTTTTCGTAGTGTTCTGCTCTTCTTTGCATGAGGCAAAACACGCTGTTAACAACTTTCGATCAGCTTCACTGAATACTCTGCGAGTGAGCATGTCCGGGCGCTGCTGGAAAGTTCGTTGTAACGCCTCCCGGCGTCGGTATTCAAAAATCCTTTGATGGTCACCGCTGAGCAGGACGTCAGGCACGCTGCCTTCGGCGGTATCCACGGGGCGCGTATAGTGAGGGTAATCGAGCGTTCCATCAAGATGTGATTCGTCAAAAACTGACAAAGAATTGCCCAATGTACCGGGAATATGACGCGCGATGGCATCACAGACGACAAGAGCCGCAAGTTCGCCGCCGCTGAGCACATAATCACCAATAGACCAGCGCTCGTCGATGTAGCGTTCGATAAATCGTTGATCAAGACCTTCGTAGCGACCACAGACGATGATCAGACTGCCTGTGTGGCTCTCCTGCACGGCTTTAGACTGTTTGAAAACCTCACCCTGAGGGTCCATGAGCACCACCTTGGCGACACCGGGTGCAGCGGCGCGGGCGGCTTCCAATGCAGCTACCAGCGGAGCAGTCATCATCACCATACCTGCACCACCACCATAAGGACGATCGTCTACAGTGCGATGTTTATCCTGTGCGAAGTCCCGTGGGTTGAAAATCTGCAGCTGCAGGCTGCCCGCTTCAAGGGCACGGGCAAACACCCCGCCGCTGCGCGCAGACTCGACAAGCTCCGGGAGCACTGTGATGACCCCTAACCACATGGCAGTGTTACCAATCCCGCTCCCACTGCACGGTGATGCAGCGGGCTTCAAGATCAACCTGTTTTATGTACGGTGCTACAAACGGGATCAACAGCTGCGGCACAGGACCTTTTGCAGAGGCAGCCGTGCCAGGCTGATCTTTCAACACCAGTACATCGTGCGCCCCGGTTTCCATCAGATGATCCACAACACCCAGCACCTGCGCGCTTTGATTGATGACCTCGCAGCCGGTTAAATCCTGCCAGTAAAATTCATCAGCATCCGTCGCTGCGTTAAACGCGGATCGCGTAACGCCGATGAGCGTGCCTGTCAGGGCTGCAGCTTGATCTCGCTCAGACACACCCTCAAAACCAGCAACAAAACCTTTTTTGTGCGGGCGGACACGGTGTTTAGCAGATTTTTGCCAGACGGAAGACCCGGCTGCCTGCAGCAGCCAGGGTTCATACGACAATAGGTTTTCCAGAGGCTGGGTGAAAGACTGGACGTTGACCCAGCCTTTGATGCCATAAGGGGCGCCAATGCGCCCCACCACAATGACCCTGTCCGCAGTGTCCGCGACGGGCACGAGGTAAGAATAAAGCGGTTAAGCAGCGGCCGCGGGTACGGCTTTACGCGCTTGCTTGATCAGCTTCTTCACGACGTCAGAAGGTTGTGCACCTACAGACATCCAGTAGTCAACGCGATCAAGATCTAGTCTGAGGGACTCAGACTGCCCTTTTGCCAGCGGGTTATAAAAACCCAGACGTTCTACAAAACGGCCGTCGCGACTCTCAGAACGATCTGCCACTGTGATGTGGTAGAAGGGGCTTTTTTTGGAGCCGTGGCGGGCCAGACGAATTGATACCATGTGTTGCTCTGTCTACTTTAAAGTTAAATCGAAAGTGTGAAATTTCAGGCGGCGTATTCTATAGCAGGCCTTTTAGAATGCAAGCCACTTGAACAAGCCTCATTTATCCTGCCCGCCTCACTGTTGATCCAAACCGGCCAGTAAAACTCTGAGATTTTCCATCGACGCGCGACTGGCTTTAGCCAGCTCCGCCATACGTTGAACCACCTCCGGGTTATTGGTATCCGGCACGGTTGCAGGGTTGGAGAATCCATCCAGGCGAGCATGCAGCAGCCAGGACTGAAGCTCAGAATCCTGCGCCCATCGAGCCGCATTTGTGTTGCTGACCAAATTCGTGCGCAGGAAGTCAATTGCATCATCTGGATGTGGTACCGGGGTACATAATTCATTTTGCACAGCCGCGTCACTGTAGCTCGCCTCAACATGACCGATAAACGCAGCACTGAAAACCTGCTGGCAGGTTCGCACCGATTGCAATGTCAAAGTGCCATTATTAAACACCGGTGTTGCAGGCCGACGCTCAAGCCCATCAGCGGTACAATCAATGTGCAGGGTCTGCTGATCAGTGGCTATCTCACCCTGCTGCAAATTAAGACGATGGGGCTCAATGGACGTCACCCGCCCCATACGCACAATATTTTTGATGCGCCGCAGTTGCACTAGTTCAGCCTTGGTCACCGTGGCGCACCGGTACATGGTCGGTTCGATGCTGGGGTCCAGACGCAGCAGCTGACCGCTGGCTTCGACCCGCTCGAACAGATCTTCAATAGATGTCGACTTGGCGATTGCCTCGGTCTGTTTAGCAAACCCCTGCCCTATGGATTGTGAAAACAGCTTGCCCGGCTGGATGTTGGCGCGGTCCAGCAGCCATGAATCCCGGGGCATGATCCAACGAATGTGTTCCGCATCGACGTGATTTTTAAGCAGGAAAAGACACGCATCCATGCCGGTTTTACCGGCACCGATGACCGTGTATTTTTTAAAACCACCCACCACTTTGGGAAGGGCATTGGGCGGCACACAGGTGACCCCCTCCGTAACCGGGTACGTTGGTTCGCGCATGGAAGGCACGGTCACGTTCATATAAGTCGCGTCAACAATCTTTCCTGCATTGACCTGATATTCGTTTTCGCTCAACAAGGATTTGAACACCCCGTCTGAGATGTACTCACACATGGGAAAATACTGCACTCGACCGCTGGGTAAAAACTGCTGTTGCATAACCTGGTCAAAATAGGCGCACACCTCACTGTTGGTGGCCAGCTCGTACAAACCTTCATTCCAACCGTGCGTATCGATAGTGTCAGAACCCAGATTGCGCGAATTAACGCCGTAAAAGGCTGACGGCTGATGCAGCCGTACATAGGGGTAAGCCACATTCCAGTGCCCACCGGGTTGATGGTATTTGTCTACCATCAGTACCGTCGCATTTGTCTCGTTAAGGATGACGTCGACAAACGCCATGCCCATGGCGCCGGCGCCTACCACCAGGTAATCGGTTTTTAGATTGTGCATCTGGGTCTAACTTCTTTGGTCTAACTTCTTTGGTCTAACTTCTTTGGTCTATCTTCTGGGCATGCCTGGCGGCGGCTTCATGCCCTGCAGGCCGCGCATCATTTTCTGCATACCGCCTTTTTTGGACACTTTTTTCATCATTTTCTGCATCTGCTTGTGCTGCTTGAGCAGACGATTCACATCCGGCACTTCGGTGCCGCTACCCTTGGCTATCCGCTGCTTGCGAGAGCCGTTGATCACATCGGGGAAACGACGTTCATGTGCCGTCATGGAATCTATGATCACACCCATGCGTTTGAACAATCCATCGTCCAGTTGCGCCTGTGCACCGGGTGGCAACTGCCCAGCGCCGGGTAACTTATCCAGCATGCTGGAAATACCCCCCATATTGGCCATCTGATCAATCTGATCGCGGAAATCTTCAAGGTCGAATTTGCGCCCGCGGGTGATTTTGTTGGCGAGCTTCTGCGCTTTGGCCTTGTCGACTTTACGTTCAGCTTCTTCAATGAGCGACAGCACATCACCCATGCCCAGAATTCGAGAGGCCAGGCGATCCGGATAAAAAGGCTCGAGGGCATCACTTTTTTCACCCATACCCAGGAACTTGATGGGTTTACCGGTAATTGCGCGAACAGACAGTGCGGCACCACCCCGAGCGTCACCATCAGCTTTGGCGAGAATGACACCAGTTAACGTAAGCGCCTGATTAAACGCCTGAGCTGTGTTGGCGGCATCCTGGCCGGTCATTGCATCCACCACAAACAGAGTTTCTACAGGCTGCAAAGTATCCTGCAGACTGCGGATTTCGCCCATCATGGCTTCGTCGACGGCTAATCGCCCGGCGGTATCAACAATAAGGACATCAGCAAATTGCTTTTTAGCCTCGGCGACGGCGCGTTCAGCAATTGCCAGCGGCGCTTCATCTGCTGTGGATTCAATAAAATGTGCCTTCACCTCGGCGGCTAAGGTTTGCAGCTGTGCAATCGCCGCAGGTCGATAGACGTCGGCGCTGACCACAGCAACTTTTTTCTTTTCCCGCTCGGACAGATATCGCGCGAGCTTGGCAACCGTGGTGGTTTTACCAGCACCCTGCAGACCCGCCATCAGAATAATAACCGGCGGTGCTGCTGCCAGGTTCAACGCATCGTTGGCGTCACCCATGGTGTGCACCAGTTCATCGTGCACAATTTTGACAAATTGTTCGCCGGGATTAAGGGCATTGGAAATAACCGTACCCAGCGCCTTGGTTTTGACCTGCTCGATAAAGGTTTTAACAACCGGCAGAGCAACGTCAGCTTCTAAAAGCGCCATCCGCACATCACGCAGCGCATCACTGACATTTTCTTCCGAGAGCTTGGCGCGCCCTTGGATACCGCGCAGGGTTTGAGTTAATTTGTCGGAGAGATTTTCGAACATGAATCTTCAAGCGTTGGTTTGCGGGGCCCCTATTATAGCCACATCAAGCGCCTTCGACTAAGCGCTTAATGCTTCAAGAGCAGGGTTTGATGTGCCAAACTGCAGCATAAGGATCATATGAGCTCAAACTGCTTGAGTATCGACATTTTCGAAGCGCACACCTTCGCAGCCCTACCGGGGCCTTCACCGTGACACTGACAGTCTCCATAGCCGCCGTTGCATTATATTGTCTTGGCCTGCACCTGCGTTGGCGTCAGCGGCAACAAACCCTACCCAGCAGGGGCAGCCTGGCAATAACGCTGGGGGCTCTGGCCTGTCACGGTGTTGCGGCTTTTACCCTGCTCAACACAAATTATGGCCTGGATCTCAGCGTGGTGCCGGTCAGCACCCTGGTGGCGTTTATCATTGTCGCCGTTGTGGCTGTTGCGAACGTTCGCCTGCCAGTGGAGAACCTGTATCTGTTTCTGTTCCCCATCTCGATCGCTGTATTGCTCGCGGCCAATCTGATTGAGCCGGGTGGGCAGCCACTGGAAACCCTATCTGGGGGCCTGGTGCTGCACATCCTGCTGTCGCTGGCGGCATACAGTGTGCTCATGATGGCTGCCTGCCAGTCGATCCTGCTGGCCCTGCAGGAAAGACGTTTAAAACACCCCGGCGAGCCGAGCTTTGCCATTCTACCCCCCTTAGAAACGATGGACAGGCTGCACCTGGTCATGTTGTGGATTGGTCTGGGCCTTCTTTCAGCTTCAATCCTGAGCGGCTTTCTGTTCATGGACGATATCTTTGCCCGCCAGGTTTTACACCACCTGGTGCTGACGTCACTGGCGTGGCTGGTTTACGTTGTGTTTCTCAGCGGCCATTACCTTTATGGCTGGCGTGGTATGACCTCGGTGAAGTGGAGCCTGACCGGGTTCACCTTACTGTTGCTGGGTTATCTGGGCAGCAAGTTTGTGCTGGAGTATCTGTTACACAGATAAGCCGTGAGGATGTTGGAGAATTTCAGACTTTGAACGGTGAAGAATTTCCCATATGGGTGCTGTTGAGCAGCATTGTTGTTTTGACCTGCCTGTCGGCTTACTTCTCCGGTACCGAAACGGCGATGATGGCGCTCAACCGCTATCGTCTCAAACACCTGGTTAAACAACGCCATAAAGGGGCCCGCAAAGCGAACCGCCTGCTGCGTCGTCCCGACCGTCTGCTGGGCGTTATTCTGGTAGGCAACAACCTGGTTAACTTCTCTGCCGCCACCATCGCGACGGTTATCGGGTTGCGCTTATACGGTGATACCGGCGTGTTGCTGGCACCCTGGGTGTTAACCATCACCTTCCTGATTTTTGCCGAGGTGGCGCCTAAGACACTTGCTGCGTTACATCCTGAGGGCTGGTCGTTTCGCTCTGTTTACATCCTGCAGCCGCTGCTCAAACTGCTATATCCGGTAGTGGCCTTCATCAACTGGTTCAGCAACGCCCTGGTGCGCCTGTTTTCCCCGCACCAGGGCGAAGATAATGAGAACCTCTCAACCGAAGAGTTGAAAACAGTTGTAAACGAAGGTGCCGTCTCTGTTGGGGAACGTCAGAGCATGATGGTACGTCTGCTCGACCTTGAATCTGTAACGGTCAACGACATCATGGTGCCACGTAGCGAAATTGTGGGCATCGACATCGAAGCCGATATAAATGACATCCTCGATGCTGCAGCAACCAGTCAACACACGCTGCTACCAATCTACAAAGAGTCCATCAATAACGTGCTGGGCATTCTGCACCTGCGGCGTATGGCACGACTGGTTAATATGGACAACTTCACCAAAGCCGATCTCATGCAGCTGACACGTGAACCATACTATGTGCCCGAAGCAACCCCCCTGCATACCCAGCTGTTGAATTTCCAGAAAGAAAAACAACGCATAGCATTAGTGGTTGATGAGTACGGGGATGTGCAGGGTATTGTTACGCTGGAAGACATCCTGGAGGAAATTGTTGGCGAATTCACCAGTGATTACGCCTCCAACATGCCGGAGATATCCCCTCAGGAAGATGATGCCTATGTCATCGACGGTTCAGCTGTTGTAAGGGAGATCAATCGCGCTCTGCACTGGGAACTGCCATTGACAGGCCCGCGCACGCTAAACGGACTGGTGCTTGAGTACCTGGAAACAATTCCGGAATCCAATCTGTGTATACAGATTGATGAATATCAGATCGAAACCTTGCAGATCAACGACAACATGATTAAAAATCTGAAAATCCGCCGGCTCGAAAAGCTCAAACCGGCAGATCATGACGAGGAAGACTAATCGCTGACGCGTTCTATCAAGCCTTGGCCCAACGACGGTTCATGGCTGAGATAATTGCATAAAGCGAAGCCGTAATGGTGTTTCGACTCACACCGATGCCATAACAACGACTGCTATCAGACTCATCATCAATCGCCAGGATAGAGATGGCCTGAGCATCACTGCCCTCCCCCAGCGAATGCTCGTGATAAGCCACCACCGTTAACGGCTCGTTTAAAGTTTCCACCAGCGCATTAACAAAGGCTTCTATGGGGCCGCTACCTTCCGCATCAACAGTCACCGTGCTTTCAGATACTTCAATTCTGGCCACACAACGCTGATCCTGTTCGCGGCCGCTGAGCAGATCATAGTCAATCAGCTTGTAAGGACCGTCCTGATTTGTGTAGGTCTCGATCAGGCGATCAAATATCTCACTGGGCTTCACTTCACGATCAAGTTCTTCTGTGAGCTTCTGCACTTCAGTACTGAACTCCACCAGAATGTCACGTGGCAACGCTACGCCATAATGTTCTTCTAACAGAAAGCCTATACCTGCCTTGCCAGACTGACTGTTGACCCTGACGGATTCTTTATACGACCCACCCACATCAGCTGGATCAATGGGTAGATAGGGAACTTCCCAGCTGTCACGGTCTACCTTGGACATACCTTTACGGATCGCATCCTGATGGGAGCCGGAAAATGCCGTGAAAACCAGATCTCCGGCATAGGGGTGACGTTCGGCGACAGCCAGCTTGTTAACGGCTTCAACAGTTTCACGAATTCTGGGCATGGCTCGAAAATCGAGCTCCGGATCGACACCCTGACTGAACAGGTTCATGGCCATCGTGACCAGATCGCAGTTACCTGTGCGTTCGCCGTTACCAAACAGAGTCCCTTCAACACGATCTGCACCTGCCATCAATCCAAGCTCAGTGGCCGCTACACCCGTGCCCCGGTCGTTGTGTGTGTGCAGGCTGATCACCGCTGAGTCTCGTCGAGGGAAATTCCGCACAAACCATTCAATCTGGTCGGCATAAATATTGGGCGTCGACATCTCCACCGTGGAAGGCAGATTGATGATCATCGGCTGTTCTGGGGTGGCTCCCCAGGTGTCCGACACAGCCGTGCAAATGTCTACCGCAAAATCCAGCTCAGTACCGGTGAAGCTCTCCGGCGAATACTCAAAAGTTACGTCCGCTGAAAAATCCTTAAGACCCTGCTTTACGATTTCCGTACCCTGTACAGCCAGGTCGATGACTCCCTGCCGATCCATATCAAACACCACCCGACGCTGCAGCTCAGACGTTGAGTTGTAGAGGTGAAAAATCACGCTGGGCGCTCCCTGCAGGGCTTCCACGGTACGTTCGATCAGCTCAGCACGGGCCTGACAGAGTACCTGGATGCTGACACCCTCTGGAATCCGGTCTTCATCTATAATTCGGCGGATAAAATCAAAGTCAGGTTGGGATGCTGCAGGAAAACCGACCTCTATTTCCGCAAAGCCTATCTCCAGCAACAGATCCCAGAGTTGCAGCTTTTCATCAACGTTCATTGGATCGATCAGCGCCTGATTGCCATCGCGTAGATCAACACTGCACCAGCGCGGCGCCTTGGTCAGCACCTTACTGGGCCACTGACGGTCTGGCAGATTGATGGGCTTAAAAGCGTGGTATTTTTGAAAAGGCATCGCGCCTTGGGCGCGTCCTGAAATATGACGTTGGCTCATGCCAATATTTCCTTTGTTTGTTGCTGCGCTGCTGCGCAAATTGTCGTCTGTCTGATTCACGCCAGAGACTCACCCGGACAAGCCTGGTTTTGAGTGTTTCTGGTTTCTGGGTGGGTGCTTAGACCCTGGGGTATTAAATAGTTGCCGGTGCCACCGGCAGCAGCAGTTGCACGGCCAGAAGAGGCAGCAATGACGTAGGCAGAAGTGGCAAGGATATGATGTTCACCGCGCAACTATAGTCTGTGCCGAATTGTTTGCCAAGCGCTAGTCCTTACTGAACGGTCACACACTTGGCTTCACCGCTGCAGCGGCTGCACCGGCTTTCGAGCGGGCCTGCTCGATGGTTTCACCTAACGCCAGCGCAACACCCATGCGCCGCTCTCCGCGCACCTCAGGCTTGCCGAACAGGCGCAATTGCGTATCCGGTTCAGCCAGCGCCGCTTCCAGTCCGGAAAAAGACACCTGATCAGAATCCCCCTCCACCAGTACAACGGCTGAGGCCGCGGGGCCACGGCATGCAATATTTGGTATCGGCAGCCCTAAGATGGCGCGAGCATGTAAAGCAAACTCAGATAGATCCTGGCTGATCATGGTGACCATGCCGGTGTCATGGGGTCGCGGACTGACCTCACTGAAATACACCTCATCATCTTTAATGAAAAACTCAACACCAAACAGACCGTAACCACCCAGTTCCCCGGTCACCAGCCCGGCAATACGTTCACATTCCGTAAGCGCAACAGATGACATAGCCTGGGGCTGCCAGGATTCCTGATAATCCCCGCCTGCCTGGCGGTGGCCGATTGGCGCACAAAATGAAACGCCACCGACATGCTGCACAGTCAGCAACGTAATCTCGTAATCGAAATCGACAAAACCCTCGACGATGACCTTGCCGCCACCTCCCCGCGCACCCTGCTGAGCATACTCCCACGCCACCTGCGCCTGCCCGGCATCCGCGACAAGCGATTGACCTTTACCGGAACTGGACATGACAGGCTTCACCACACAGGGAAATCCTACCTGCTCTAGCGCCCGCGCGTATTCCTGCTCATCTGCGGCAAACACAAAAGGCGATGTCGTGATGTCCAGCGTTTCCGACGCGAGCAGCCGGATGCCTTCCCGGTCCATGGTCAGCTGCGCTGCACGCGCGGTGGGAATGACACGCAAACCGTTACGCTCCAGATCAACTAGCGTAGCGGTGGCAATGGCTTCTATTTCAGGCACCACAAGGTGGGGTTGCTCCTGGGCGATCACCGCTGCCAGCGCAGCGCCGTCAAGCATATTGATGACATGGCTCCGATGAGCAACCTGCATAGCTGGTGCATGGGGGTAACGGTCCACCGCAATCACCTCCACGCCCAGGCGCTGTAACTCGATGGCAACTTCTTTGCCCAGCTCGCCGCTGCCGAGCAACATGACGCGGGTGGCGGTGGCGGACCCCGGGGTGCCGATAATGACGCCCATGATCAGGAGCGCTCCACTTCTTGCGCCGCTATTTGCGCCGCTCCTTGCGCCGCCATCTCAGCGCGAAAGCGTCGCGCATTTTCGACATAGTGTGCAGCCCCCAGGCGTATGGCCTGGCCTTGTTCCGGTGACAGCGTTTTCACAACTTTGCCTGGGGAACCCAGCACCATCGAGTTATCCGGAATCACTTTTCCTTCAGTTAACAACGCGTTAGCGCCGATAATGCAGTTTTTACCTATCTTAACGCCGTTGAGAATCACGGAATTGATCCCAATCAACGATCCTTCACCTATGGTGCAGCCATGCAGCATGACTTTGTGCCCGATGGTGACGTGTGGTCCAATCTCAAGCGGGTAACCGGTATCGGTATGTAACACTGAGCCATCCTGAACGTTGGAGCCCTCACCCACGGTGATCAGGTCGTTATCCCCCCGCAGCACCACGTTAAACCAGATATTGGCATCCTGCTTGAGCAGCACATTGCCCACCACAATCGCGTTGTCTGCGACCCAGTAATCTCCTTCGGCACGCACTTTAACGTCACCCAATTGATACAACACAGCATTCCCCCGCAAAACAGATAATTAAAAACAGCGCCCATGGTAAGCACCCGACCCCACAAAACAACCCATCCGATGCACAACTACCCTCACAATTCCCTTACAGCTCGACGTTAGGTTATCTGGACAGGCTGATGCATAGTCCCAAGCGTTAGGGGTTCAATGAAAGAGACACAATGAAACAGAAACTACCAGCGTTTGATGTACTGGTAGACATGGCACGTAACGACCCGCAGCGTCTGGAGAAACTGCGCCGCATACTCACTGAACATGTGATTGCGGGTGCCACCACGGAACAAAAACGCAAACGTCTTGAAGGATTACAGTTTCGGGTTGACCTGGAGCGTGAGCGTGCGCGTTCACCACTGGCTGCAACCATCAGAATTTCAGAAATGATGTGCCATTCACTGGCTGACCTGCACCGCTCCATGGTGACACCCCTGGTCGCTGAGCAGGCATCCGAACAGACACCGAAAGCCAAAGTACTGGCCTTTCCGAAACCTCCACGCAGTTATATCAACTTTGACGACGAAGATGATGAGTTTCATGGCGAGGACGAGGACAAAGACTAATCAGCAGCAGCTGGTTATACTGCGGTGCTATGAAATTCTGCAGCAATTGCGGCGCTACGCTGACCTTCACCATCCCGCCTGGCGACAACCGCGAACGGCATGTCTGTAACGACTGCGACACCATTCACTATGTTAATCCGCGCATCATCACGGGTTGTTTACCGGTCTGGGACGACCGGGTTCTGCTGTGCCTGCGGGCAATTGACCCGCGCAAAGGTTACTGGACCCTGCCTGCAGGATTTTTAGAAAACGGGGAAACCATTGCCGCCGGTGCAGCCCGCGAAACCGAAGAGGAAGCCAATGCCCGCGTCGCCGACTTAGAGCTTTATACGGTTTTCAGCCTGCCTCACATATCCCAGGCCTATATGTTCTATCGGGCGCAGTTGAGCGACCTGGATTTCAGCAGCGGTGAAGAAAGCCTTGATGTGCGCCTGTTCAAAGAGCATGAAATTCCCTGGGACAATCTGGCCTTTCCCGTCATCACCAAGTCTCTGCAGTACTACTTTGAAGATCGGAAGAGCGGACAATTTCAAATTCGCTCAGAAGCGATGGAATTCAAACGACGCTAGTCCACTTACCGGTTCGGGTCATCAACCCAACGACACCCTGGCATTGCGAAACAAGCGCATCCACGGGCCATATTCGCCCCAGCGCTTATCCTGCCAGACATTCTGCCGGCTGAGATAAACACGTTCCGGATGAGGCATGGCAATCAGGACCTTGCCGTTATTGGCAGTAACTCCAGCCAGCCCTCCAGGCGCACCATTCGGGTTGTGCGGATACACCATAGTTGTTTCACCGGTGCCATCCACGTAGCTCATGGCGATCTGATTCGCCTGCTGTAAAACCGAAAGATCGCTCTGCTGGCGAAACTCTGCACGCCCTTCCCCGTGCGCTACAGCCACAGGGAAAATACTGCCAGCCATCGAAGACAGCCAGGGAGAGCTGTTGTTCTCTATACGGGTCATGACCATGCGCGCTTCAAACTGCTCGGACCGGTTTGCTACAAACCGCGGCCAGTGCTGCGCACCGGGAATCAGTTCGTGTAAACCACTGAGCATCTGGCACCCATTGCAGACACCCAGCACCAGACGATCTGCTTTGAAAAAATCTTCAAACTGGCGACGAACGGGCTCATTGAACAGAATACTTTTTGCCCAACCACCGCCACCACCCAGCACATCGCCGTAAGAAAAGCCGCCACAGGCAACCACAGAGGTAAAGTTATTCAGGTGTTGGCGCCCTTCTATGAGATCGCTCATATGTACATCCACACACTCAAAGCCCGCTGCGGTAAACGCTGCTGCCATTTCGATCTGGCCATTTACCCCCTGCTCCCGAAGAATAGCGATCTTAGGTTTTGCTGCGGATATAAAAGGCGCGCAGATGTCTTCATCCACCACAAACGTAGTTTGCGCGTGCAGCCCGGGGGTTTTCTCAGCAGAGTCCTGCAGCCCCTCATATTCTTCGTCAGCACAGGCTTCGTTATCGCGTAGACGCGCCATCGCATGGCTGGTTTTTGTCCAGACTTGCTCCAGCTCTGCGCGGGAACTGGCAATAATGCGCTGCGCACCTTGCGAAACTATGATCTGTTCTGCGCGCGTGGCGCAGCCCAGCCGCAAAACATGACAAGGTGCAGCGACAACAAAGTCGTCGACGTTCGAACGGGCAACCTGCACAACTATGCCTACCTCTTCATTGAACAAGGCCGCCAACGTATCGGTCTCTTCCGGCAGAGTGATCTGCAAACCGCAACGCCCTGCAAATGCCATTTCGAGCAACGTGACAATCAACCCGCCATCAGATCTATCGTGCTGAGCAATGATCTGTCCTGCTCGACGGGACTGCAGCACAAAGTCCAGCATTTTCCGGAACATGTCAGCATCATCAACGTCGGGCGCATTGTCACCCAGCTGCTTGTAGACTTGCGCGAGCACGCTACCGCCCAATGCCTCACCCCCTAAATGCAGGAGCAGCAACTCATGATCAAGCTCCGGCTGCAGCACAGGCAGCGACGTTTTTGTAACGTCCGCCACCGGTGCAAACGCAGACACAATTAACGTTACCGGCGACACCACTGCCTTCGCCTCACCGTTATCCTGCCAGCGCGTCTGCATCGATAACGAGTCTTTGCCCACCGGTATGGCTATTCCCAGGCTCGGGCAGAACTGTTCTCCAACTGCGACCACAGAATCAAACAAACTCTGCTCTTCCAGATTAGAACCGGTCGCCGCCATCCAGTTTGCTGACAACACCACACGCTCCACCTCTTCCAGGTCGGCACTTACAATATTGGTAAGCGACTCCGCAACGGCCATACGGGCCGCGGCTGCCGGATCAATCAACGCAAGCGGACTGCGCTCACCCATGGCAAAGGCTTCACCCCGCAGGCTGGTATATCCACGCATGGTGACGGCTGCATCAGCCACCGGCACCTGCCAGGGCCCTACCATCTGCTGACAGGCAACCAGACCGGTGATAGAACGGTCGCCAATCGTGATAAGGAACTGTTTGCTGGCAACGGCCGGAAACTGCAATACCCGACTCAAGGCCTCAGTGACTTCAACCGCAGAAAGGTCGAGCTGAGGCTGAATAATCTTTTCTCTGACAAACTCGCGTGACATTTTTGGCGGTTTGCCTAACAGAGTTTCTAACGGCAGCTTGATGGGATAATTGTCAAACTGCTGATCAAAGACTTCGAGCTGACCATCATCTGTTGAATGCCCGACCACTGCATAGGGGCAACGCTCTCTTTTACAGAGCGCTTCAAAGTGAGCAAGGGCGGCAGCATCAATCCCAAGCACATACCTTTCCTGAGCCTCATTACACCAGAGCTCTAGTGGAGACATGCCCGAATCAGCGCTGTTTATCGCCCGCAGTTGAAAGTGCCCACCAGCGTGAGCATCGTGAATCAGCTCCGGCAATGCGTTGGACAAGCCGCCGGCACCCACGTCATGGATCAGCCGTATTGGATTGTCATCCCCCAACCCACAACAGGCATCAATCACTTCCTGACAACGTCTTTCCATTTCAGGATTGCCCCGTTGCACAGAAGCAAAATCCAGGTCTTGTGCGCTGCTTCCCGAGGCAACGCTGGACGCGGCACTGCCACCCAGGCCAATCAGCATGGCCGGTCCGCCCAGCACAATCAGAGCCGTACCCACAGGAAAATCCTGCGCATGCACATGCTCCTCGCGGACGCTGCCCACACCTCCGGCAATCATGACCGGCTTGTGATAGCCGCGCACATCCTGACCTAACTGCATCTCAAAGGTGCGGAAATAGCCGTTGATTGCCGGGCGCCCGAACTCATTGTTAAAACTTGCAGCGCCGATGGGCCCGTCGAGCATAATGTGCAGTGGATCAGCAATCTGGACTGGTTTAGACGTCTCCAATTCCCAGGGTTGCGCAAGCCCCGGAATCTTCAGGTGCGAAGTTGTGAAGCCACTCAAACCCGCCTTGGGTTTTGAGCCTCGACCTACGGCACCTTCATCTCTGATCTCACCGCCCGAACCGGTTGCGGCGCCTGCAAACGGCGCAATGGCCGTCGGATGATTGTGGGTTTCTACTTTCATCAGGACATGCACGGGTGCTTGTTCGAACTGATAGATATGGTCAACAGGCGAAGGCGAAAATCGCGCTTCTTCACTACCCTGTATCACCGCTGCGTTGTCGGAATAAGCGCTCAGAACCCCGCGCCCATTGGTCTTCTGATAGGTATTTTTGATCATGGCAAATAACGACTTGGGCTGAAGCTCGCCATCCACATGCCATTGCGCGTTAAATATTTTATGCCGACAGTGTTCACTGTTCGCCTGTGCAAACATCATCAATTCCGCATCGGTGGGATTGCGCTCTGCGGCGCTGTAAGCCTGGTCCAGATAATCGATTTCATCATCTGATAACGCCAGACCCAACGTCTGATTGGCCATGACTAAAGCCTCACGCCCCTCAGCCAACAGATTAATGTATTCCACGGGCGCAGGCGGCTGATGCTGAAACACCGCCTGGAAGTTTTCTTCATACAGCACTGTCTGGGTCATGCGATCGTGCAAGTGCGCAAGCTCAAGCTCAACTGCTTCCTCGGCGGATTTCACAAACCAGCGCACACCGCGTTCAACCCGAATAACATTACTTAAACCACAGAGCGCAAAGATATCTGTCGCTTTGCTGGACCAGGGAGAAATTGTTCCAGTTCGCGGCACGACGGTAAGCGCGCGCAAACCAGCTGGTTCAGGCAATCCCTGTTGCGGCCCATAGCGCAGCAGCTGGTCAACCTGGTGCTGTTCGCTATCATCCAACGCAGCTTCGAGCAGAAGGACATGCACAAACTCGGCGTAACACACGCGAGGCTCAAAACGCTGCAGCTTCGACAGCGCAAACGTGCTCAGTGCAGGTGCACCAGCGAGAGCCAGAATTTCCCCGCCTTTCGATTGACCCCTGTCTATCACTGTCCGAATACTCCTTATTGCGGGGCGCCTAACCCGAAGGCGCCCGAGCGGCTTGCGTTCTTCTGGCGGCAAAAAAATCTGACAACACCTGTCCACAGGGTTGTGCCAATACCCCGCCAGTTACCAAAAGCTGGTGGTTCAACCAATCGTTGAGTAAAAGCGGATGACTATGGACTGCGCCAGCCTTGGGTTCTTTTGCACCATAAACAAGACGTTGCACGCGCGCCTGAACCAGTGCGCCCGCGCACATCATGCAGGGCTCTAACGTCACGTAAAGGGTCACCTGAGGCAGCCGGTGATTATGCAGAGCTCTGGCAGCAGCGCGCAAAGCAACAACCTCTGCGTGGGCGCTGGGATCACAGGACAAAATCGTCTGGTTGTAGCCACTACTGACCAGTTCATCGTCCACCACAACCACGGCACCAACAGGCACTTCCTGCTGTTCCTGAGCGAGTTGTGCCTGCTGCAGGGCCTGCTGCATCCAATACTCATCACGCGCAAGATCAGGCGCCAGGCCGCTCATTTATACAGAAGACTCATCACTGAAGTGAGCAAACGCAGCCTCACGCTCCGCTTTTGACATACCCTGGGTTTCATCTACAAAGCAGTTGCGCGCCTGTCGACTTGAGAAGACCCAGATACAGACGCTGTCTGCACTGTGATAGATGGCCTTACATTCATCGTCGATATCACACAATTCAGGGGGTATCTGAACCGGTATACAGAACATGTCACTCCCACTCTATGGTTGCGGGTGGCTTGCTTGACACATCGTAAACCACACGAGAAATCTCGGCGATTTCGTTAATGATCCGATTGGCAACACGTTCGATAAAGTCGTAAGGCAAGCGTGCGCTGCGCGCTGTCATAAAATCTATGGTTTCAACGGCCCGCAGCGCAATCACATGCTCATAGCGTCGTGCATCGCCGACTACGCCGACAGACTTAACCGGCAGGTAGACAGCAAAGGCCTGGGAAACAGCGTCATACAAACTGGCCTCACGCAATTCTTCAATAAAAATAGCATCCGCCCGTCGCAGCACATCAGCGTACTGCGGCTTCACCTCACCCAGAATCCGAACGCCCAAGCCTGGCCCCGGGAACGGATGCCGGAAGACCAGAGATTTCGGTAATCCGAGCACCAGTCCGATTTGTCTGACTTCGTCTTTAAACAGTTCACGTAATGGTTCAACCAGACCTAACGCCATACGCTCGGGTAACCCACCGACATTGTGGTGAGATTTAATTACGTGTGCGTTGCCATGTTTTGAAGCTGCTGACTCGATCACATCCGGATAGATTGTCCCCTGTGCGAGCCACTTCACAGCGGGCAGCGCTTTGGCTTCGCGCTCAAAAACATCGATAAAGGTGTTACCAATAGCTTTGCGTTTGTCTTCGGGATCTTCCAGACCAGCAAGCTTGGCGTAAAATTCCTGGGTTGCATCAACGGTTTTGATTTTCAGCGGCAGTGCATTACCTATACCACTCTCTTTACCAAATGCCTTTTCCACTTCATCACGCTCATCCAGGCGCAACAAACCATTATCAACAAACACGCAGGTTAATTGATCGCCGATGGCGCGCGCCAGCAAGGCAGCAACTACACTGGAATCTACGCCACCGGAAAGGCCAAGGACAACTTCATCATCACCGACCTGCTGGCGCACCTGAGCTATGGCATCTTCAATGATGTTCTCCGCAGTCCAGTCGCCTTTACAACCACAGATCTCCAGCGCAAAAACGGACAGCAGAGCATTACCGTTAGCGGTGTGGGTTACCTCGGGGTGGAACTGCACACCGTAAATATGCCGTTCGCTGTCTTCCATGGCTGCAATGGGGGCACTGGATGTGCTTGCGGTCACAACAAAGCCCGGCGGTACCTCAATGACTTTATCACCGTGACTCATCCACACATCCGCGCCACTCATCTGTGTCGCGCCTAACGCGCCCACCAGAGCGCTTGGCCGTTCAGCGGTAATCTTGGCATGGCCAAACTCGCGCTTGGCTGAAGCCTGCACACGTCCGCCAAGCTGTTCCGCCAGAGTCTGCATGCCATAACAGATCCCCAGCACAGGTACTCCCAGGTCAAGGATAGCTTCGGCCAGCCGTGGTGTTTCGCCAACGGTGACGGTTTCCGGGCCACCAGACAGAATGACGCCTTGGGGCGCGAACTCCTGCAGAAACGCTTCGTCCACGTCGTAACTGTAAATTTCACAATACACGCCGCACTCGCGGATCCGCCGGGCAATCAGTTGTGTGTATTGCGAACCAAAATCGACTATCAGCAGGCGCTGATCATGAATGTTGTGCACGTCTTGTTAACTTCTCGGGTAGTTGGGCGCTTCTTTGGTGATCGCAACATCGTGCACATGAGATTCAGCCATGCTGGCACCGCTGATGCGCACAAATTCCGGCGTCGTCCGCATGGTCTCTATGTCTTTACTGCCGGTGTAACCCATGGCAGCACGAACACCGCCCATCAACTGATGCACGATAGGTCCTACCGGACCGCGGTAAGCCACGCGTCCTTCAACACCTTCCGGCACCAGCTTGCGGCCATCACCCTCGACTTCCTGGAAGTAGCGATCACTGGACCCATTGCTTTGTGACATTGCGCCCAGAGAGCCCATGCCACGATAAGATTTGTAGGTACGACCCTGATACAGCTCCACTTCACCCGGCGCTTCATCCGTGCCTGCCAGCAGACTACCGACCATCACACCACTGGCGCCGGCAACCAGGGCCTTGGCTATGTCGCCGGAATAGCGAATACCACCGTCAGCAATTATCGGCACGCCTTCCACATCAGCAGCACGGGCCGCTTCTGCCACTGCAGTAATTTGTGGTACGCCAATACCTGAGACTATTCTGGTGGTACAGATGGATCCCGGACCAATGCCCACTTTAACCGCATCAACTCCAGCATCGATCAACGCTTTGGCACCGTCATAGGTCGCCACGTTGCCGCCGATCACCTGTAAATCAGGATAAGTCTGTTTGATCCAGGCGATTCGATCCAGCACGCCTTTAGAGTGACCGTGGGCCGTATCGACAACAACAATATCCACACCCGCCTCGACCAGCGCCGCAACACGTTCATCAGTTTCTCCGCTGGTGCCCACACTGGCGCCGACGCGCAAGGCGCCAAGACTATCTTTACAGGCCATGGGATAGGCCTGGGCTTTGGCGATGTCTTTTACCGTGACCATGCCGGTTAACTCAAAGGCTTCATTAACCAACAGCACTTTTTCGATACGGTGATCGTGCAGCAGTTTGGTGATTTCAGCAAAACTGGTGCCTTCCAGCGCGGTAATCAGACGCTCTTTGGGTGTCATCACATCTACGACGTGAGCGTTCTGACGATTCTCAAAGCGTAAATCACGGCTGGTTACAATTCCCAGCAACTGATTGCCTCTAACCACCGGCACCCCGGAAATTCCGTTTTCCAGCGTTGTTTGATACAGCGTCTGGATGGTGGCATCCGGATCGATGGTGATGGGGTCACGTATGATCCCCGACTCAAATTTCTTGACCGCCCGTACTTCACGCGCCTGAGCTTCCACCGTCAAATTCTTATGCACGATACCGATACCGCCCTCCTGGGCGATAGCAATGGCAAGACGCGCTTCAGTCACCGTATCCATTGCTGAGGACAGCAAAGGAATATTCAAAGTGATATCGCGCGTCAAACGCGTCTGCAGAGAAACCTCTGAGGGTAGAACTTGAGAGTAGGCAGGCAGGAGCAGGACGTCGTCGAAAGTGAGTGCGTCGTTTGCGATACGCAGCATTTAGGACTCCGCAAAAGCGGCATTCTATCGACCTGATTGCCGGAAGTAAAATTAACCCTGCTTTGCAGGGCAAATTTATGCGGCATAATGGCGCTGAACTGTAGCACCGTATTATTTCCCCCATGCCAACCGCCCAAGACAACCCGGTCCTGACCGTTACCCAACTGAATCGCCAGGCGCGCCTGACCCTGGAGCAGCGTTTTGATCAGGTCTGGGTGATGGGCGAAATGTCTAACTTTGCGCGACCCCGCTCCGGCCACTGGTATTTTTCTCTGAAGGATGAGAATGCTCAGGTCCGGTGTGCGATGTTTGCCAATCGCAACAGATCGGTGGCCCTGCAGCCTGGCGATGGACAATTGGTCATCGCCCGGGGCCGGGTCAGCCTGTATGAAGGCCGGGGCGACTTTCAGGTGATTGTTGATTCCCTGGAAGCCGCCGGTGAAGGCGCCCTGCGACAGGCATTTGATCAGCTGAAATTAAAGCTGGCGGCAGAGGGGCTGTTCGATGCCCAGCTCAAGCAACCGTTACCTGCCATTCCGCAACATGTCGCTGTCATCACTTCACCTACAGGCGCCGCCATACGGGATGTTATTGCGGTGTGGCAGAGACGTTTTCCAGGTCTGCGTGTGACGCTCATTCCCAGCTCGGTGCAGGGACCCGCAGCAGAAGCTGAACTACTGGCGGCGTTTGAAAAGCTGCCGATGCTGGCACCCGATATAGTGTTGCTTACCCGCGGTGGCGGCAGCCTGGAAGATTTATGGTCATTTAACCTGGAGTCTGTTGCCCGGGCCTGTGCAGCCTGTCCGTTCCCGACCGTCTCAGCTGTCGGGCATGAAATCGACGTGAGTATCTGTGATTTTGTTGCAGACGTACGGGCACCTACCCCGTCAGCAGCTGCCGAATTAATTGCCCCTGACGCAGCCGCCATGCAGCTGACACTGCAGCAGCAACTGCGCAACCTGACCAGGGTATGGCAACGCGATCTGCACAGCCATCAGCAGCAGATAAAACATCTACAGCGACGCCTGCCGAATCCTGAGCAGATCATCACCCGATTCGGCCAGCGCATCGACGACGCCAGTCTGCGGCTGGAGGCCGCTTTTGAACGCAAGCTTAATTTTTTACGCCTGCAGGTCACCAGTCAGCAAAAACAGCTGCAGGCCCTGGGGCCCACCGAACAGTTACTCAGTGCAAAGCGTAATCTCGCCTCGCTCCAGACCCGCCTGGCTTACACGATGCGCCAACAACTCGCTACCCGGACAAACCGCATAGCTGGCATCAGTCGTATGTTGCACGGTGTCAGCCCGTTGCCTACCATCAACCGCGGCTTTGCGCTGGTCGAAAACAATTCGGGTAACGTTGTTGCCTCGATCGAACAGCTTGATGAGGGTGACATCACTACAACCTATCTACAGGATGGGGCCTTCGTGGCCAGAGTTGAAAGCCGTCAGCCCGGCGTAACCCTTACTGACAGGAGAAACAAGTGATCAAACTGGTTGGAGCAATTTTATTATCTGGCCTCTATATCATTGCGGCTCACGCCGATGACACAATTGCGCAACCCAGCCCTGCAACCACCAGCGTGCCCGGTGGGGTTTATGTCTGGACGCCACCGGCAAACGCTACAGACATCACTTTCCAGGGCAGCACGGTGATGCGTTACGGACAACAGGTACTGGTTGGCTTGCCTATAAGCGCGAAGCCAGGGACAGCAACGCTTCGCTACGTGGCAGATGGGCAACCCCAGCGGCATTCGTTTGTCATCGAAGACAAAACCTACACCGAACAAAGGCTGACGATTGAAAACAAGGCCATGGTCACACCACCACCGGAAACCCTGTCGCGTATACGCGCGGAGTCCGTTCGACAGAAAGCTTTATACAATACGTTTGCGCAAAGCGCGGATTTAAGTGATGGTTTTCAACTACCGCTGGAAGGCATTACCACGAGTTTGTTTGGACATCGTCGATTTTTTAACGACCAACCACGCAGTCCGCATAGCGGCCTGGATATCGCAGCTGATACCGGCACACCGGTCAGCGCTGCAGCCAGCGCCACGGTCACGCTGGCTGATGACCTTTACTTCAACGGCAAAACCTTATTCCTGGACCACGGACAGGGGTTAATCACCATGTACTGCCACTTATCAGAACTTCTGGTCGAAGAAGGTGATCAGGTTACCCAGGGTGAGGTGATTGGTCTGGTTGGGGCAACCGGACGCGTCACCGGGCCGCACCTGCACTGGTCTGTGAGTCTGAATGGATATCGCGTAGACCCTGAGACTTTTCTCGCCACCATCAATCGCTTGCGGGAACTGCCTTAGCGTTTTTTGCGATGCTTGATGATGCGCTCGCGGCGCTCTTTCTGCCGCGGGGTGAGAACATTCTTTTTACCGGCATAAGGATTATCTGATTCGCGCAACTGCAGACGAATCGGATTGCCAACAAGATTTAGCGCTTCACGGAAGCCATTTTCCAGGAAGCGTTTATAACTTGTGGGTAAGGAATCCAACTGATTGCCATGAATCACAACCGTCGGCGGATGATTGCGCCCACGAGTCGCTACTTTAATCTTTATCTGGCGGCCACGGACCGAAGGTGCCGGATGCGCTGCCACCATGTTACGTACCAGACGGGTCAACAAAGACGTCGACACATCGAACTCACCAGCGGCATAAACTGTATCAATCATCTTAAACAGCAGACCCACACCGGTACCATGCAGAGCAGAAATGCGCTGCAGCGGCACCCAGGGCACAAATGCCAGACGACGGTCTACAGAATACTTAACGCGATCGCGCTGATCTTCATCCAGACCGTCCCACTTATTCACCGCAACCAGCAGGGCAGCACCAGCTTCCAGTGCATATTGCAGAACATGCAGATCCTGCTCGACAACACCTTCTGTTGCATCAACAACCAGGATAACAACCTGCGCACGCTCCATGGCCTGCAGGGCTTTGACCACGGAAAACTTCTCGGTGATTTCGTCAACCCTGCCTTTACGACGCACACCAGCCGTATCGATCAACACATAATCTGTGTCGTTGCGTTTGAAAGGGATATCAATAGCATCTTTAGTTGTACCAGGCATATCAAATACAACCTGACGCTCCTCCCCTAACATGCGATTGATCAGCGTGGATTTGCCAACGTTGGGACGTCCGACAACAGCTACGTGTATCCCCTTGTTAGTAACCGATTCTGCTTCACGATCAAATGCGCCGATGTCTGTGAGCGTAGCAAGCAGGGTTTCCGTCAGTGTCCGTAAACCACGGCTGTGACTGGCTGAAATCAGCAGCGGGTCACCAAAGCCGAATTGTGCCACTTCCACGAGCGCCTGGTCTTCGCCGATACCATCAATTTTATTAACCACGGGAATGAAATTGACAGATTCACGGCGCAGATAAGCAACGACGTCCTGATCCGCCGACGTGATTCCATCACGTCCATCCAGGAGAAGCACAACAAGATCCGCTTCAGCAACGGCAAGTTGAGTCTGTTGGGTAAGAGATTCAGAGAGAACATCATCACCGAACAGACCACCGGTATCGATCAGAGTAATCGTCTGACCGTCAATCTCACAACGGCCGTAACGTCGGTCTCGAGTTAAGCCCGGAACATCAGCAACCAGTGCATCCCGGCTTTTGGTGAGCTTGTTGAATAATGTGGACTTGCCAACATTCGGGCGGCCCACCAGTGCGATGGTGGGAATCATGGCTTACTTCAACTCGATGTCTAGGGCATGCAGGCTGCCGGAATTACCCAGCACGTAGAGTGTGCTTTCGCCCAGTACTAATTCGCTGCGGATGCCGTCACCATCTAGTTTACGCCGCCCGAGATGGCGCCCGTCGCGTTGCGCAATGACATGCAGATAACCGTCACTGTCTCCAAACACAACATAGTTCGAAAATGCCAGTGGCGCACTCAAGCCACGCAGCTTGAAATCTTCGTTAATCCAGACCTGTTCACCCGTCTGCTGATCATAGGCAGATACAATATCCTCATCGTCCACAACATAGATCTGTCCATAACCTTCGCTGAGGTTATGGAATGTTGAGACTTCCAGTTCCCACAGGGCTCGTCCATCACGACGCGACAGAGCTTTCACGCGACCCTGAAACGCACCAACATAAACCGCAGGTCCATTGATCAGGGGTGTGGTATCCACATCAACCATACGTTCAAGTTCGGAACGGCCCTCGGGTAGCATGACACGATGCTCCCAGATGGGTTCGCCGTTTTCTACCCGCAGAGCAATAATTTTCCCATTAGCAAAACCCGCATAAACAATATCTTCAGCAATCACCGGCGTACTGGTGCCACGTAAGGTCAGAATGGGCAGTTGATTATCAAAGGTCCATTGGATTTCACCGGTATCGCCGTCCATGGCAACCAGACGCCCATCAATGGTTTGAGCGAACACCAGGCCGTCATCTGCTACGGCCGGCGCAATCACCTCGCTGGCCAGATCAGCACGCCATAGCTCACTGCCGTCTGCTACATCCAGAGCAATGACAAAACCTGCCGTTGTACCCAGGAAGACTTTTCCGTCACCAGACCCCACCCCACCAGAGACGAAGCTGGGATCGCGCCGGTCAATGAAATTCAAAGCGGAAAACATACCGCCACCTACGTCACCCACTTCCGTTTCCCATAGGCGTTTACCGGTGAAGCGATCATTAGCCTGCACGTGGCCGTAGCCATCCGCAGCAATAATTCGATCCGCCACTATCGCGGGAGGTAACTTGAGATACTTTTTACCCAGGCCATCGCCTACCGATTTTTTCCAGAGTCGATCCAGTTTAATTTCTGCATCAAACTTGACCAGCTTTGCAGGTTCAGCCGGATCTACTTCTTTGTCGTCTACCCAGGGCAACCAGCTGAACCAGGAACAACCGCTCAACAACAAGGTTGCTGCGAATAACAAAGTCCAGCGATAAAACATTTTAGTCATTCTCATCCGCCGCTGACGACGCTGCTGATTCAGCAGTTTCTGCCTGTTCCTCCACTTCTGCAGCTGGAGCGGCCAGTGTGGTTTGAGCATCCTGCAGCGCAGCTTCGAGCGTATCGGTGAATTCAACATATTCACCCTCAAACGGCGTAACATTTTTATGCTTCATAGCAAGAATCGGGCGCTGCTCACCGGGTGCCAGCGCATCTAACGCCGCGCTGTAGGCCAGATAAGCTTTTTCAAGTTCACCGCGAGAGACAAAAATGTCGCCTTTTGCTTCCAACGCCCACGAACTGTAACCCGAGTTTCCAATGGCATCCAAGGTGGCCAGGGCTTCGTCTGTTCTATCAAGACCACGCTGCGCTTTGGCCAATCTGATTTTTGCGAGATCTCGCAGCAGCACTGAGTCAGCTTCGTCCACTGCCGTTGTCAGAAGCGCCTCGGCCGCCATCAGATCACCCTCTGCAACAGCGCTTTGCGCACGGTCCAACAGAACAAATACGTGATACGCGCTGCCCGCAAAGTTTTCCAGGATAGCGTTGCCGGCAGCTTCTTTATCGCTTCCTTGTGCAGCCTGATAAGTGGCATAGGCCTTGGCGCCTTCATAAGCCTGGGTCTGCTTGTGACTGTCGTACCAGCGCCAGCCGACGATGGCTAGCACAGACAAAACCACTGCAACTATGACGGTGACACCATACTCACTCCACCAGGAGCGCAGCTTGGCAATTTGTTCTTCTTCTTCTAGGTATTCCGACACCAATAACCCCTTGTTCTTCTAATCTTCATTAATGTCCTGGCTCGAGCTGGTCCCGACCAGGTGACTCACTACAGCATCTTTCGGTAACGTGATCTGTTGCCCGTCTGTTAAATTTTTCAGCGTCAATTGATCTGCGGCTACTTCATCAGGTCCCATCAATATCGCCCAGGTTGCGTTCGCCGCATCAGCACGCTTGAGCTGTTTTTTGAAGTTTCCGCCGCCCATATTGACCCGGACTTTCAACCCCTGATGATCACTGCCCGGCACTTGCTCACGCAGCCATTGGCCCAGCTTCTGGGCATGGGCTGCAAATTGCGGCGCAGAGTAACAAACATAGACGTCTACTGCAGGATTCATCGCACTCTGGTTGATCACCTCGTGCAACAACAGCACGCGATCCAAACCCATGGCAAACCCGGCTGCCGGCGTCGGTCGACCGCCGAGTTGTTCGACCAGCGTATTGTAACGTCCACCCGCGCAGATTGTTCCCTGCGCACCCAGATCATCGGTTACCCATTCAAAAACTGTATCGGTGTAGTAGTCCAGGCCTCGAACCAGATTGGGTTTACGTACATAGTTGATATCCAGCGCCGTCAAAAGTTCCAGCAGCTCATCGAAGTGGGCCTGACTGGCGCTATCCACAAACATAGACAGATCAGGTGCCTGCGCCAATATCGCCTGGGTCTGCTCATTCTTACTGTCCAGGATGCGCATCGGGTTAGTCAGCAGACGACGCTGACTGTCTTCATCCAATTGCGCCGCTTTGGGGGTTAAGTAATCAACCAGCGCTTTTTTATACGCCTGCCTCGCCGCGCCGGAACCCAGCGTGTTAATTTCAAGCCGCACGTGTTTATCCAACCCCAGCTGACGCCAGAAGCTGGCACCCAGACTGATGAGTTCCGCATCTATATCGGGTCCGGCAAAACCAAACGCCTCTGCACCAATCTGATAAAACTGACGGTAACGCCCTTTCTGCGGCTTCTCGTAACGAAACATGGGGCCGCTGTAGAAAACCTTCTGAGTTTGATTGTAAAGCAGGCCATTCTCCTGCAGTGCACGAACGCAGCTGGCTGTGCCTTCCGGCCGCAAACTTAAAGAATCACCATCTCTATCAGCGAGGGTATACATTTCTTTTTCGACAATGTCCGTGGCCTCGCCTACCCCACGTGCAAACAACTCGGTAAATTCGAGTAGCGGCAGATGAATTTCTTCGTACGTAAACTGGCGCAGAATATTGTGTACGGTGCTTTCAATCAGCTGCCACCGTTTAGCCTCCGCGGGCAGCACATCACGCATGCCTCGAACTGCTTGAACCATATCGAAGAGCTCTCCCGGACTACTGGCCTAAAACAAGAGACGCAACGTTGTTGCGCGTGTGCGGACCCAGAGCCACAGGCTCGGCGTTGTACTTAAGCATCGCACCGGGCGCGTATCCCAACAACACCCTGAAGGGTGCTGCACCAACAAACGCTAGCTGCGTGCCTGGGCGACCAAGATTACCGTAGAGCAAATTGCCCTCCGGGTCTTTGATTTCCACCCAACACTCTTCGGTAAACTCGATGCTGAGCCGATCGGCGCCAGTGGGCGTCAGGCGACGCACACCTGGAGGCGTCATACTCTGCACCTGTTCCTGAACAACCACTGCGGGTTCTTGGGCCGGTTGGGATACGTCTGGCTGAAGTTCCAGATCAGCCGTTTGTGCAATGTCTACAACCGCATCTGGCAACGTCTGCGCCTCAGCCACGGCTGGTTGTTCCTGGGTTAAAGCACTCTGCATAGGTTCGGGCGTTATCGTGCGGGTTGTCCTGTTTGTCATCTGCGACGTCGCATTTGGTTCACCCGCCTGCTCTGGAGTGGGAGCCGTCGGCGGAGATTGATTGTTGTCTATCTCAGCAGGTGTGTCCCCTGAGAAAAACCAGATCATCAGGATAATCAGCAGCAGCAACACACTGCCAACAGCCATCAACCTGGCAGGTGTTACGCCAGGCGGCAGACGCACTGGAATAACCCAATTGGAACCACGATTAGTGTTGCGCTGGCTGGCAGCGGCGTCAGCGACTGACGCCGCCAGCTCGGGGTCATCTACACTGCCACCAAAGGCTGCAACCAATGGCCCTGGGTCCAGTTGCAACAGTCTGGCGTAAGCACGTATGTAGCCGCGGGTGAAGACATCAGCGGGCAGATGATCGCGATCATCCTGCTCGATGGCATCTATCGTTGCAACGGGCAGGTTTAATGCATCAGAGACTTCCCGCTGGGTAATCTCTGCGGCTTCACGTGCCTGCGCAAGCGCTACACCGGGGCCATCCGGGGCGGCGTTACCGGTTACAGGTCCGTCTGACACTGATCTGCCTGGTCGGGGAAAAGATTGCTTAACGCCATTTGATTACTTGCCATCAGGTCAACGTCACCGGTTGCTTTAGCGACTTTGATGCCCAGACACAGACTGCGCGCATTCTGTCGAGCGACAGCTTTGAAATCTGACAGTAACGACGCTGCCTGTGCAAAATCTGAATCGTTGAATGCCAGTTCCGCTAACTCCAAAATCGCAGTAGCCTGGCGAAAGTTAAGGTCCAGCGCGCGCGTTAAGGCGGCCTTGGCGTCTTCATCACGGCCAGCGCGCAAGTAGGCTAAACCCAGGTTTTCAAAGGCCTGAGAGCGGGCTCTATAGCCAGTATCCTGTACCAGTTGAGCCAGCGGCACTACCGCGTCATCAAAGCGACCTCTGGAATATAAGAACGTGCCATAGTTATTCAGTGCCTGGGCATTGTCGGGGTCTAACCGTAACGCTCTTTTGTAGTGAAATTCTGCCAGTTCATACTCACCTTGCGCATGCAGCAGCACTGCATTGAGCACATGCGCTTCAACGTTACGTGGATCTATCTCCAGCGCAGAATCAAGCGCGGTACGCGCGCGATTAAAATCCCGTTGCTCGATGTAACCACGGGCCAGGTCTAATTGTGCTTTGGTGCGCTCGGATTCAGTCCCCGGCGCGGGTAAGCCACCGGTGGTTTCCGTGACACAGCCGGATAAAGTGAAGACTATGCTTATCAGTACCGTGCAGGCCGCCGTTCTGATTGTTACTGGACACATGTCATTTCGACCCCATCTGCATGATTCTATGTTGTTTGCGCAACGAAGTTGTTGCCATCAGCTTTCACTCTCGCCAGATATCGAGACTGACGTTTGGTCCGATCCTTGACCTGTCCAACCAGTTGCCCACAGGCCGCATCAATATCATCACCCCGAGTGGTGCGCAGCATGGTCGCATAGCCTTGTTTCATCAAGTAGGTCTGAAAATTATAAATATCGCGCTGATAAGGCTTCTGATAACCCGAGGCTGGAAAGGGATTGAACGGAATCAGGTTAATTTTACAGCGCACATCTTTGAGCAGTTCGGCCAGCGCAACCGCATGTTCATGCTGATCGTTGACACCGCGCATCAGAGTGTACTCAATCACAAGCTTGCGCTTTTCACCCAACTGATCAACGTAGTGCCGACAGGCATCAAGCAACTCTTTGATCGGATATTTCCGGTTAATCGGCACAAGCTGGTCGCGCAACTCGTCTATAGGTGCGTGCAAGGATACCGCTAAAGAGACATCACTGACCTTAGCCAGCTCATAAATGGCTGGCACTACCCCAGCCGTACTGAGGGTCACCCGTCGCTTGGATAATCCAAAGGCGAGATCATCCATGAAGATATTTGTTGCACTGACTGCTGCATCAAAATTCAACAGAGGCTCACCCATCCCCATCAGCACAATGTTGCTGACGCGCTGATTTTTTTCGGCCAGAACCTGGTTGGCGAGCACCATTTGTCCAACCACAAACGCCGCGGGCAAATTGCCGCTGAAGCCCTGCTTTCCGGTTGAGCAGAAACTGCAATCCAACATGCATCCGACCTGAGAAGAGACACACAGGGTATTGCGGTTCTTTTCCGGTATGAGCACGGTCTCAACCAGGTTACCGTTACCTACATCCAACAACCATTTACAGGTGCCATCTTTGGACACCTGGAAACTTTCTACGCGTGGCAGCTCAAAGCAGGTGTTCTCTGCCAACCATTGACGCATCGACAGCGACAGATCGGTCATTGCCGCAAAATCCGTGCGGCCCTGATGATAAACCCATTTCATCAATTGGCGGCCGCGGAAAGCCTGTTGGCCCTGTTCGACGAACAAGGCTTCCAAGGCACTGCGGTCTAAACCATAGAGATTGATCATCAGGTTTCCTGAATCAGTTTTAAGACCCTTATAGCAGATTAACTGCGCGGGTGAATCTCATCGTCAGAAAAGAAAAAAGCGATTTCCCGGGCTGCAGATTCCGGCGCGTCTGAGCCGTGTACCGAGTTGGCATCTATAGATTCTGCAAAGTCTGCGCGAATCGTGCCGGGCGCAGCCTCAGACGGATTGGTTGCTCCCATCAGACGACGGTTAGTCGCAATGGCATCTTCTCCTTCCAGCACCTGAACCACTACCGGACCCGAACGCATGTAACTGCACAAGTCAGCAAAGAAAGGTTTGCCTTCGTGTTCGCCATAAAACCCCTGAGCCTGAGCATCGCTGAGGGTGAGCATTTTGCAGGCGATAATGCGCAAACCACCTTTTTCGAACCGCGAATAAATTTCACCAATCAAATTCCGCGCAACGGCGTCAGGTTTGACGATGGAAAGGGTGCGCTCTACTGCCATATTATTCTCCGAACATTTGTTGTACATCTGTTTTTACAGATGCTTGTATGTATCTAATTTATAAGGAAATACCCGCTGAGCCAGGGTACTAGCGGGCGCGTATTATACGCATGCTTAAGGCCCGCGCAATCGTCCAACTACCGAGCTGATGCGGCTGCCGGCGTGATCTAGATCCTCAGCCTGGCTGAAACGTCCAAAGCTGATGCGTAAAGAGGCTTGCGCGATGTCTCTTGGCACACCAATGGCGGACAGCACAAAAGAAGGTTCCACCGACGTAGAGTTACACGCTGAACCTGTGGACAATGCCAGATCGTCCAGGGCCAGCAGCAGCGTTTCGCCATCTATGCCAGCAAATCCAACGTTCACAATGGACGGGAGGTTGAACTCTGGATGGCTGTGGATAAAAGTGTCCGGAATCTGTCTCAGATGAGTGAGCAGGCGTTCGCGCAGGCTCGATAATCGCGCCTGCTCTTTCACCATGTCTGCCTGCATCAAACGGCTGGCCTCGGCCAACCCGATAATCTGATGGGTTGGCAACGTACCTGAGCGCATGCCCATCTCGTGACCGCCGCCATGAATGAGCGGATGTAACTTAATCGGCGGTTCACGTCGCACATACAACACGCCGATACCTTTGGGACCATACAATTTATGCGCGGAAATCGACAACATATCGATACACATCGCCTGCACATCGATGGCCAGCTTGCCAAAACTCTGCGCAGCGTCAACGTGAAACAGAACGCCACGGGAGCGGCACAATGCACCCATGCCCTGGATATCACAAATAGTGCCCAGCTCGTTGTTCACATGCATGATAGACACTATCAGCGTGTCTTCACGCAGCGCCTCAGCGACCTGTGCCACTTCAACCCGGCCATGAGCATCCGGTTGCAGATACGTCACTTCAAAACCCTGAGCATGCAGGTCTGCACAGGTATCCAGCACCGCTTTGTGCTCTACTGCACTGGTGACAATATGTTTTCGACTGGCATTGAACGCCACTCCTTTGAGTGCCAGGTTGTCCGACTCCGTCGCGCCTGAGGTCCAGACAATCTCCCTCGGATCAGCGTTGAGCGCGAGAGCAATCTCCGCCCTCGCCGCTTCTACCGCTTCTTCAGCGCGCCAGCCATAAACGTGGGAACGGGAGGCTGGATTACCAAAATTTCCCTGCACCAGCATCGCCTGTCCCATCTTTTCCGCAACCCGGGGATCGATAGGTGTTGTGGCGGCGTAATCGAGATATATGGGGTCTTGCATAAAGGTTCTATAAACGTGGCGAGCGGATATTGGTAATGGTGCTGTAGTGTCAGATCTTGCGGTGCGCTTGCCTTAACCCAGCAAAGTAGCAGCGATGCGCATCGATTCATCTGCAGGCGTCTTGGTTTCGGAGGGCTTCAAACCCGACCGATTCTGGGCCTGCATCTGTCGTTCCACGAGGCTTGCAAGGCTGATGCTCTGCAGAAAAGAATCGATTTCAGCTGATAGATCCACCCATAAATTATGGGTTAAACACATGTGCCCTTCGTGACAATCAGCGCGACCGCCGCAGCGGGTGGCATCCACACCTTCTCCTACCGCTGAAACAACCGAGGAGATACTTATCTCTTCAGGGGCAGCACCCAGCTGATAACCGCCCCCGGGCCCACGGTGGCTGGTTAACAGACCCAGGCGTTTCAAGCGGCCGACAATCTGCTCAAGGTACGAAGAAGAAATATCCTGCCGGCCGGCAATATCCTGCACGCTGACAGGCCCTTGCTCGCAATGCAGCGCTATGTCCAGCATAGCGGTTACAGCGTAGCGGCCTTTAGTGGTTAAACGCATTGGAGAATCTGACGCATATTGTGTGTCACAGCAGTAGCAATCAACGGCGCGAGTATGCAATACCCGACTAAAATACTCCACTATTGCTGTGGTGGCTCGGAGCCTGAATTATCGACCCTTGAGAAGTGCTTAATGATGCCGCGCATAATCTGCACCTCGGTTTCATCCAACTGCATGCGGGAAAACATGCGACGCACCCGGGTCATGGTCTGACCTGGGTTTTCCGCCAGCAGAAAACCGCCATCCAGCAGGGTCTCTTCAAGGTGCACCAGCATGGCGTCCAATTCCGCGGAGGTGGCCATGCGCCGATCCCAGGCTGTCACGACAGGCTCGCTCTGACTGGCCTGAAACAACTCATAACAGACCACTTGTACAGCCATAGCCAGGTTCAGCGAGGAATATTCAGGCGCTGCGGGTATCTGCAGATGATAGTGACAACGGCGCAGCTCTTCATTCGTCAAACCGCTGTCCTCACGACCAAACAGAATCGCGATCTGCGCTTCATTGGCCTGCTCAACCACCTGCCTGGCTATGCCTTTAGCATCGGTCACCGGCCAGGGAATTTTGCGTAGTCGCGTACTCGTACCCACAACCCAGTGGCAGTCTGCGATGGCTGTTTCTACCGTATCGACGACGGTAGCTCCATCCAGAATATCCAGCGCGCCTGCTGCGCGCCAGTCAGCCTGAGGATCGGGATAACGTTTCGGGTTCACCACCACAAGCTGGCTCAGACCCATATTTTTCATCGCGCGGGCGGCGCCACCAATATTTCCGGGGTGGCTGGGTTCAACAAGTACAATTTTTATGTTTTCAAAGCGCGCCAACAGCAGATCCTTTTTCTACAGCCTAAAGGGGACGTGATAGGATAGCGCACCTCTCAGATCCAGGTTTATAAACTTCACCATGGAACCAATGGCCAACATTGCGTTACGCGCTGCGCGTAATGCTGCAGATTTTATTGCACAGTCTTTTGATCGTCCGGATCGACGCGAAATACGCACCAAGGCGCGGAATGATTTTGTCTCAGATGTAGACATCAACGCGGAACGGATGATCATTGAGGCCATTAATCAAACTTATCCTGACCACGCTATTTTAGCCGAGGAATCCGGCGCACCGACCAAAGACAGCGAATATACCTGGATCATCGATCCATTGGACGGCACGCTAAACTTCCTGCAGTCGATTCCACATTTCTGCGTATCTATCGCTGTAAAAAAAGGCAAACACCTGGAACATGGTGTGATTGTCGACCCGATCCGCAACGAAGAGTTTGTTGCCAGCCGTGGCAAAGGCGCTCAACTCAATGGCAAACGCATCCGCGTTAGTAACCGCGCCAAACTGGAAGACTGCGTGTTAGGCACCGGCATTCCACCGGGCAGCATGGATCGTCTGGATCACTACATGGATACGTTAAAAGAATTCACCGGCCAATGCCGTGGTATTCGACGTGCAGGTAGCGCCGCACTGGACCTGGCCTACGTTGCAGCAGGTCGTACTGACGGATTCTGGGAAATGGGCTTAAGTCAGTGGGACATTGCCGCAGGTATTGTGCTGATCCGTGAAGCCGGCGGCTTTATCGGCGATCTGGATGGCGGCGAAGACTACTGGAGCAGCGGCGATATCGTCGCCGCGAATCCCAAAGTCATGCGCGCGATGGTCTCCAGCCTGCGCACGCACAAAGCTTAAGTTCCGACGACGGGGTAACACCCTGCGTGGGCGTTACCAGCCAGCGTCACGGATAAGTACCTTCCGGGTTATCATCCTTCTCAGGCTCTGGCACAAGCAGATCCTCGCGGGTGATATTCAACGCCAGCAGGATATTCGCAGACACGTAAATCGAAGAATAGGTTCCCACCAGAACACCAATACTCAGCGCCAGCGCAAAGCCGCGAATCGCTTCACCACCAGCAAACAACAACGCCAGCAACACAAACAAAGTTGTCAACGAGGTTACTAACGTGCGCCCAAGGGTCTGGTTCAACGACTCGTTAATTACTTCTATCGGCGTGCGCTTGCGTATCTTGCGGAAATTCTCACGTATCCGGTCACTCACAACGATGGTGTCATTAAGAGAATAACCAATCACAGCAAGCAACGCCGCCAATACGGTCAGGTCAAAGGTCAGGTGGAAAATGGCAAAGATACCCAATACTGCAAAAACGTCGTGGGCCAATGCAGCTACCGCACCAAACGCAAACTGTTTGGTGAAACGAAACAGAATGTAGAGCATCACCACGATTAACGCCGCCAGTAGCGCCAGGCCACCGTCTTCAGCAAGCTCCTCACCCACTGCAGGTCCAACAAAGTTGCTTTGACGTAAGCTGACGCCGTCATGCTGAGCCTGAACAGAGGCAAAAATCCGATCGCCCAGCGTCGCCTGCTCAATTCCGCCCTGGGGCGGCATGCGAATAAGAATCTCCTGGTTTGAGCCAAAATACTGCACGGTACCGTTCTCAAAACCATTAGCCGCCAGATCGTTACGCAGTTGATCAGCGTCAACTTCCTGCTCAAAACCCAGCTCAATCAAGGTGCCGCCGGTAAAGTCGAGTCCTAACGTCAAACCATTGTAGAAAATTTCGAACAGCGAAAAAATAAGGATAAACGCCGAGATAGCTGTCGCGATCTTACGTTTGCCCATGAAATCAAAATTAGTCTGTCTCATATCTTCAGTGTCTCCAGCTTACGGCCACCGTACATCAGATTGACTATCGCCCGGGTAACCATAATGGCGGTAAACATAGAGGTCACAATGCCTACCGCAAGGGTCACCGCAAATCCGCGCACCGGACCGCTACCTATCGACAACAGAATTATTGCTACAAAAAATGTGGTGATGTTGGCATCCGTAATGGTTACCAGGGCGCGATCAAAGCCTGCCTGGATAGCTGCCTGAGGAGCCCGCTCGCGGAGTTCTTCTCTAATCCGCGAGAAGATCAACACGTTTGCATCCACAGCCATGCCGACGGTTAAAACGATACCGGCTATACCCGGGAGCGTCAGCGTTGCGCCTAAGACACTCATGATCGCAACCAGCAACATCAGGTTTGCTGTGAGCGCAACGTTTGCCGCCAATCCAAACCAGCGGTAATAAAACAACATGAATATCAGCACCAGCGCAAAACCGATGCCTACGGACTGCCAACCCCGGGTGATGTTCTCATCACCCAGTTGCGCGCCAACCGTGCGTTCTTCAACAATGTACATCGGTGCAGCCAGTGCACCGGCGCGCAGCAGCAAGGCCAGATCCTGAGCTTCCCGCAGGCTTAAGCCGGTGATGCGGAATTGGAAACCCAATGCAGACTTGATATTGGCAACACTGATGAGTTTGCGTTCTTCTTCACTGGTGAAGATTTTTACGGTTTCGCCGTCACGCTGTACTTCACGGACAATGGGCTTCTGCTCGATAAACAGAATGGCCATGTCCCGACCGACATTGTCTTTGGTGGCATCAAACATGCGATTGCCACCTTCACTGTCGAGTTCAATGCTGACCTGGGGCTGCGACGTTTCCGGGTCAAAACTCTGTTGTGCATCCTGGACGTTGTTGCCCGTCACGATATTACGGCGCAGCACATCCTGTACCCGACCCTCATACTCGTAGGTTTCCTGCTGGAAACGCGGCGTATTGGCCTGGGCGGCAAGACGAAATTCGAGGTTGGCAAACTTGTTTAAAATCTCTTTGGCACGGGCACTGTCTTGAATGCCCGGCAGATCAACGACAATGCGTTGTCGCCCAAGGCGCTGCACCTGGGGCTCTGAAACACCCAGTTCGTTAACGCGATTACGCAGGCTGGTCAGGTTCTGACTGATCGCCCGGTCTTCGAGCGCCTGAATTCTGTCCTGAGTGAGTTTGAACGTTAAACCGGCGCGGCCATCTACCTGTTCTTCACGAATCTGGTAATCCGCAAACTCCTCTAAGGCTACCAGGGCTTTGTCCCGTTCCGCTTCAGATGCAAACGCTATGCTGATATCGAGGCCATCAACCCACTCGCGATTCGGTATGTAGACCACATCAGCATCACGCAGCTTGTCCTGCATGCCCAGCGCGGCACTATCGACCACCGATTGCAGATATTCATCCATATTCACCTGCAGGAGAAAGTGCACACCACCTGAAAGGTCAAGACCCAACGACATGGCTTTACCGCCGAGGTCCTGCAGCCATTGTGGTGTGGTACTGGCACGGTTCAGCGCAACCACATAATTCTCACCGGTGGCATTCAACAGATCGCTGATCAGCGTTTTTGCTTTCAACTGATCTGCGTCGCTGGTCACGCGTATGAGACCGCCCTCTTCTGAGAGCTGCGAACCAACCGTGGCAATCTGCACTTCAGACAGCGCCGCTTCTGCACGCGACAGTGCGATCTGTATATCGTTCTGTGTAGCATCCGCATCCCGCGGCAGAATCTGCAAAGCAGGATCCGGCTGGAACAGATTAGGCGCTGCATAGAGCGCGCCGATGGCCAGCACAAACAAAATCAGCGCGTACTGCCAGGGACGAAACGAGTTAGGCGCCACATTCCTGCGACGCGGCACGCCCAGAAGAGTAGGACCGCCGAGGCCAGATTCAGCCATAATGTTTGCTCTTGCCGTTAGAGGTTATCAGTCTTTATCAAGGTTCTTGATGGTCCCTTTGGGCAGCGTTGCACCAATGGCCGTCTTCTGTATGCGCATTTCAACGTTCTCGCTGACCTGCACCTTGATAAAGTCGTCTTCCACTTTATTAATCTGCCCAACAATGCCGCCTGCAGTGACGATCTCGTCGCCTTTGGACAGGTTGGTTACCAGATTCTGATGTTCTTTACGGCGTTTGTTCTGCGGACGAATCAGCAGAAAGTAGAAAATCAGCACAAATCCGCCGAGGAATAAAAGGTTGATCAATCCTGCGTCACCGCCAGCGCCGCCGGCAGGTGCCGCGTATGCGGTCGTTTCAAACAAGCTCATGTAGATTTCCAGTCGTTTAGGAGGGTTTTGACGAGGGTGCGAAATGTACCCGTTTCGATTGAGGCGCGCAATCCAGCCATCAGATTATGGTAGAAATGCAGATTATGCTGTGTCATCAGCATGGCGCCAAGCATTTCGCCGCAGCGGTCCAGATGGTGCAGATAGGCGCGGGAAAAATTGCTGCAGGTATAACAGTCACAGGCAACATCCAGAGGTATGTCTGCATCGCGGTGTTGAGCGTTACGAATTTTGACCATACCGGTGGAGGTAAACAGATACCCGTTACGGCCGTTGCGGGTTGGCATGACGCAGTCAAACATGTCGACACCGAGGGCAACACCCCGCACCAGGTCCTCAGGGGTGCCGACCCCCATCAGATAGCGCGGCTTATCTGCAGGCATGTGGGGCAGCAGCCCCTCCATCACGCTGTACATATCACTCTTCTCTTCACCCACAGACAGGCCGCCAATGGCGTAGCCTTCAAAACCCACATCACACAGTGCGGCCAGGCTTTCGCGACGCAGATCGTCGAACATCCCACCCTGGACTATGCCAAATTGAGCTGCACCCGGATTCAGCGCACCTTCTCGACTCTGCTGAAAAGCGTCGCGGCTGCGAACAGCCCAGCGCATGGACAACTGCATGGAGACTTCGGCCTGCTTGTGGGTAGCCGGGTGTGCGGTACATTCATCCAACACCATGACAACATCAGAGGCGAGATGACGCTGCACCTGGGTGGCGGACTCTGGCGTCAGTTTCACTTTGTCGCCGTTGATCGGTGAACGAAAAATCACACCTTCTTCATTCATTTTGCGCAAATCACCAAGGCTGAACACCTGAAACCCGCCGGAGTCAGTCAGAATCGGTCCTGACCACTGCATGAATTTGTGCAGGCCGCCAAAACTGGCAATGCGCTCAGATCCAGGGCGCAACATCAGGTGGAAGGTATTGCCAAGAAGAATCTGTGTCCCCACCTCTTGCAGGCTCGCCGGCGTCATCGCCTTGACGGTACCGTAGGTACCACAGGGCATGAATACCGGCGTCTGCACGGTGCCATGAGGCAGCGTCAACTGCCCTCTGCGGGCCGCCCCTTCTGTGGCGTAAATTTCAAACATCGCTATTTTCCTGCCTGAGCAAAAACATGGCATCTCCGTAACTGAAAAACTGGTACCGCTGCTGCACCGCCTCGCGATAAGCGTGCATGACCTTGTCGTACCCGGCAAATGCCGTTACCAGCATCATCAAGGTTGATGCCGGAAGATGGAAATTGGTGATCAGCGCATCAACCACTTTAAATTCAAAGCCCGGCGTGACAAATAATTGTGTATCACCCTCACCGGCTGACACCTCGCCGCCGTTGGCCAATGCTGAACTTTCCAGAGTGCGCACCACTGTTGTGCCTACCGCTATCACACGGCCGCCGTGTTGACGAGTGGCTTGTATCTGCTGCGCAGTCTCGTTAGAGACCTGATAGAACTCGCTGTGCATCACATGGTTAGCCAGGTCTCCGCGTACAGGCTGAAAAGTACCCGAGCCTACATGCAGGGTCACCTGCGCTATACCCACGCCCTGCAACTTCAGGGCATCTAACAATGACTCACTGAAATGCAGCCCTGCTGTGGGCGCAGCAACTGCACCTGGAATTTCACCATACACAGTCTGATATCGCTCTTCGTCGAGAGCACAGGGCTGCTGCCCGGCCTGATCGCGTTCTATATACGGTGGCAAAGGTACATGACCCTGTTGATCCATCAGGTCCAACCAGGGCAACTCGCTGGCCAACACGTAAAACTGGCCCCGACGTGATTCGCAGGTGAGTTGATGCGCGGCCACTTTCAAGTGCCTGCCAGTTTTCAACGGCTTACTGACCCGCACCTGACAGAGCGCACGGTGTGTATCAAGCAATCGTTCAAGCAGGACTTCCGCATGCCCACCGCTGTCTTTTTGCGCAAACAGTCGCGCCTTTATCACCTTGGTATTGTTGATGACCAGCAGATCGCCGGGCTGCAGGTGCTTCTGAATATCCGGAAACTGGCCGTGTTTGATGCCATCCGGCAGCAGTTGCAGCAGCCGCGCGTCGGTACGATTGGTTCTGGGGTACTGCGCAATCAGTTCAGACGGCAGTACGTAATCAAAATCACTGAGCTGATAGGTCATGTTATTGGCTTTACCGACCAACAAAGAAGCCGCGCATTGTAGGGACCGAAAATCAAAGCGCAACCCACGTGTTGATTGTTCAATCCGGTACCAGACAAGTGCAACCATGTAAGTCACAACAGTTGTATCTACCCGCACCATTGGGCAAAATGCGCAACCCCATGCCTGGGTGGCGAAATTGGTAGACGCGCCGGATTCAAAATCCGGTTCCTTCACGGGAGTGACGGTTCGAGTCCGTCTCCAGGTACCACGATCTTCGATTGTGAAACAGACAACGCCATTTCAGTCATCTTCATTGTCCATGTACAATGTCGCTCTTTTTTTGAGCGGAACTCATCATGGAAAACGTCTATATCGTCGAAGCCGTACGCAGCCCCATTGGTAAAAGAGGCAAAGGCCTCGCGGGCCTGATGCCTGCTGATCTTCTAGGTCAGGTGCAAAGTGCTGCCCTTAAACGCAGCGGCATCGCACCAGAGAAAGTTGGCCAGATCATCGGCGGCTGTGTGTCTCAGGTGGGTGAACAGTCTTTCAATATCGCACGCATTGCGTGGCTTTCGCAGGGGTTACCTGAGGAAATTGCTGCCACCACTGTCGACTCCCAATGTGGGTCGTCCCAGCAAGCCACCTCTTTAGGTGCCGCCATGGTGTCCTCCGGCATGGAAGACATCGTGATGGCCTGTGGCGTAGAGATGATGAGCCGCGTGCCGTTAGGTTCAAACATGAAAGATGGCGTGCCGATGGGCGAAAGCTATATGTCTCACTATCAGCCCACCAGCCAGTTTCAGGGTGCGGCGATGATCGCCGAGGAATACCAGATCACCCGTGGCGATACCGACGCTTTTGGTCTGCGCAGCCAGGAACGTGCGCTACGAGCACGTCAGGAGAACCGTTTCGAACGGGAAATCACCCCTATCGAAGCACCGGTTCTGAATGACAAATTTGAACCTACCGGAGAGATGCAAACCATCACTGCCGACGAAGGCATTCGGGAAACGTCTCTTGAAGCGCTGGCAGGACTTAACCCGGTACCCGGTCAGGAGATTCATACCGCAGGCTCAAGCTCACAGGTTTCAGACGGCGCCGCTGTTGTAATTCTTGCTAATCAAAAGGCTGTCGACGCACTGGGCCTGAAGCCCAGGGCTAAAATCATCGCCTCTACCCTGGTGGGTGTTGATCCGGTGACCATGTTGAAAGGACCAATTCCCGCAAGTCGTAAAGTGCTTGAACAAGCGGGCCTGTCCGTCAACGACATCGACACTTTTGAAGTGAATGAAGCATTTGCCTCGGTAGTACTGGCCTGGGAAAAAGACCTGCAGCCCGACCCTGAAAAAGTGAATCCAAATGGCGGTGCAATTGCTCTGGGACATCCTACCGGCAGTACCGGAGCACGCTTGATCACCAGCGCACTGCATGAACTGGAACGCACCGGCGGTCGCTACGGCCTGATTGCCATGTGCTGTGGCGGCGGACTGGGTACCGGCACCATTATTGAACGTATATAGACGCTTAAAAGAGCGCCTAACTTATTGATATATAGGGGAATATGATGAGTGACAATACACCTGTACTGGTTGGTATCGCACAACTGGAACAACGGATCGACAACCCCGCTGAGGCCAAAGAGCCGGTGGAATTGATGATCGACGCAGTGAAGCAAGCCGCTGAGGATGCCGGAAGTTCCGAACTTCTGAAAGCCACCTCTGTGCGTGTCATTCGCGGTATATGGCCGTATCAGAACCCGGCCAAAGCCGTCGCCGAGGCCATTGGTAATCCAGGCGCACAAACCGGCATCACCCCTTACGGTGGGAACTTTGTGCAAACGACACTGAATCAGTCCGCCCTGGACATTCAGAGTGGAGAGCACGAGGTCATCATCATAACCGGCGCCGAATGTGGCAACACCCAGGCAAAAGCTGCCCGAGCAGGTGTGAATCTCGAATGGCAGACTCTGCCCGGCACGCCGGATGTCTCCATGGGCGAAGAAGTGGAAATGCGCCACGAAGCGGAAAAAAGAGTTCGGCTGGGCAAACCCATTCAACTTTATCCGATTTTTGAGACCGCACTACGGCATGAAATGGGTTTGAGTGTACAGGAACACCTCGCGCATATTTCCAAGCTCTGGGCTGGCTTCAGTGAAGTGGCCTCGCATAATCCACACGCCTGGATACGGGACGCTAAAAGTGCTGAGGAGATTCGCACCCCTTCAGCCATCAACCGACCCGTGTCGTTCCCATACCCCAAGTTCATGAATTCCAACAACAACGTTGATCAGGGCGCAGCGCTCATCCTGTGTTCTCAAGCCAAAGCAGAAAGCCTGGGCATACCTAAAGAAAAATGGGTTTACCCCTGGGCGGGCACTGACGCTCATGATCACTATTTTGTGTCTAATCGCGACAGCCTATGTGGCTCACCAGCCATTCGTCTCGCCGGCAATCGAGCGCTGGCGTTGGCTGGCATGACGGTTGCTGATATCGATCGCGTAGATGTTTACAGCTGCTTTCCCGTCGCGGTGCAGGTTGCGGCTCGAGAACTGGGCCTGGATACCGCCAAACCTCTCACGGTAACTGGCGGGCTCACCTGGGCCGGTGGTCCACTGAACAATTACGTGATGCATTCAATAGCGACCATGGCGGAATTGTTGCGGGACGCGCCAGGCGACAAAGGTTTGATCACCGCCAACGGTGGCTATCTGACCAAACATGCGTTCGGCGTCTACTCCACCGAGCCACCAGCACAAGGGTTTCAACATAATGATCTGCAGGCCGAAGTAGATGCTCTTTATAAACGTGATGTGGCGTTTGAGCACAGTGGCCAGGCAACCATCGAAGGCTACACCGTCATGTACGGCCAGGCTGCACCAGAGCAGGCGTTTATCGCCGCACGCCTTGATGATGACCGTCGTGTCTGGGCAACCACCGACGATGCCGACGTCATGCAGGCAATGACCCAGGAAGAGTTCTGCGGACGCTCGATCAATATCAGCGGCAACCTTGCCCAATTCTAAAGGCCGCAGCGAGACCGACTCTAACGATAAGGTTGAGACGGGATATCCAGCTGGCATTGGCCGCCGGCTGGGTGCCATGTTATACGATGGCTTGCTGATCATCGCTATCTGGATGGCCACCCTCCTCGTCTGGGTGATTGCATCAGGTGGCGAAGCTGTCACCGGCTGGCTGATTCAACTGGTTCTGTTCAGTCAGTGGCTGGGTTTTTATCTGTACTTCTGGTCTCGCCAGGGGCAAACCCTGGGTATGACTGCATGGCGCATCAAGCTGGTGAAGCCGGACGGTACAGCACCGGATTTTCTGCAGCTGCTGAAACGTGCTGCTGTCGCGCCGATCTCCTTATTTTGCGTTGGCCTCGGCTACCTGTGGTTCTATGTTGGAGATCAGCAGCAGACCTGGCACGACCGGGCCAGCCAGACTCTGGTTGTGCACATACCCAAACCCTGACTCAACCTCAGGTGGCCACCGGCTTCGCAACCCGCGCCAAAAGCCACACGGCAATGGCCGCAAACACCAGATGAACCAGCCACATACCAATATAATCTGGTACATGACCTTCAGATATTGCGTTCTGATTAACCAGTAGCGCGAGAAAGTAGATCAACATCAACAGAGTACCGGGCACAATCCGTCCGAAGCGCCCCTGCCGCGGCTTGACCCTTGAGATACCTACCGCAATAAACCCGCCTATCAACGCAAACAATGGTAAACCCCAACGCCAGTGCCATTGAGCACGACTCTCGGGATCATTACCCAGTTGGCTGGTCGGCAACGCCTCAACAGCATATCGACTGGGTCGCTCGTCAACTGACGACAAGCGCTGGCGCAATTCAGAAAAGGCCATTACCCGCAGATCAGGTGACCCGGGCCGGCCTTCGTAACGGTGTCCATCTTTCAGAAGCAGAAATTGTGAACCACTGTCTGGATCAAGGTATTGAGATGCCTGTCGAGCCCAGATGTTTACCTGCACCCCACTCTCCAGGCGCTGAGACAGGAATACGTCATATAGGATCTTACGATCGTCTGACATGTCCTGACTGTAAGTGATACGGCGGCCATGATCATAAACATGGAATGTCCCTGCATTGAGGGTTTCAAATTCAGTCTGTGCCTGTTGCTGTGCGACAAAACTGCTGAGCGCGCGCTCAGACATCGGTGTCAGTACCAGGGCAAAAACGCCGACCAGGGCAACCACCGTGAACAGTGTGACACTCACCCATTGCAGTAATTTGAAGGTCGACGCGCCAGCCCCCTGCAGCACCACCATTTCCTGTTCGGCGTGTAACCGCCCGAGGGTCAGAACAATAGCAACGTACATCGAGAACGGAGCGACCTGCTGCAGAAACTCAGGCATCCGCAACCCCATGATGGTCAACACTGTCGCCCCAGTGAATTTGCCCATCGCAGCTTCCTGCAGATAGCCGATAAAGCGGCCACCCAGTGCTACCAGCAGCAGCATGACCAAAGTCACTACAAATATCGCCAGCAGCTCTCGATTGATATAACGCACCGCAACAGACATATGACCAGGTCCCGTTTTAAATTAGAATACGCCCCTGTTTAAAAACACGGCTATCCGACACATGAAATACAGCATTACCGACGGCGATTTAAATGATCTGCGCACCCCTTGCCTGGTGGTCTCATTAAGAACCGCGAAACGCGTTGCCCGAGCCCTGGGCAGCACCGCCATTTTTTCCCGGGCGAGCGAAGATTTCAAGGACAGTCTTGAGCAGAGCTTATGTGTCAATCTCGGCGCAGGTGTCTCACGTTTGCTGGTCATCGGCGGCGCCGATGAGTCTATGGACGCCGACAACTTCCGCAAACTGGCGAACTCTGCAGCCGTCAGCCTGCTTAAACTACCTGTTAAAACTGCAATTATTGCCCTGGATAGCGTCAAGGTCACTGGCGAACGCACACCCTGGAAAGCCGCTACACTCATGCACGCCATCAGCTACAACGCTTACAGATACGGGAAACACAAGTCGAAGCCTGCCACACCGCCCACCCTGACCACCGTGCGTGTGCATGTTAACGACAAAAAAGACACCAGCAGCAGCAGCGCACGTCTGGGCAATGCCCTCGATGCAGGTCTGGCATTCTCACGTGACCTGGGCAATGAGCCACCTAATATCTGCGACCCCAACTATCTGCTCAAAGAAGCACGCAAATTAGGCAAACATCCTAACGTAACCGTATCCAATCTGGACGAGAAAAAAATGGCCGCCCTGAACATGGGCGCCTTCTTATCCGTATCAAAAGGTAGTGACAAGCCTGGCCAGATGATTGTTATACGTTATAACGGCGGTCGCAAAGCTGACGCCCCCATTGCCCTGGTCGGCAAAGGCATTACCTTTGATACCGGCGGTATATCGCTGAAACCCGGCGCAGGCATGGACGAAATGAAGTTCGACATGTGTGGCGCAGCTTCCGTGCTTGGCACCACCAAGGCGGTCATTGAAGCGGGCTTGAAGATCAATCTGGTGACCATCGTTGCAGCTGCTGAAAACATGCCCAGTGGCGGTGCCACCCGACCCGGTGACATTGTCACTTCGTCTTCAGGTAAAACCATCGAAATTCTGAACACAGATGCGGAAGGTCGCCTGGTGTTGTGTGATGCCCTCACCCATGCGCAGACTTTCAAACCAAAGACCATCATCGATGTTGCAACCTTAACCGGCGCGGTGATCGTTGCGTTAGGTTCCAAAGCCAGCGCTGTTTATGCCAACGATGACAAGCTTGCCAACGATTTGCTTGCCGCCGGCCAGAACAGCGGCGACAAAGCCTGGCAGATGCCGTTATGGGAAGAATATCAATCGAGTCTTAATTCCAACTTTGCCGACATGGCAAACATCGGCGGACGCGAAGCCGGCAGCGTAACAGCAGCCTGTTTTCTATCGAGGTTCGTTGAAGGTGTGAGCTGGGCGCATATGGATGTCGCAGGTAGCGCGTTTATGGGTGGCGCAGCAAAAGGCGCAACCGGCCGCCCCGTCCCCTTGTTGTTTAACTACCTCTGCCAACAGGCAAACGGCTAAGTCATGACCCGGGTCGACTTCTACATACTGGATGACCAGACCCTGGATGCGACCCTTCGGTTTGCCTGTCGACTCGGTTTGAAAGCGTACCTGAAAAATACCCCTGTGCATGTCCACATGGACAATCCCGAGGATGCGCAGGCTCTGGATGAATTGATGTGGGACTATCCCAAGCACCGCTTTCTGCCGCACGAAATTGTTGCGGCAGAGCGCACGCCTTTATCACCGATACAGATCTCCTGTGAACCACCCCACCACGAAGAGGGTCTACTGATCAATCTGGCCCCTGACGTACCTAAATTTTTTGGTCGCTTCGACAGAGTTGCTGAAATTGTGGTGGGTGAAACACGTGAACAGGGACGTGCTCGCTATGCACACTACCGTTCCAGAGGATACCCCCTGCATCATCACCAGATGACCGATTGGGAGCAGCAATCATGAGCACCCTGCCACCCGAAAAGGATGATCGCCAGGAACCGGATGAGCTGATTGAAGACCTGGAATCGATCAAAGGTTTGTTTGATGAAGAGCAGACGGAAATCAATCCCGAAGAGGCGGATGTGCCGCTGCTGGACGACCCCCTGGTAGATGGGTTAACTATTGACGAGGGTTTACCAGACGATACGTTCAAAGCTCTCCTCGACGATGCCTGGCAGGACTCCGTTGACGACCTGCTGACGGATGCAAGAAACCGCATCACGCAGAACAGTGAACTATGGCAGCCTGAGGACACTGACGAACTGGCCCAGGCCCTTAAAATACGCATCGATGCCAGTGTGAAAAACTGGCTGGCTCAAACGCTGGAGCAGAATATCGGCGCCTTGCGCACCCATCTTGTCAGTGAATTATCAGACGAATTACTGGCCCACCTGCGGCAGAAACTCAACAAAGCAGCCGACACAGAGAAATAAGAAGAACAATATGGAAAGTAGTTTTGATCCGCATGCCATTGAGCAGAAGTTATACGCCCATTGGGAGCAATCCGACTACTTCGCGCCACACGGCAACGGCCCCGGTTATTGTGTCCTGATACCACCGCCCAACGTCACGGGTACGCTGCACATGGGGCACGCGTTCAACCAGACATTGATGGACACGCTGATCCGCTATAAGCGCATGCAGGGTAATCGGACGCTGTGGCAGATGGGCACAGACCATGCTGGTATAGCAACCCAGATGCTGGTTGAGCGCCAGCTGAATGAGCAGGGCATAAAACGCCATGAGCTTGGCCGCGAGGCGTTCACAGAGAAGGTCTGGGAGTGGAAGGAAACCTCAGGCGGGACCATTGCCAGCCAGATCCGTCGCATGGGTTCAAGTCTGGACTGGTCCCGGGATCGCTTCACCATGGATGAAGCCTACGCTGAAGCGGTGCTGACAGTATTCGAGCGTCTGTTTGATGAAGGTCTGATCTATCGGGGTTCGCGCCTGGTGAACTGGGACCCGCAGCTGGGCACTGCCATATCAGACCTGGAGGTGGAGAACAGCGAAGAAAACGGTCACCTCTGGCACTTTCATTATCCGCTGCTGGATGGCCTTACAACCAAGGACGGTGGCAAGCACCTGACCGTTGCAACAACGCGCCCGGAGACTATGCTCGGAGATACCGCTGTTGCCGTGCACCCTGACGATGAACGTTATGCTCACCTGGTTGGCGGCTTTGTTAATCTGCCTCTGGTAGATCGTAGAATTCCAATCATCGCAGACAGTTATGTGGAGATGGAATTTGGCACCGGTTGCGTAAAGATCACCCCAGCACATGACTTTAACGACAACGAAGTGGGTGCACGCCACAATCTTGAAATGATTAATATTTTTACCAGCGAAGCAACCATCAACGACGCTGCGCCGGAAAAATATCGCGGCATGGATAGAACCGTTGCACGCAAAGCTGTAGTTGCCGACCTGGATGATCTGGGTTTGCTTGGAGAAGTCAAAGAACACAAACTGATGGTACCCCGCGGCGATCGTTCTGGCGCTATTATCGAACCACTGCTCACGGATCAGTGGTTCGTAAAAATTGAACCCCTCGCCAAGCCAGCCATTGAGGCGGTTGAAAATGGGGACATCAAATTTGTTCCAAAACAGTATGAGAATGTCTATTTCTCATGGATGAGAGACATCCAGGACTGGTGTATCAGCCGTCAACAATGGTGGGGCCATCAGATTCCGGCCTACTACGACGAGCAAGACAACATTTATGTCGCCCGCTCTGAAGCTGCCGCGCGTGAGAAATACAACCTGCCGCAAAGCACAAAGCTGAATCGCGACCAGGATGTACTGGAAACATGGTTTTCCTCTGCGTTGTGGCCATTTGCCACCCTTGGCTGGCCTGAAGAAACTGAAGAACTGCAGCAGTTTCTGCCCACATCAACGCTGATTACCGGACACGACATCATATTTTTCTGGGTCGCCCGCATGATCATGATGACCCTGCACTTCACCGGCAAAAAACCGTTTGAGACTGTTTACGTGCATGGCCTTGTGAAAGCTGCTGACGGCAACAAAATGTCAAAAACAAAAGGCAATGGCCTGGACCCACTCGATTTCATAGACGGCATCAGCCTTGAGGCGCTGGTTGAAAAACGCACCTCTAATCTGACCCAGCCGAAGATGGCACCGCGCATAGAAAAAGCCACGCGCAAAGACTTCCCCGACGGGATCCCCTCCTACGGGACCGATGCCCTGCGTTTTACTTTCTGCGCCCTGGCCAGTACCGGCCGTGATATCAAGTTCGACCTGAATCGCATCGATGGCTATCGCAATTTCTGCAACAAGCTGTGGAATGCGAGTAAGTTTGTATTAATGAACACCGAAGATTTTGTCCCGACAGCGGACGTTGAGCTGACGGTTATCGATAAGTGGATGTTAAGCAAAACCCATCAGCTGGTGAAAGACTGCCAGTTCGCGCTGGACACCTACCGCTTCGATATATTTGCCAGCACAATCTATGACTTTGCCTGGCATGAATACTGTGACTGGTACCTTGAGCTGACCAAGCCACTGTTATGGGACGAGTCCGTCAGTGCCGCGCAGAAACAGGGCACACGCCAGACGCTGCTTACAGTGCTGGAGGCCCTGTTACGCATAGCACACCCGGTAATGCCGTTTATCACTGAAACCATCTGGCACGAGGTGGCGCCGCGCCTGGGCGTGAGTCACGACACAATCATGCTGCAGCAGTATCCTCAGGTGCAAGATTTTGCAGACGACACAACCGCACAAGCACAGGTTGAATGGCTTAAGCAGGTGATCAGCGCGATTCGCAACATTCGCGGCGAAGCCAACATCAAACCTAATGTTGAGGTTCCCGTTCTGTTACATGGCGGTGAGCCTGCGGACCACGATCGAGCGGCGGCAACTGCTGTGATGCTGAAAAAGCTGGCTAACATTGCAGACCTGAGCTGGGTTGAAGACGGTGCTGAACCACCTCCCCATGCACTGGGCCTGGTAGGAAACCTGAAAATCCTAATCCCACTGGCCGGTCTCATTGATGTGACGGAAGAAACCGCACGTATTGATAAAGAGATAGAAAAAGTACAGCAGGAAATCAGTCGTATCGAGAAGAAACTGGGCAACGAAAATTTTGTCGCTAAAGCGCCGGCTGAAGTAGTGGCAAAAGAACGCGCCAAAGCTGACGCGCTGCAGATTAAGGTGGATACGTTAACAAGCCAGCGCACCAAGCTGGAAAGCCTGGCGCCTGGCAATTAAAGAAATTCGGCAGCTTTGACTAGACGCCTTCGACGGCATCCACTTCTACAATCGAATTAATCACCCTTGCACCATCGGCGTGGTGTAAGAAGGTGAACTCGATGAACATGCCCTCTTCCAGCATGGTAAAAGCACCAAAAGTACCGTTGATCTGCACCTGCACCGTAGGACTCACATCGTAGTTTGTGCCGTTTACCACCGCTCGATAAGTACCAAAGTCCAGGCCCTGTATTTCACCCGAGCCTTCCGCTTCAGGAGCGAGAAATTCCTGTGCATTTACGGCACTCGCGCCCAATAGCAGAGAAAGAAAAGCCAGTTGGAGAACCTGTTTTAAAGTAGACATGTTCGTCTCCTAATTCTTAGAGTCTTGTTAGGCGGGAAACCGCGCGCTAGTTAGCGCGCAGCTCCGTCCAGGACAAACGTCCGGTCTTGTTGTCATTCAAGTCACGAATACGGCGTGAAATACACTCGTTACCACCACAGATGAAGAGGAAGTCAGTATCCCCTTGGCCGCCCAGGGTAGACAAGTCCACCAACTGCCCGTCGAGCTGCGTGAAGTCAAACACCAGACCAGCGGTAAAGTCCTGCCCCCCTACTGCCAGCAGATCCGCATCATCAACAACCCCATCAAGGTTAAAGTCGATGACCGCTTCACCCGGGTCACCACCGGTCAGTGCATCCAGAATCAGAATTGCACCCGGCCGCGAACCAAAACAGGACGTTGCGTTGGTCGCGGGCAGAACGGTTGTGGTCAATATCACACCATCCCGGAAAATGAAGCGTCGAATAGCTTTTTCACCAGGGTACTGTACATCCGGAGGCGCCTGGCCACTGATATCGGTGTTGGTAGCACCTGAAATAGTGTCTTCAGCTCGAACCATATCAAGATCGATATACCAGCCGTATACCCCAGCTGAAAGCGTTTCAGGTGCGTAGGCTACTGTGTTGTTGGTCAGAATACGCCGCGTTTGCGCGGGTGTTACCGAATCGTCCACAACATTGGTGATGACCTGCTCAACCAGACGCGTGTCTTTCGTGTCAGCATTTGCAGTGGGCGGATTGCTCACCAGTGGATCCCAGATGGTGTAGATCGATTGGATCGACGTATCACTACCGTCTTCCTCTGCAATGAAGCTGCCTGTACCAAAGGTAATCAGGAAACCTGTCTGCTGAGGATGTTTTACAGCCAACGGCTGGGACAGGATGGGTTGCAGCACATCAGTACCGCCATCGTCATAGGTCGCTGTAAACAGCCGTGTCGCTGTCCAGCTTGCTGAGTTTGAGCTTTCCAGATTAAACCGCCACAGGTTACCCAGACGGTCACCGGCGTACACCAGGTCAACAGTGCCATTCAAGTCGCGATCCACTGCCGTTGGGGTGCCCAGCGCATTGGGGTAACCTTCCAGCTGTTCACCTGGCAGCGGTACACCCGCACCGGTGGTGATCTTCACAAAGTCACCCGCTGTACCCCAGCCATCCAGACCTTTGTCCATGAACAACACAAACAGGGTAGCAATGCCGGAGGTCGAGTTTGAACCATTACCAAATATAGCCACCCACTCATTTAAGGTGTCGGTGTCCACTTCATTACTCAAAGTAATGATCGGCAGCGACAAAGAGTAGCCGAGGTCTTTTACCGGATCACCGTTGAAGTCGGTGATTGCGCCCACTGCACCACCAATAGGGTCGCCCGCGGCATCCAACGGATAGGTATCATCCTCGTCGGTGAATTCCCATAACGCAGCGCCCGCAGCTGTCGCCTGATCAGCGAACTGAGTATCCGGATCGGTGACATTCAGCGCAAAGTAACCTTTGCCGCCCGCTCCTAGACCACCAACCAGAGTAGTCATCCACTGCTTGGCTTCGGAAGTTGAAGGCCGCATGTAAACGTCATTCAAACGGGGTGAAAGGTCAACATAATAGTCATGCAGGTAAAATGGCGAGGTAAACGACGTCAGCTTATTGCTGTACTCGTTGCTGGCATCGATGATGACATTAGGTACGTAAGCCATCACCTCGGCGCCTGTCTCTGCATCAAAACCATGCATCATGCCGTCGTTTGCACCGACGTACACCACCTGTCTTCGCGCAGCGACATCAGCAGAGAATTCCGAATACAGATCGTTGATCGGATAAGGACTCTGATCGCGGTTAAATGCCCGTGGTGGCCCAACATATACCGGGCTTGAGTTGATGATGTCACCCAGCAAACCTTCGTCAGCCAGGCGCTCTCGCAATGTTCCCGGCAGCGGTTCCTCAAAATTACGTTCACCGCGCAGGAAGTTCACTTCGTTTTCACTCAAAGTCAGCTGTTGATCAGGCGTTAGATCGTTGTAAACAAACTGAACACCTGCATTGCTGTCAGGATCGTAGCTGAAGATAATGCGTTGGGCCGGAGTCAGGCTCAGCGGTCCGCTGGGATCCAGCATCCGTGCTGCGGTCCAGGTAGGTACGGCGGAAATTTCGCCCGTTGTTGCGTTCACCGTGCTTGCCGTCATCTCACCCGTGCGGTTACGCAGATCATAAAAACCGCGATACAGGAATGTACCTTCACGTAATGACGTTGAGTTAAAGGCTGCTGCTGAACTTGAAGAAGCCGCCTGGGTAAACTCACGGAATGCAGCACCCACAGCAGCCTGCAGCTCGCCAGGTTGTCCTGCGTTCAGGAATCGACCGCGACCATTAATGGCTGCGTGCAACATGTCGTCAATTTTAGCATTGGGCGCTGAACCCGGTGATGGCCAGGCAAACGTTGCACCAGCGAGCGCGGCTTCCGCCGCTAACGGATCAATGTCGGGCTCAACACCAAATGCGATGGTGAATGTTTTCATGTGCTGATGGATAAAGTCGTTTGCCGATGTATAGGTACCTACCGGCACACTATCAACATCAGCGGTGGACAGAGGTACACCATCATCGACAGCGGGGAACATATCGTTCTCGTAGTAATACATGGCAATGTCAGCCAGCGTATCGCTATGGGTATCTGCAAATTTACCGCCATCAAATACGCTGGAATCGTCACCGTCAAAGTTGCCGGGGCGTGGTGTTGAGCCATTCCAGTATCCATCCGAGAACAACAGTGTGAAGTTCTGCTGACAGATACCTTCTGGGATCGGTAAGGCCGGACAATCGCGATCAGCACGATCGCAGGCCAGAATACGGCCAGCATCATCTAGGGCTCTGCGCAGCGGCGTACCGCCGCTGGAATCAACTGAATAAATATCGTCCAGGAGCTCCTGCTTTTCGCCTTCCCAATAGAACTCATTCATGTCAGCAATGGCTTCATTGCTACGACGGTTAATGGTTTCAAAGCCGACCCGTATATCCTGCAACTCAGCAACAACGTTACCCAGCGCCGCTTTTGCCACCAGTTCGCGCGAACGGTAATACTGAAACCAGTTGGCAAAGTTCTGAATCTCTTCGTCGTAGGTACACGTGTTACTTGGGCCGGAACAGTCATCACGTTGATCGCCACCGGGATACATCGTACCGTCATCACGAATTTCCACTCGAACCCCAGCTGCGGTGTAGTAGCGCGGAATGTAGAAGTTGGTGACATTGACATTAGCTGAACCACCGCTTGTCTGCCAGCGAGGCACAGAGTGCGCCAGATAATTGACCGGCTGGGTGATATCAAATGTATTGGCCGCTGACATAGGATCAAGCCGGATCGCTGTAGGCACAGCATCAGCCAGATCATTGTTGGCATTATCTATACCTGTCCAGGGATTGTAATCCACCGTAGGGTCATAGTAGATGCCGTTGAAAGCAGCGCTACGGGCCTGCCAAACATTATAGTCATTACCCGCTGGCAACGATTCCTGCGAAGGCACAACACGACCATTACCACTGGTTGCACTGTAAGCATTCGTATTCAGACTGAACAGATAGCTATAGACGCGCTCCCGACGAGATGAAGTTGCGATGCCATTGTTATTTATGACAAATCGACCATTATCATCAGTCATGTCCATGCTCACCTGCCAGTCCATGCTGCCCGAGTCATCCATGGTCACCAGGACGTTGGGAGATACGGTTGCAGACTGTTCCAGCGGCGTATTCGCCAGATTGAACAGCACCGACACTTCACCGGGGTTAGGCGTGCTTGCTGCGGGCGGCAAAGGGAGAACTTCTATCACCACGTCACCAAGAGCGCTGCGGACCTGGTTATCAAAAACCGAATACTGGAATGTTGTTTCGCCGGTAAAACCAGGCGCGGGTATAAAGGTAAACGTGCCGTCACTGGCGGTTGTTGTCAGTGTGCCCTGAGCTGGTGGCGGCGCTGTTTCAAACACAATGCTGAGCGGCTGTGGCGCAATAGGATCGCCATTAACATCTACCTGCGCAGGATCAACGTCATAGGCACCAACCAACAGTCCGTTGGCCAGCTCCACGTTAAGGATAGCACCTTCAAACACATCATACCGGTGGGTTTGCAGACCTTCAGGCGCATCGTTCACTGGCGTGATCTCAAAGCTCACCATGGCTGTATCTGTATCACCGTTGGCGTCTTCGATGCTGTATTCAAACATCGCAGTACCCCAGAAATTACCTCTGGGGGTAAACAAAACCTCATTGGTAGCAGTATCAATGGACACTGAAGCCTGAGGCGCGGTAACCAGGTTACCTTCAACGTCAATAAAATCGTAAGTGCCTACACTCACAATACTTGCCAGAGTAGTGGGCTGATCTCCAAGATAGTCGTTGGCCAGCACATCAATGCGCAGCTCGAGGGTATCTTCAGGTATGTCGCCGAGAACATCATCAGCGGCAACGGGTAGATCGTCCACCCCAGCCACAGTGATGCTAAACGTCACCGGCAAACTTGGCAGACCGGCAGAGTCGCGCGCGATAATAGTAATGTCAGCCACCCCGTTTGCATCGGGCACCAGGTCCAGGGTCAGCTCGTCACCGGTAATTGTCTGGTTTGAGAAGATGCCAGGATTGGTATTGTTATCAACTTCGTATGTCAGAGCATCTGCATTAGTTGCGATGTCCACATCGGTGAACACACCTGCCAGAGAAACTACCTCCGGCGGATCATCTTCGTCGATATTGCGATCGGAAAGAGAGCCGGCAACAACTGGCGCATCATTAACCGCTTGCACCGTCACATTCAGAAAATACTGGGCAACTTCACCGGCCGTATCTGTTGCATCAATACGAACGACTGCCGCGCCATTCGCTTCAGCTGTAAAATCAAGCGTCAGATCATCACCCGACATGGAAACAGTGTCGAACAGTGCATCACCACTTTCGAACGCGGCTGTCAGGCTAAGGTTGTCACCAGTTGGAATATCCACATCGTCAAAAACGCCGGCAAAGCTAACCACTTCAGGTGTTGAATCTTCAGGTACATCGACGGGTGCAACCCCACCCACCACTGTGGGTACATCATTTACTTCAGCAACATTTACCGGAACCACCAGAACAACCGGTACGCCGCCATCCGCATCAGACACTTCGACGGTCACAGAGCCATTGCCAAACGCATCAGGCAACAAACTCACCTCCAGGACAGAACCGACCGTCATCGCTGTGTCGATAGCCGCGTTATCGACCGAAGCAATAGAGAAACTCAGCGTGTCGCCAACATCTACATCGCTGACGGATGCCGCCAGGTCAACGTTTGCCGGCGTATCTTCAAATGTATCTAACGTCGGCACCATACCTGTTGCCACAGGATCGTCATCCTCAGCAGTGACCATGGCAAAGATCGGGAAACTTCCATTGTCCTGATCCGTCACTGGCGAAGCGCTAGCATCCAGCGCTGTATCTGTGGTCTCAATAAACAAGTTCAGCGGCAGAGGGCCATTGAAATTAAGCGGTGGTGTTATGGTTAAAGAATTAGCTTCCGCCAGGCTTAATGCATAGGTATCCGCGGCAACAAGCGTTCCACCAGATAACACTGCACCAGCCGGGACACCGCTGAGCTGAATGTCCAGCGTTTCGCTTGGATCTACTGGTGTGATGGATATACCTAAAGATATCGCTGTATCTTCGGGGCCGGAAGCACCACCAAAGGCAACCAGAGGTAAGTCGGCAACAGGCGCAAAAAACACCACGCCATTCCCGGTGACAGTACAAAGCGGATCAGGCATGACTAAAGGGCAAGATGCTAAGTCCACCTGGCGCACATCATATGAAAAAGTCACGGTGCCGCTGAAGTGCACATCCGGATGGGTGTACCTCACCTCGCCAAAGTCTGGTGAGAAGGGATCATCATCCAGCGTCATTCCCGGAGGTAAACTTGAGCCAACTATCGTGAGACTCCCGTCCGACTCGGAATCATTGTCGAGCACATTGCCAACAACCTCAGCACCTTCGTCGTCATCAAAGTCATCCGCATCGACCGTAGGGAAGGCGTACACATTGCCCCACAACAAAACCGTCAATGTGAACATCACCAGCGAGGCGTTTACTGCTTTCTTAGCCATCGTCATTTCTCCCGTAATTCAACTAACGCTTAACGCGTTAGTCCATAATCCTGCCGTAAGTGGTTTGCAGCAGAACTTGAGCATTAGGTGTACCGCCTACGCCACGCGCAGTGATACGAAACATTTCAACGCGGTCAACGGTGGCCGCGCCCGAGTATGGGTCTTCCTGTTGGTGTGCGTTTTCGTCACGCAATACCGGTCCGATATATTCAACAATGTAGCGTGACGGTGCGGCTGTGCCTTCAACGACATCAGCCAGGACACTGTTGCCACCTGTCCAGGTACCTGCGGCTTCCCAGTTTTCCGCTTCACCCAGAGGTACCGCCTCATATAAACCCGCGCTGTCATTAAACGGTGCGGTGGAGGTAATGCCTAACAGTTGCGCTTCTGCGTCTCGCAATGCTGACTCCGCAGCCTGGAAGGCCAGCAGCGTATCGTGTTCGTTTCTAGACATACGCACTTCGAGGCTGGTTGTCTGGACTGATGACACGCCAATGATGGTTAACACCAGCAACAGCACCAGGCTGATAAACAACGCCACACCCTGTTGTCGCCGCGGAAAAATTGTTCGAGGTTGTCTTATTCGCATTTGTTAAACCCCCGCATTTCGAATACTGATGGTTTTGCTGAACGTGCGTCGCAGTCGATCACGTGTACCGTCCTGTCGCAGGATCGCATCCGGACTTGTAATATCGAGTCGAACCCGAACCGCAACCACCGAATTGATGTCTGCCACGTTATCGATGGTGAGATATCGGTTCACGTTAGGGTTGCCATCATTAGTGGTATCAACACCGTAAAAAACCTGCATGTCTTCAACGCCCTGCACCAGTTCAACCGGAGCGGCAGAGCCAACCTTGCGCCATAACGCGTTAATATTGTCGCCTGCTTCATTTGCGATCGCGCTGGGCGCAATAAAAAAGATGGTTGTCTGCACACGACCAACGGTTGTTGCACCACCGTACGATCGACCTAATACAGATAGCGGCGGTGGACTGGCTGCCGGTAGCGTATCCCCGCCCAGGGTGGTCACGCTGGTGGTGTTATTGAAAAAACCTGTGCCGTCAGCACGGCTCAAGGTGGTCACATCGCCAGTCACCGAAACGCCGGTGACGTTGAACATGGCGGCCTGCTCACAGTCAGACACAACCACAACATCGTTAACGGCAAATTCGGGTTCGCCGCCCGGAGTGAACACTTCAGGCTCTGCATCAGACTGCAGTACTGCATTCAAGCGCGCCACCGGCTGTTCTACGCTACGGAATATGACAACATCTGCTGCTGGTGTGAGGGTTGTGCCATCAATACCGTTACCCGCAATGTGTACGTTGAGGTTTGTTGCGCCTTCAGTTCGCGGCAACGTCAGTAGATCTGTTGGCGTATAGGTGCCGTCGCCATTGGCGTCAAAGCCATCCAGCGGCCGGCTTAAATCATACTCGGGAATCTGATTCCAGTTACCAACCAGCCCGTTGATGACAAAATCATCTTCCGGCGCACAACCAAAATAACCGGCATCACGGGCCGCCTGAGTGATGAAATCAAACGAATAACGGGCGTTTTCCTGCAATCTGGATTGTGCGGTGACAATTTCATAGGTACGCGAGTTGCCCACAAAGAGTTGCACGATGCCAGCAATAATCACCAGACCTAGCAGCAGCGAGATCATCAGTTCAAGAATAGAGAAACCCGCTTGAGATTGTTTAAAACGCATCATTGCTGGCTCTCCACGGTGATTTCTTCCTGGGTACCGTCGAAGCTGGTCCAACGAATCGTCACAGTTGTCATACCGGCGTCTATATCAATTGATCCCTCACCATCGGGCAGCCCTGGTTGGTCTGCGACAACCGGCAGAATTTCGCCATCCCGCAGGGTCACACACTCGGCTTCGGCGTTGTATAGCCCCAGACCACATTGCCAGACCGCAATATCAAAAGCCGCCATCTGTGCAGTTGTACAGGTACTGGTGAAACAATTTGTCGGTGCGGCCGGCGCATCACCGTAATCTACGCCATCATAGTTACCGGCGGCGTTCACACGCATCCGATCCATGATGTCGTAAGCTGACTGCAACGCCTCGCTGCGCAGCAGGGCATCGCGATTATTCTGCAGGCTGACCATCTGCAGGCCAGTAACGCCCAATACGCCCACGCCCATAATCAGGACGGCAACTAACAGTTCAACCAAGGAAAAACCAGCCGCTGTCCTTGCCTTGGTGAACGTTGCTTTACAAACTTTTACTCGAGACATGTGTTTCATATCCTAGTTACTCTGCTGCCCTGACCGAGCTACAAAAACCCTCAAGGGAAACAAACAAATCGAACCACGTTGGTTCGACCCAGTGCATTGATTCTGACTTCCCTACCAGGATCATCATCCGCATCAGCACCACACAACTCTAAGGTGCCGGCTAATTCATCCTGCAACAAACCGCGGGAATTGAACGTCATGGTGGGCTCGTTGTTTAAGTCAACACCCTGCGCATTAAGGGTGACCGTTCCTTCCAGCGCAAAAACGCGCAGCGGCGCGTCACAATTGCCCGGATCGCCGGCAGTGACGCAGAAACCGGGACCCCATTCATTGGCGTTATCAGCCGCATCAACACTCTGCAGGCTGACATCTCCGCCGAGGCGAGTCGCTTCGCTGCGTGCGTAGCTGATCGCTGAGATAAACTGGTTCACATTAGCGGTCATCTGTCGTTGAACGGTAAAATCGTTAAACGCAGGCAATGCAAACGCCATCATTACTGCCGCGATGGTCAGCGCCACCAGCAATTCGATGATGGTGAAGCCTGCTGATTTGTGTCTTTGGTGTCTCATAAGCGCTTAATCTAAGTCGTGTGCTGCCAATTAAGAATTCGTATGCGATAAACGGTAGTCGTTACGCGGCCACCGGCTGCTTAACCTTCATTCCAATCGGCTTCGGTGCCGGAAATTGCGCCATCGTTATTCTCATCCCATGTGCGGTTACCGATCTGATCAAGGGTTATCACGCCGGTGCCTGCTATTGATCCACCCGGCGTAGCTGTAAGGACAAACGTATCCGCTGTTGTGACCGCTGTTATGGCGTATCGACCGGAGGGTGCGCTCAGAGGGGTGCAGATTCCTGCATCCAGCGCTGTGTCGTCACCCCCAGGATTCGTACCCACGTAAGTAAACTCTGTGGCGTTAAATCGCTCCATCGCCTGGGCACAATTAAGCAGGTCTGAGGTGACCTCTGTGCGAAAACCACGCTCGGTGAATGCGGTGTATTGAGGAATAGCCAGCGCTGAGATGATCGCAAAGATCGCTAATGCGACCAGCAATTCAACGAGTGTAAAGCCTTGAGATTTCATGCACTTGAACCCTATCTTGATGGGTTACACAGTACTTGCGGCGCAGCGGGATCAAAAGCCTTCGCTTACCAGCGGTAGCAAGGCGCAGATAAACGGCAGAATCGCCGTGCAATGGGGCTTATAGACTCAATCCAGAGAGAGGATTACCTTGCCAACAGTATTATTGGCAGCCACCAGTTCATGGGCTTTTTGCGCCTCATGCAGAGGTATCACCGTCTCAATAATCGGTTTGATGCGCCCTTTTTCTATGTCCGGCCAGACGTTTTTGAGCAGCTGATCCATAATCGCCGCTTTCTCAGGAATCGGCCGTGCGCGTAAAGTTGAACCAATAATGCGCAGTCGTTTCATCATCATCAGCGCAAGATTTGTTTCTGCCTGCATGCCCCCCATGAGACCGATCAGCACCAGGCGTCCACCCGAGCCTAAAACCGTTAAGTTATCTGCCAGATATTGGGCGCCAACGGGATCAAGGATCACGTCAACCCCTGCTGTACCCGCCCACTGCTGTGCAGCTTCCAGGAAGGAACCCTGGTGTCGATCAAAACCCGCCTCGGCACCCAGCGCCGTGCACTGCTCTATTTTCTCCGCAGAGCCTGCGGTGACAAAACAGGGGTTCTGACTGCACGCCAGCAACTGGATTGCTGCGGTCCCCACACCACTGGCACCCGCATGCAGAATGACTTTTTCCTGGGATTTAAGGCCTGCTTCCATATAAAGATTCAGATAGGCGGTGGCAAAAACTTCCGGCAATGCGGCCGCTTCATTGAATGACAAACCAGCCGGCACAGGCAGCACCTGGCCGGCGGGTACAACCACCTGTTCGGCGTAACCGCCGCCAGCCAGCAGCGCGCAGACCCGATCACCTGCCGATACACGCTGTACGCCTTCGCCAACAGCCATCACAACACCCGCACATTCAAGCCCAAGTATGGGACTTGCACCCGGCGGCGGCGGATACCCCCCGGTGGCCTGTAACAGGTCTGCGCGATTCACAGCCGATGCATGCACCTGTATCTGCACCTCACCCACACCGCAGACCACATCCGGCGCGGTAGACCAGGTGAGTTGACCGTTTTCAATCTGTATTGCACGCATATCGATTCTCTATGTTTCAGGCCCCGGTCTTGAGCCGGGAAAGATTTCGCTTACCAGGACATCCGCATTTTTATATTGCGGTTATGCAGCTCTTGTTTTAACTCGCTGACTTTGTACTCGCCAAAATGCACCATGGAGGCAACCAATGCTGCATCAGCTTTACCGATGGTTAATGCATCAACCAGATGTTCGGGTTTCCCGGCACCACCCGAGGCAATCACCGGAATTCTTACTGCAGTGGATATCATGGCGGTAAGCTTGAGTTCGTAACCGGCTTTGGTGCCATCAGCATCAATAGAATTCACCACCAGTTCGCCGGCACCCAGGCGCTCACCGTCAATTGCCCATTGCAGCGCATCAATCCCCATAGGTGTACGGCCGCCGTTAATGACAATTTCGTAACCCGAAGGAATGTTGACCGACACAGGTACACGCAGGATATCCATGGACAGAACAATATTCTGATTGCCAATGGCATCCGCGCACTCGCTGATCAATTCCGGTCGCTGCACTGCCGCAGAGTTCAGATTGATTTTCTCAGCGCCAGCCAGGCGCAGGTTGGTTGCGTCCTGCACACTGCGTATGCCGCCACCCACAGACAAGGGTATGAACACCTCACTGGCCACCGCTTCCACCACGTCTAACATGATGTTGCGTTTATCGCTGGACGCGGTGATGTCGTAAAACACCAGCTCATCAAGGCCATCAAGATAATATTCCCGGGCTTTTTCAACCGGGTCACCGATATCTTTTGTGTCCACAAACTTCACGCTTTTAGCAAGCTTACCGTCGCGAACATCCAGGCAGGCGATTAATCTTTTACTTAACATCGACCATTCCATTGCGCAAAGTTACGCAGCAAACGCAGCCCTACACGGCCACTTTTTTCCGGATGAAACTGCGTCGCAAAATAGTTTCCGCGGCCCACGGCACAGGCAAATTCGTGCTCGTAATCGGCGACTGCATAAACGGATTCCTGTGCATCCGGGACCGGGAAGTAGCTGTGCACAAAATAAAATTCGTCGCCGGGTTCAATGCCATCAAGCAGCGGATGCGCCTGCACCGGCCGAACTTCATTCCAACCCATATGCGGAATTTTCAACTCCGCGTGGTCGAACTCAAAGCGCTGCACTCTGCCAGCGATCAGACCCAGCGTTTTGGTATCGTTTTCCTCTGAATAGTCCAGCGAGATCTGCAGACCAAGACAGATACCAAGGACAGGTATGCCGGCGTCAATGACCTCCGCCAGGGCTTCGTCGAGGCCTCGAGCGACAATACTGCGCATGGCACTGCCTGCCGCGCCGACACCCGGAAAAATGACCCGTTGAGCATGGCGCAGCTGATCCGGATCCGCACAAATATCGGCGGGTAGTCCCACCTCAGCACAGGCCCGCTGCACGCTGCGCAGGTTACCGGCGTCGTAGTCTATGATAATTGTCATACGCAAAAGCCCTGTTGCACGTACCTTTTCATCGGTAAACGTAGCGGTAAATTTTGCCCTTTGCTGGCAGAGCGCGGATACTAGCGCATTGATAATTTGATCACTAGGACCACCTTGGAAAAGACCGGCTATCTCATCATCAACCTAGGCACCCCTGCATCTCCCAGCGTTGCCGATGTACGCGCTTATTTAAAAGAATTTCTCATGGACCCCTACGTCCTGGATGTGCCTGGGCCAATCCGCAGCCTGATTGTGAATGGCTTCATTCTGCCGTTCCGTCCAAAAAAGAGTGCACACGCCTATGCATCCATCTGGGATCCGGCCGGTTCACCGTTGTTGTTACACAGCGAGGCGCTGTTGGCAGAGCTGGCAACCAAACTGGATGGACCCGTAGCGCTGGGCATGCGCTACGGCAAACCTGACATTGAAAGTGCTGTGAAAAGCCTTGTGCAACAAAGTGTCACACACATCGTTGTGGCCCCCCTGTACCCACAATACGCTGATTCAACCGTGACGACGTCGCTCGAAGCCACTGCGCAGTTTGTGCCGCAAAACATATCAACCAGCGCAGTAACAGCCTTTTTTGAACATCCAGCCTATATCCAGGCGCTGGCAAAAAACGTTTCCGCAGCATTACCGGAGCAATGGGACCACCTGCTGCTGAGTTATCACGGCTTACCCGAACGACACATGAAGAAGGCGGACCCTACCGGCAACCACTGCATGAAACATGCAGATTGTTGTAACGTCACTTCAGAGGCTCATGCTACCTGCTATCGACACCAGGTATTTGGTACCTCCAACGCCCTGGCTGCCGCGCTGGGGATATCATCTGAAAAATACAGCGTTAGTTTCCAGTCCCGGCTTGGTGGCGGCTGGCTACAACCCTATACCGATAAAGTCCTCGAAGAACTGCCCGCCAAAGGCGTTGAGCGACTTGTTGTCGCCTGCCCCGCCTTCGTTGCGGACAACCTGGAAACGTTGGAAGAAATGGGCTTGCAGGGACGCCAGACTTTTCTTGAGGCAGGCGGCAAAAGTTTCGATCTGGTGCCTTGCCTGAACGAAGACCCTGCCTGGGTTGACGCCCTTGCCCAGATCCTGATGACACCGCCAGAGCCGGTTCAGATGTCCTCGGCCGCTACTGAGACTTCAGCATAGAACGAGCGGATCAGTTCCTGAGCAAACATCGATTTGCGTGCGACAAATCGCACCGGGCGCGTCAGACCCTGTTGTGCCAGACCGATGACCGCCCGATCATCAACACCCAGGGTGCGTGCAACACCCGCGGGCACCAGGCCATGACCAAAGCCTGCAAGCGCCATCTGCGCTACGGCAAAAAATGATTCCAGTGACACCGCCCGGGTCAGCGATAGTCGCAGCATGTCTTCCTCAATAGACGCCCAAGCGCCGGAACGGGATTCGATGGTAATGACGCTGAGGGGTTCGCCAATCTGATAGTTCAGGGGTTGCAGGCCGGAAGGAATGATCACCATAGGCTCCTGCCGGATGACCTCACTGACCAGGTCGGTATCCGCATCCGGCGTGCCCGTACACAGACCTACCATGTATTCACCAGAGCGCAGACGATCCAGCACAACCGGCGATCTTTGCGCATGAAACTCAAACTCCACACCCGGTAAACGTGTACGCACCTGGGCAAACAGGCGCGGCCCCCAACTGGCGAGAATCGCCTCAGACACACCCAGAATAATTTTACCTTTACGCAGCGCATTGTCTTCCAGAAACACGCTGCGCAACTCCGAAAGCAGAGGCGTGACGCGTTCGACCAGACGCGTCCCATGGTGGGTCAATACCACCCGACGGCCATGTCGTTCAATCAGACGCCTGTCGTAATAACGTTCCAGGTTGGCTATACGCTTGCTTACCGCCGACTGGGATATTTTCAATGCAGTACTGGCTTCCATCATCGTGCCCGCTTTTGACAAGGCAACCAACGTCTCTAAATTTTCAACCATTTACTTAATCAATTCCAAATTTGACTGAATCATATTCCATCGATTCGCTTTATTCATCAAATGGTTGGGCGCAGGATGCGCGTCATGCTGTGGCTATTTCTCACTATTGCCGTCTTTTTTACCAGTGTGTTGTCTGGCGTGCTGGGCATGGCAGGCGGCATGATCCTGATGGCCATCCTGGTGTCGATACTCAGCGTTGCCAATGCCATGATTCTGCATGGTGCGGTTCAGGCAACCGCCAATGGTTCAAGAGCCTGGTTTCTGCGCCGGCATATCAAATGGAGGTTGCTGCCTAACTATATGCTGGGCGCGATTGCTGCTGTGGGTGTCTTCAGCTTGATTGCCCTGGTGCCTGATCCAGGCCTGGTTCTTTTTCTGGTGGGGGTTTTCCCCTGGCTTGCACGCTACAGCCGATCACTAAAAGGTTTGGATGTGACCCGCCCTCTAACAACCATCGTCTGCGGCTTTGTCGTCACTGCGGCGCAGCTGCTGGCCGGTGCATCGGGGCCTTTATTGGATGTGTTCTATCTGAATTCACCATTAAGCCGGCATGAAATTGTCGCAAACAAAGCTCTGACCCAGACCATTGGGCATCTGCTCAAAATTTTGTATTACGCATTCATCGTGTCTGTCGCGACCACCCTGCCCTGGTGGCTTTTCTTCTGCGCCATGACCGCTGCGGTTTCAGGTACCCGGTTCGGCACCGCCCTGCTGCATCGATGGGACGATGCAGCTTTCGGACGTGTGAGCAGTCTTGTTATCCTGACTATCGCAAGCATTTGTATGCTACGCGGCGCCTGGATTATGTGGGCTTCGCTATCGGCTTAACCACAAACAGCAGGTCGCCAACATTAACCTGCTGACCGCTGCTCATATTTACCCGCGTGACCTCAAATTCATGTGTACTCGGATACAACTCAATTTCTGCATTGAAATCACCCAGGGTCAGCGGCGTGAAAATCTTCATGGCTTCAAGCTGGCAGATGGTTCGCTGCAGGTCGATACGATCACCCACATTGACGTACTCGGGCTCTGATGGTGAAGGCGTGCTGTAGAAAATGGCTGTTGCCGGCGCCAGCACCTTGAGCTCTTCGCTCTCTTCAATTTTTATTGAATCGCGGTCAATGCCATCACCACTGTCGCCACCACTGGCTTCAATCTCAGCAATCAGGCTTTGAATGTTTGTTCGGGTCAGGAATTCCGGCAGATAATTTGTGTCATAGACGCCTTTGCGAAAAACATCGTCGTTCAGTACACGAATCAATAGCGGGATATTGGTAGAAATACCGGTGATTTTCACCCGGGAAAGATAAGCACCGAGCTTATCAATGGCCGCGTCTCGATCCTCGGCATGCACAATGATCTGCGCCACCATGGAATCATAATAGGGCGATACAAATTTACCCGGCCCCGCGGTCGCAATAATTTCGACGTTTTCTTCCTCGGGGAAGACACACTCGTCTATCTGCCCTGGATGTGGACGGAAGCCTATTTCACCGCTGCTTTGCAGCACGATGCGCTCGGCATTTACCCGTGCTTCAATCGAATAACCGTTATTTTCCACCACAAGATCAGCAATCGAA